CATGCCTTACCTTTACCCAACCAATCACCTGCAGGTACACCGGAAGAACATCAGCAATTCTTGAATGCCATTGAACCTTATCTCGAGGAAAACCGGCAAATCCCAAGGATGCTTTTTGTCCCCTTCCGGAAGCTGTAGTGCATTTACCTACTCCCTCTGGTGAATTCGCCTATCGCCGACAATATAAACTTGCACACAATGACATACCTATTGTGGAAGAAGCAATTAAACAATGGGAAGCAGATGGTATTACCAAACTAGTTCCATCAGATGTACGTGATCATCGTTGGAATAACCCTCTTACTGTCGCACCTAAGAAGGATGCTGAAGGCAGAAGAATAGGCTCGCGTGTTTGTTTGGATACACGAGCATTGAATGCTTTGCTCCCAGAAGATTATTTTCAGCTACCTCTTCTGGAATCCGTACTAGCCAAAATTGGCCACGCACGTGTCTTTACCACTCTTGATATCACTGCAGCTTTTAACAAACTCAGGATACATGAGCCCGACGCTATCAAAACTTCTTTTACTGCTCCCAACGGCAAGGCCTACATGCATATCGGAAGTCCGTTCGGAATTAAGACGCTCAGCCAGAAATATTCTAGAGTCATGGCAAAATTGATGGATCAGATTGAAGGCAATTTTACCACTTTTTTCATTGATGATGTCATTATTTACTCAAATAATCTTGCCGAGCATGTCCAGCATGTCCAAGAAGTCATCCACCGGCTTACTCAGGCTAATCTCGAGCTCAACAGCCGCAAATGCGCCTTTGGCATGAAATCTGTATATTTGCTAGGCCATCGAGTAGCTGAAGGTTGTATTACACCTGATGACCGTAAACTTGCCAACATAGAGCAATGGCCCCAATTACGCACTGGCAAGGATATTGAAAGATTTGCTGGTATCCTAAATTTCTTCCGCACATATATTCCCAATCTATCCCGATTGATGGCTCCATTAAACGCCTTACGGAAATATGATGACTTAACCCCAGTATGGTCAAAACACCATCAGGAACTCTTCGAAATATTAAAAACCATCTTACGGAAATCTCCCGTCCTGCATCAGCCCGATTTCCATAAACCCTTCTTTGTGGCTACAGACGCCTCCAATCAAGGCCTCGGCGCTGTTTTATGGCAGGAACAAGATGGCAAGAAGAAGTATATTTCCTTTATGGCTCGTTCTTTAACAAAAGCCGAATATAACTATCATATCACCAAACGTGAATTGGTTGGAATTATATTTGCCTTAAACAAATTCCATACTTATTTATGGGGCAACCATTTCAAGCTTTATACTGACCACAAAGCTTTGGTGTATCTGCATTCGCAAAAGGAGCTCAATCCTATGCTCACCAAATGGCTTGATCGCATCTTATCTTACAGCTTTGAAGTAATATATCTTCCTGGTATACATAATGTCCTCCCTGATCGTCTTTCACGCTTATTTCCTCCAACGGAACAAACGCTGGCGAGGGGTGATGGACAGGCTTTGCTGACTCCCAAGTCGCACATTAGCCGCTTTGCCAGAACACCCGATGATGAGATGGTTACACCACCAGAAGAGGAAAGGAAACAATTGCTAGAATCTTCCCACCTCCTGGGACATTTTGGTGCCACCGCCATTATCAAAGATCTTCATTCACAAGGACTACGCTGGTCTGCCATGAAAGAAGAAGCTGTAGCACTTGTCAAATCATGCTCAGAATGTCAAAAGTTTAACATAGCCATCAAAGGTTACCATCCATTACGATCTATCACGGCAGAAATTCCTGGAGATCATTGGGCATTAGACTTAGCTGGTGAATTTACCACCTCTCTGCAAAACAATCGGTACCTCCTGGTTCTTGTTGACATCTGCACACGTTTTTGTTTACTCCGTCCTATTCCAGACAAGAAAGGAGAGACAATAACAAAGGTCTTGATTGATGTATTTAGTACGTTTGGAATACCTCGTAAACTCCAATCCGACAATGGTACGGAGAACATCAATCTGCCTATGCAAGAACTGGCATTGAGCCCCACTTTAATCATCAATTCAGCACACAATACCACCCTAGAGGCAATGGAACTGCTGAAGCATGGGTCAAGAAGTCCATCATAGGCATAAAGAAGTCTATTAAAGGTGCGACAAAAGACTGGGATCGTGCAGTACCAGGTGTACAACTGTCCTTGAACAACAAAGTTCTGGAGAGACATGAATCCCGACCATTTGCATTGATGTTTGGACGCCAACTGAATGATTTAAAGATTTACAAAAGATAAGCCAAAGCAGCGCCTCACTCCAAAAGAAATTGAGGACACTTCAAAAAGATCAACGATATAGTATATCCAGCGATTGCAGAACGCACAATCAAAACAAACGCTAAGCGCAAAGAAAAATTCGATGCTAAACACCGCTTGGTTGATTTCCCACCAAAAAGTTATGTGATAGCAATCAACAAGGAAAAGAAAAACAAACTCGACCCCGATTCTGTGGGACCATATGAAGTCGTGCGACAAACACGTGGAGGCTCATATGTGGTACGAGCACTTGATGGAGATCTTGAAGAAAAGAATTATGCACCATCTCAATTAAAAGCAGCCATTCTTAATAGCGATCAAAAGGCATCGAAAAAAGAACGCCGCTATCACATTTATTCGATTCTCTAACACAGGAAGAACAAAGGCCAATACGAATACAAAGTACGCTGGAAAGGCTTTACCAGAGATCATGATTCTTGGGAACCATCACAAAATTTCGATGACCCTCAAACCATCAGTGATTATTGGAATCGCTTAGGCCAAGCACCGCCCTCTGTCCATAAACAGAAACGGACAAGAAACAGTCAGCGGGTAGCATCACAGAACAAGAAACAACGTAGATGATCGGTCCGGTTATAACATCATGCCCTCAAAACCCTCTGAATCCTTTACCAACGGCATACAGCCTGGCGGGGGGTGATGTTGTATCCAGAGGATCGGGACATCAAATAAGTTCCACAAAGACAATTTCGTTATATGATTAACTAGTAATAAGAATATTTGGAACTCTCTCTTTCTCTCGTAATAAAAACTTGACCGTTAAGAGTCTCACGAATTATCTCGTCCCATTTCTGATCCTCGACAAAACAGGTAAAACGCAGTCGCAACACTCGCAATACACACCCATGAGAGGAACATCTTGTTGGGGTGGTACCACCAAGGCCATCTGGTGTGCATTACTCGGACTTCCGAAAGTAGGTCATAATACACACCCATGAGAGGAACATCTTGTAAGGACGGTACCACCAAGGCCATCTGATGTGCATTACTAGTACTTTTCGAAAATCCTGATTATTATTGAAGAAAAAAACAACAGTTTCGTCGGGCACGTTAAGACTAAGGCATAAGCTCTGAGATTGAGAATATCTGAGTTATTATGTTATGTAAGATTTAATATTGTTGTAAGTGGGTGGAATGGAGGCTTTGTAAATGTACTAAGATGTTTGGTCATTTTTTTTGTATGGAGGTTTTACCCTCAAAATTCTTATTAAAAGTGGTACAAAATGATGAAGAGGGGTTCCAAGGCTGCTAATATATAAACAACGAAAGAGAAAAAAATTGCAATAAAAGAGTGTTGATATGTTCAATCGCTGAATTTGCAATCTTTTTTGGAAGAAAAGGAATGTCCTGGAAAATAAATTTCTAATAGGCACGCCATATATGTAAAAGAGTGTAAGAAATAATTAATAATAAATTTGTGTGTGAGAAGATTGAAGAAGCAGGATCTCCCGTAAAGAAGAAATGAAGAAAAGTCGAAGGACAGGATCATGAAACTATAATAATTCCATACTTGATATTTTGATGGACATAAGAAAAGAAAATGTATATTATTTTCTATGGAGAGTTGGCATATACGTATTAAACTGAAAGGATGATTGAAAGCATGTGTTAAAGCTGATGTTGGTAATTTGTGATGATATATTCGAAAGAGTAAATTACGTGCATAGTGATCTATAGGAGTTGACCAAAAAAATTCCAATTCTGAGGTAAAATTAGTGAAGTAGAAGTTTATTGTTTATGATTTTGTCAATATTTTTTTTGTAGACCATTGTTGAAGCATTATGTTAGATGTGGCTGTGGTGGTGAATGGTTGATAATTAATAAGTTCAAGTGAATGGTGATGATTGATTGTTTGTTGATGTGGTGGTTGATAAAAGCGTGTGAAGAAGGGAAAAAAGACATAATGGTTGTTGTTAAGGTCATCTTTGAGTCGGTTTTGAAGTGTGGGGTATTGGATGTAATTATGTTGCTGTTGATCACGTAATTGTAGTTGACCCAAGGTTGAATCGTAAATAAAAAAAAATCTTGAACAATGCGTTTGGTGAAATCTGGACAGCGTGGTGGTCGATTTGAAGATATTTGATCATAGTGTGAGTATCTTGTTTTTGTGACGTGTTGATGAAAATAAATAGGGTGGATCCAGCAGTGATATATTTCTCATGCGCATGGCTCACACACCATCTTTTTTTGCTGGGTACTCTATCATGATTCTCATCCACCTGTTCAAAAAAAGTTGCTGCGTTTTATATTGTTTATTACCCAAAAACCAACACGGATCTCTAATTCCTGCTTTACATATTTAACGACAATTTGTTTTGTGCTCATGAATTTAAGATCTTTTGATTTATTGTATTCTTTATATCATTCACCAGTGGAATCTTAGTTATAATCATGTATTATTGTTTATGGTCAAGGTACCTTTTGGCAGCAACGGTAGAGTTTAACTTTCACTATTTTTTTTATCTTTCTCTATCTCTTCAGTAAAAAAACAACCCGTCTCGTATATTTTTATATTTATTTACTGGCTTATTTTTATATAACAGTATGGTCGATGTTGTTCCGGTACAATCACTCTCTAGTAGAGTTGATTTTTTTTCTAGGAATTTGATGAAGGTCAGAGCGATGTGGCGCATAGTAACTTTTAAACTATTCCTTTTGCTAATGTATTGCCTGTACAAACATCCCAGCGTCAAACATGACTGATAATAGTGAAAGACTCGAAGGTAATATAATGCTGCTCCTTCAATGAAATATTAAAAATAATAAGGACTAATAATATACCGGCGATCTGTTCTCAATTGAGTCGTATGAAAGAGAATGGGCCAGTTCTGTTTCAGTCTGTTATAGATGCCATGGAAACTGAAATCGTTCAAAGCAGTCTTATTTTTGGTGTGAATTTTGATTATAAGGCAATGTGGATCAAGGACATTCAAAATTGTGCCAACAATCTTGAAATACGACTGGTAAATGCAAAAGATTGATGACAAGATAACTTCGGGCGAATAATACGCTACTAACACTATTTGCATAATATGGTTAGGATAACGCGAAGCCAACATGGAAGCGTATTGAAAACAAGCTCAATATTGAACGTCAAGACAACACATCAGCACCAGTAAAAACAAGATCAACTCCGGCACCAGTAGCATCCTCTTCCTCCTCGTCCTCTACTTGTCCAACTTTAAAAACCAAGCTTTCGACCATTGACCGTGACAAGGTATTGAAAGTGTATGATGCATTGATACGAGATGAAAACACATGCTGGGTGCTAAAGGCAACCAAACAACAAGCCACACTCGAAAAAAAGACACTATGGTCAGTCAAAAGAAAAATGCGTGAATTCGTTGCCACTCTTACCTACGTCCAGTAAGTATTGTTCATGGGAAATAAAAAAAAAAGAAAAAGAAAAAACGAAATGAGTCACTAATTCATCTTCAGTCCTACTTTATCATTTATTCTTGACATGAGTGATTTGAATTGGGTCAATTATTTCAATAAGGAAGAGCTGGAGGAACTCAAGAGTAGTGGCCAGCCTATCCTTCGATGCATACACGACGAACTCAAACCAAAGTTCGAGCAGATTGAAAATTTGGTAAGTCTGTGTATGTGAACGGCAACACCACATGTAAATTTCAATATTATTAACTTATTTCGGTTATCGTCGTGATAATATGTATATAGAAATCTGCTTTGGATGCTTATAATTTTAGACGACTCATTGATCATCATCCCATTGAACAACCTTTGCTTGCATGGCTTTCCCAGACGTTGATGCAAACGGCAACGTTTTTTACTCCTGGCGCGCGTACACCTACTCAAAATATGTTGGAAAGTGATAAACTATATTATCTGTGGAGCTTATTGAGTACGATTCACCGTAATTCGGGCATTGAAGCATTGGGGTGAGTGTAAAATTTAATTTGGATGAAGCTGGTCAAAAGCAAAGAATCTTTGGATATTCAGTGCTGACAAAATTTTCATTTTCATTTTATTATTTAAAGAAAGGAAAAAACAAGTACCTTTCATGCTAAAATCTTAAATTCAAAACGCAAACTATCTGCTGTTGATGAGATTGAACGTGAAAAGATTGGTAGAAGACTTGATACAATTTATATTGGCAGGGGTATTGAATTGGGTGGATTAGAGGTAGGTCCTACGAAAGATAATACAAAAGAATTCGAAGATTCTATGTTGAAACTCCCATTTGTTTTCAAGGATATGTTGAGCGAAATCGTGAGCCGTCGTCCTTCACTCTTACATAAGGCTCATGTCCTTGGTTACAACATAAATGGTATGTATGCAAAATAATAATAATAATAATAATAATAATAATAATAATAATAATAGTACATGACTGATGAGAATATGTGCGCTAAAACAAATCAAATACAATAGGTGATGCTGTTCGTTTAATAGATGCAGATATTCCTGGTGGTCATATTGTAAGAATTCGACGAACAGATGAACTCGAGTACCCAACAGACAATGATGACTATGTTTTGAAGATGGTGTCATTACTAGAACTAGCTTCGTACGGAAAAGCCATTATCGATGACACTTATTCTTTGTGCTGTCAAACCCGAGTCCCGCCATTGGCAACTGGTAATCTAAGTCTATTTCCTCCATCATTTGCTCCCAATACTGATAACCAAGGTCAATCCTCGAACGCCTCTAGTTCTGTCAAAAAATCTCGTAAAAATACAAATTAATTCCTTTCAGCATCCATTCCCTCCACCGCTGGACTGCTTTATTTTCACACATCCTATACACCCCACTACCTGAAGTTCTGTGCATCATTTTCATTATTATTCATTTTCTATGATCGTCTTTGGTTGTTTTACTATTATCATATATGCCCTATCATTTTTATTATTATTACCATTTCCTCATCATTGTCATTTTACTATCATTTTTTATTATCATCATTTGTCTCATTACATTCTCTTATTATTCCCCACATGAGTACATTAAAAAATTAGCAAGAACAATTGTCTGATATTATCACAAAGCACTGACACCTAATACACAAGATTATAAAAAAGCATATTCAATAAAAGGGAATGCCCTCTATTTTTTTTTTGTTTGATCATCTCTATTTTACTATGTGTTGGTAGTCCATAATGGATGATTTTCATTTTGACTTCTGGGACAAAAAATATGTGTGTAAGAGTCATTGTAGCGTTGTTGCTATGGCTACGCCTAAATTTGCATGGTGCGGCTCAACTTCAAGCAATTTCGTTCAGATAGCTCAATTTGGAAAACGTGGCCCATTTTCAAAATCGTAGCCCGTTTTAATTTTGTGTGGCCAAATTCAATTTCCAACGCTGTAATTAAAAAGTTCAAATGCTTGACACTATAGAAAATATAAATATTATATGAAAGCAGCATTTTTCTTTTTTCTTTTTCTTCACAACTTTACAATCAAAACTATACATCATGATACAATTTTTTTATGAAGATGGACAGGTAAATGCTGTTGATGAGAACCGCAGGCCTGAGCCAATGGATTACATTGTCGATTAAAACCTTTATGCATTAGAATTGCTTACATCACACACTGAGTATTTGCAGAAAGTAAATTCGGCCCTAGTAATATTCCTGGGGAAGAACCCAATATTTTTTTATTAAAAGAAAGAGACTTGATAAGCTATTTGGGAGCAGCATGAAATAAAATATGTTTATTGTTGATTGGTATCGATGACAGTAAAAGTATATAGTGGTGTAGATAACAAGATATAAATATAATATGATATGTATATAGTTCCAAGGGTGTGTAGCTTAGTCTTTAGGATCCCTGTAATACATGTTTTTTACGGCGCGCTCGTTTCTTGGGGATTTGTACATTAACTGTAAACAGTGGTTGTGATGGTGTAGACAATGGTGATGGCGCCAGAGCAATTCTTCTAGGACTATCGACTAAAACCTAATGGTGATGCACCGAGAGAGTTTGGTGTTGATGATGAGATAGTTGTTGCTACTGATGACGGGTCAGCTACTGCTATTGATGATGGTAACGAGTTTTGCAGATCTTCTTGTACTATGGATTGGAGGGCAAATGGATGTGGTGACGGTGTGCTAGCAGGTAATGCGGAATATCCTCTGCTTGGTGACATCAATTCTGCGTTCATCGTTTCACAAATGCCATCGCTAATTGCTTTGCTAGCGCGTGTCAATCGTCTCTCATTCCATCGCTCGTAATGCATTTTTAGATGATCTGGTGTCTTGTAAAATACTGTTACTCCATCTACCGGCTTGGATGTGGATGCGTTCCAAAGCTTTGGCAATCTGGTCCAGTCTGATGCGCCAATAGTTCTTTGAGCTGGTCCATGGATGATTTCTTGAAACTTTTCGAATTCCTGCTTCGTGTGGACAGGGGTAACAGCATACTTTGTTCCTTGTTTTTGGGCAAGAAAGATGTAGCGCTTATTCAAAGGATTGGCCGTAGAACCAGGCGGTAAGAAGATGTTGGTACTAATGTTGAGAGAGTATGGCCGAGGTTTGAGCGTATTCATTTGGTCGCGATACTCTTCGTTGTTTCGTTCTTCTGCTGAAGACATGTCTATCCCAAGTGTGCGAGCAACGTCAGGTGCAAATTCTGCAATACCAAATGTCTCGCTGCACTCTTTCAGCTCCAAACCTTGGACATGGGCACCCACTTGCTCCTCAATAGCACCACCAGTGCCGAAAATCCCAAGCTTCATCCGTAGGTATACCAATGCTTCAATCAACCATGAATCATAATGTCCCTTGTACTGACGTAAATATCGATTCATAGTGCCGACCTGATATATAAGGTATCTCAATATCAAAACTAATTGATTTCAGTGGATATCACCTTTTACCTTCAAGTTATGACGAAGTCGATACTCAGCAAGAAAGCAATCAGCCAAATGTGGTCCGGCACCGCTAGAACCAATAGCACGGATAATGTTATGATGGACTCCACCCCCTAGAGAGTTTGTTCCACGGGCACACCGATAAAGGGGAAGGTTTGCTTTTTTGTCGTATCCAATTTTATAGTACAGCGGCGTATCGGGATGATCGGAAACTTGGCCTTCATATATTGCCTTGAGCATGTTTTGGGCTTGACGGTGGGCATCATTATCAAACAATTTCCTTCCAGTTCTGGTGCAAATTAGGTTACTGTATTCAGCAAAAAGATTTTGGACTTTAGGACCGAGCTCTTGTGGTGGTGGGACGATACGTTTCACTCTTCGCATAACCCAAGATGGATTCGTGTTTAGCATGTATTCCCATGTAATGTTTTTGGTCGCTAGATATTGCTCCACTTTTTGCCGATCTTCTTGGTGCACAACAAAGATAGCGTTGCGTAGTTGCCGGGAGAATTCTTTTGCGAGAACGTGCCGTTTGGGTATCTTGATAAGCGCCATGAAGTGATAGATGTCTTTTAGGATTCTCGAATATACTGGTTGCTGCTGGGTATCCTGCGCATAAATATTTGTGCAGTTGAAGCTTGAAGAGTCGGAACATGGTATATTCGATGTGCTTTGTTCATTGGAGTTGTCATTGGGTTCGTGTGATGTTGACGTCGAACAAGAAGATGTTGACTCCTGATCACTATCGTCTGGTATACTGTCGGTTATATGAGGTGTATCGTGCATATCGTCAGGTATGTTGGCTTGTGATCGGTTGTTGCCTTGATGCGGTGGTTGCTCTCTCCATAAACATAGCGACTTTTTTTCGAATCGTAGCATGGATATCGGTACTGTCACAGCAAAAGGGAGGTCTCCAAATTCCATAAGAGTTTTTTGAGTGTGCGAGTCAAGAATTGCGCCAGGAACACAAACGTGATTGATCGATATATATGCCATGTTGTCGTCGAATTTATCTAGTAATTTATGAAGAGAAGCACATGTTGTTAATGAATCATATATTTCTTCCAAAGAATATTACGTAAATCGTAAAGTACCTGCTGCTCATGGTGTAATATCTCGCCATATGCAATTGGAAATGAACATTGAAGACGGGAATATATAGCAACGTACCCACCATGCGGAGGAGGATTTAGTACGGTTTTACCCAGTGTGCGAAAACACACAAGCTTTGTATATATCGCCAACGACGCCCACGCGTCCAGCGCTGCATAATACACTTGATTCTCGGAAAGATCTTGTAATTCCCAGTTGCTGTCTCTATCATTTTTTTCGATCCTACCCCCAAGTACTTCTTCAGCAATTGTAGATAGTCCTACATTTCCATTTTCAATGAAGCCTCGTCTATGAGAAAACATGTCGAGCTCCAACCCCGTGCCTTCATGATAGTCTAGTCCGTAGTCGCGCTTTAGTTTTTTTAAGTCACCACTAACATTACGGCCAGCTTTTAGGACCTTGGACGACTTTAGAAGAGTTTCGATAGAAGGAGGAATATTATTATACTGGTGGATTGGCAGGATAAAGACGTAGCTCTAAACCACAAGCTATTTTGTTAGCGTGAAGCTGTAACTTGCCAAAACGATAGTGTAACAGAACAGAGCCAATACCTTGTATGCTAACTGTAATATTGCCACTTTGCCAGGGGAAGCATGTCGACTGAAGTTCCATTCGCAATACAAACCAATTACAATCGTTTGTGGATCAATATCACACAAGATGGTGTTCGTAATTTTTTCTTCAGCTTCGGTTTCATTGCGTATGTAGTGCGTAGTAATAAAGGTTGGCAGGTGTAATATGTGATTGTTGCGGGTAGATTCAGTTAAAGTCAAACTGTTTATCTTGGGACCGTTCTTCAATGAGCTGATATTATCAAGTAGGAACGCCTTGTCTCCCCGGACGTTGTCAGTAAAAAATAGCTGCGGTGATTTATACCCGTCCATGTCGTATGTTTTCATCATTTCCTGAAAAGGCGTCTGTAAATGCGATAATGACTTGGTGGGGACTAGCAATTGCATTCGTATCTCCTCATACTCGTTACATATAGTATATAGAGCGCCAAAAGTCGGTGCGTCACCCATTTTTGCAACTTTCTTCAAAAACTTGAATGTGTGGTCTCCCTTGAGTATCTCTCCATCGATAGTAACCATCTGCTTGTCCATAATTGGCCGAAGAACATCCATGATAGCATTGTATATGAGTCGAAAATATGGTATAAAAGGAACGTATCCAGCGTATCCTTGAGAATCCTTGAATGTCGAGAACTCAGGGTAGCTTCTGATGCGATTTTCGGTCTCCTTGTAACTTGGGTTCGTTCGACGATGTATTTGATATAGGGTGTATATGATATGCAGTCGGATATGGCGTTTGAGGTGCAGCTCCTGTAGCATATCTTGAAAGTTTGCAACTCCCATACCGTGCTGCATACATGGTCGTAAAATGTCAATGAGATCCTTAGAGATAGCACACCGATAGGAAAAAATGGCGGGAAATTCTGCTGCTAGTTCGTCGGGCAGCTGTTTCAAGATTTTTTCATCGTGTGCACCCAATGAGGCATGACAGGTTTTACATTCATATCGTCTTGACATAATATAAAAGCATCTTTCGAACACATAGTTCGCTGTTAAAGGCTTGCCATGATTGTTGCTGCTAATAATTCATACCTGTTCATGTCCACCACTCGACGTGCATAAGAATCCTTGTAGAAGCCTTTATCTTCAAGTTTGCTTCTTTTAAAGGTATTTTCGTCCGCCTCATTGTAGCACCTCGGATCGCGGCAGTACAATCGATCAACCAATAAATGAGGGAACCATAGAAATACACGAGGAAAGTACAATGACTTGGGATTTAATATACTTTCGTCTCGTAATGCAAAATAAGGCGACTTTGGCTCAATCCAAAAAGTTCCATTCTTGTATTCCCTTGGATAACCACCATCTTTGGTCTTGATACGATCTTGGATACTTAAGAAATACTGGGCGAGCACTCCGAAACTTTTTTCTTTGTATCCTCTGTCGTCATCATTGAGTGTTTGTGCTTCGTCAGGGATGGGATCTTCCTCGTTTTCCACGCCAGTATCATAATTAGTATGATTTTCTTCCTCTAATTCGTCGATCAAGTCCTTTAAAGTATAGTTATCGTCATCCACACGAGCCTATATAATCGATACAATAAGTATATGTATGTGGTGGCCCTTTCCGGATACAACCTGTTGGGAGGAAACTTCACAGCTTGGTTGCTCATTGATACCGGGTGGTGAGGCTGTGGCCTCAGCGCTTGTTGTGTCGCGTTGTTCTGAAGAAAGGTAGCGCGAAGGAACGTATTGCATCAAGCTCGTCTGACCGCGAGCGCGAGCCGAGGAGGATTTCTGCTTTTTATTTTTGCTACCTAGAGGTCTACCGCGACGACGTTTCCCATCTGACCGAGAAGTAGAATCACCCATTATTTGTCAAATACGTTATGGAGGAGGTGATAGAGTGGGAAAAAAATACAAGACGAAAGACCAGTGTAAAAGTGCAATGGTTGACAGGAACAATCAAAACGGCAACTGATATACCCACACACAAGCGCTACACAGGGGCAACACAAGATATCGGCACACGTAACAACCCCCGTTAACTTGTTATCTCATTGGCAACCCTCACACTTTGCACCCAGAGAGCAGTTGCTTAACTTTTAAACTCCCAGTAGCTTTAACCCCGCCGTAAATTCTACGAGCACAGTGCATAATTTTATGAGGACAGAATGCAACTCATCATTGAAAAAAGCAGAGTTTCACTCTGTTGAATGAACGTCATGATCGTCATGATCGTGTTCGAGAATGGGATGAAACAGATATGAATTTCTTGATGAATAACCATTCCATATAAATATGAAACGTACAAGAGCTTGGTCAACAGTGGGTACTACAAGAGCAAAAACTACCACGGTATTGGGAGCCATCTCTGCTTCAGGACTAGGTACGAAAATAATCGTAAGTATAAAAGGTAAGTAAAATTTTTCTTTTCTCTATCTATAGGTAAATTATCAAAACTTCATGAAAATAATCTTCAAAATGGTCTTCATTTGACAGCTTAATGCAACATTCGCAAAGTTGCTTCTAAAAACAGGCGACATCAGTATCAAAAAATGCGACATTTGATTTCTAAGCAAACGACTTTGATTTTGAAACATGTGACATTAATTTTGCTGCCAAGCGACATTGATTTTTATTGGTTTGCGACATTGATTTCTACTGGCTGCGACATTACTTTTTGGAAACCCTGTATGTTCAAGTTTATAGAAACCTTTTGTACTACTGACAAGATGCAGATGGAATCCCAAAATTGGGCAGCGATCTTGCTGAACGTAATAGATTTGTACTACCTCATACCACGACAGCTCTACAACACTTGAAAACATGCTGCTGTTGAGTACGCAACGTTAATATATCTTTTTTTTTTGCCAAGAAATGTACTTGATTGTAATAGAACTGAAGAACTGTTGTGCGAGTGTGGTCATACTTTGCAAAACCAAATTGTGAGGAAAAAACATACTGTAAAACTATCATATCTAGTAAACCATTAGTACGAAAGAGTGTATATAACCTCTTGTGATTGTTGCCATATCATAACAATAGGCAGTATCGAATGATGGCTCACTCAAATACTGTATCCGTACGGTGCATTTAGCTACTCATCGTTTTTGTATATAAAGACCCTTGGCATTTTTGACGGGCGCATATGTAATATCGGCGGATATAGTACTATTGTGTTTTTCTATATGTTAACTTTTTGCTTTAATTGGCATGGCTATAATGATCAAACAGCCATGTTTTTGTTGTGGTTGCACTTAATTAAGTACTAGATAAGCAGACAAACAGAGTATTTCAATAGCTCTTACATTGACACCACTGATTCCTTATCTCCAAGGTCTTCAATGTTGCAACCGCTTCTTTCACGGGCTCTGTTTCGTTGGCTTTGTATTTTTCTTCTTTTTGTCAAAGCCAAAGCCTTCATTTGTAGATTCTTAAAATGCATAGACTTCAATAAACAAAGGTGACAGAGAGAGAGAGAGAGCTTGCTCCTGGTTCTTCTTCGCGTGTTGCTCCGTCACCTCCCCGCTCACGCCAAAATAGACCAAAAAACACCGCCAAGAATAAGAGAAAGAAGGATTTGGGAAAGGGATGAAACAACCTGTTTGAATGTTTGTCGATGTGGCCAAGGTTAATTTCAAAGGGCGATGATAGATATTCCCTATTTTAGTTGTCGACTATAAGAAAAAAATGTAATTTGAATTGCTTATTATTGCTCCCAAATTCATGTCTGTATGTGTAGTAGTGGTAGTCGTGGCAGGAAGTAGGTAGGTGTTAGGAGCATTCTAAAGTATTTTCGATCATGAGTCCATTGCTCGCATTCTCGTCTACCACGATCCTGTTACTGCTACTACTTGTATGGGAAAATGCAACAAGGCACATGCAAATTGCAACTATCATAGTTAGTATTAGAAAGAAGCATTACTCGGTGTGTAATATGGTCAGCACATGCATTTTCTGAAACACAGCAACAACGCCAATCGCAAAAACGTGTCATTCTCCTTCCCATCCATTTCCTGCTTTAGCGAAAACTACAAAGATAACCCCTGCTTGTATAGGACGTGCTTTATGCATGTACATCATACGTATCAGCAATGAACAAATGCGAGGGGCAAGGGGGTGACACAAAAGGCAAATTCTTATTCATGCAACCAAACAAAAAACTTTGACACAAGGTCATACCTGTTCCGATACGATGTCCCTCCGACGTTTCATTATGTATTATACACATTGTACATACGTGTTCCTTATCAACTGCGATGCTACCAGCAGTACGTCGATAAGCTCGTTGAATGCCATGAAATTTTGGCGCTACTGCTTAAAGTATGATTCGTTACGGGCCATACCATTTGAGAAGTAGTAACAAGTAAATTATCGGTTGACTAGACGTCAAGACTTGCCGTCGACTTTTATCAGCTACTTATCGTGCTTTTTACCAAATAATGACGAAGATGGAATTGTCTTATGTTCGTAAAAGAAACAGCGATCATACGCTGCTACTGTATGTTATCAATACCAACGACAAGTCCCATCGAAAAGTATCACCATGCTAATATCATCACAGCCGATCAAAACAAACAAAAGAAAAAAGAAAAACCCGGGTTTCTACGTGCTTTGTGTTGCGCGATGACTACTGTGTGTTTTTCAGATGAAGAAAGTAAATAAATCTGATCACGTTTGTTTTAGAGTGAAAATCATGATAGCGTACATGTATCAATTGATTTAGAATCTACTAAAAGAAAATGCCAAGCCCTTTCTGTTTTAATTAGTAGTTTGGAGCCTTCCCCAATTGAACAAAAAAAAATTCCCGTAAATGGAAAAAAAGAAGAGGAAGCTAATATAGAGTTATTGAGGGATTCCTCTTTTTCTAGTGTCACCAATCCCGTACCGAAAAATGAAAAACACAAATGAATATCATGTTTGTAAAAGAAAAGAGTTGGAAAGCATATACATGAGTTAATAATTTGTAAAAAGAAGAAAAGTTGCAAAGATTTACACGGTTGCATAATTGAAATTGAAGATGAACGAGGGGAAGATATATACTACAGGTTGCATATAAAAGTGTGAAGGTGAGGTTCTTTTTTTAATAATTGAAGAGCAGTACTACAGTTTAATAGGGTTAGAGAGAGACATGGTATGTGTGTGTGTGCTAAGAGGTTATGGTGATAGTAATAGCAACAGTTGGATAAGAAGAAGCAAAGTGGAAATCGAACAAAGAGAGAAACATGGGAAACGTAGACATGCGCGTATAGTGGAGAGGTGAGTGATTATGGTGCAAGAAGTTTGCGAGGAATATGTATATATGCTAGCAGCTTAGTATAGAGTGGTTTTTTTAGTAGGCCCAGCCTGAGAAGAAGATGAAGAAGAAGAAGAGAAAGTTATTGAGAAAGCAACTGGTGAATGGAAACTCGGTTCGGTGCGCCCAGTGAGGATGTTGCTGCTGTGGAAGGAGGTGGCAGACTAGGAGGAGGCAATGATGGACCAATGACCATATCACCCATAATGGCGCGTAGAGGTGGTAACCGGTCTCCATAGCGATGTGGATGATGTTCAATGTCAACAAGTACAGGAGGTGGCGTAAGTTGCCTTGACAACGTGTGCAGGGTGTTGCTATGTCCCATTTTGTCAAAGTGATAGCCGGCGAGATCCGATGAAAAGTGTTGCTGACCCGAGGAAGGAGGCGGCGATGGTATTGATTGTTGAGCAGCGCTTCTATGTAGCTGTTGGTGTTCTGTGTAGGTGCTGTATGGTGTTGTGACAGGAGATGGCAATGGGTCGAGTTGCATAACAGGAGGGGGTGGATGTTGTGATGATGATACGGATGATGATGACGATGAGGAGGAGGTAATGGAAGAAGAGCAAGATAGTGCTGATGATGAAGATGGTGGTAGTGCTGCTGCTGATACCGGTATCGGTACTAGCGGATGATGTTGTGATACAGGTGAATGATGTTGTGATGCCGTGGTAACATCGTCGCTGTTGCTGCTTATCTGATGAGAAGGCGGTACGGACGATTGCCATCGTCCAAAGTGAACGTCTTGGTTGTGGCCATTATCGATGTACCCAGCTTTTCGTTTATAGGTCCGCATGGTGCTGGTGTGATCGTCTGGTATCGACGTCGCTTGTTGTTTCATCGTTTCGACCTTACGTTTACGACCGCTGACACTACACATGCAAAAGTTTAGACAGGTGCGCCAGAAATGAAACGCGTCTATCTAAGCAAAAACTTACGAAGGCAGACGATGTTCCTTTCTGATGCGCATCTTGACGCCTTGGTCACAGAATGTGCGCGACAAGAACGTTGCTTCAAAGGGTCCTGGGAAGCGTTTGGGTAGAAAGACAGTAAAGGTGTCGGAGAGCATCGTTTTACGATTTTGGATATCGCCCCTAATAACAACAGTTCATTGGATCAGTTTCAAGCTATTGTTGTATTGGCATAGCAAAGGGACGGGGGGTGGGAAATACACCCTATACGGGTAAATTGCAGACGGGCATACATACTCGACAATCTCAAACAGGCTGAAATGAAGACGGTATTTTCCTTCTTTCTTCACAGCAAGGTCGCCAAAGACAAAGAAGCCACCGTCGGAATTATCAATGTCGCGCAGACGGTACAGCGATGAGACTGTTGATCCGGACAAATAGTCCTGCGAGGGCAGCAGTAATGTGTCGGGATCGTCGTCGGTGACAATGTTTGCAACCAAAAAGTAAAAGGGGCTTTGCAGACATTTCCTATCAAATGTGTGCAAGCTCTGGTCAGCTTAACTGTCGCTACACTAGACATGCCGACTTCCAAGTGTCTTACTTTATTTCGTCATCGGAACAGTTTTCCCATTGCATCTGTAAGATGGGTGGAGGTTCAATGGGTCGTCGGTCTTTTAGCAAGGTAAGAAAAAAAAAAGAAGGGTAGAATAAAACGGGTCAGGGCCACACACAATCACAGACAGAATAGACAATGGGTCATATGAGGGGTTGTTAAACGTACCACGTTCGTTGATGACGCTCATTTTCGCTCGTTTTGGCTGTTGGCGGATGACGATATCATAGTCTCTACTTTGATTGGAAACATTAGCAAGTGTGCGAGGCATTTGAAGGAAGCCGTGGGGCAGGGCTCGTTTGTACCTTTCTTTGGGGAGATCAGCTAGAGAACTGGGAATAAATCGGTAGGTGCATGCGCTCGCTCCGGAATTACTGCTGCCTGCGGCGGCGGCCTTTGCAGCGTTGTTGACCATTTGCGTAATAGGGTGGAAGAAGAGGAGGTGGAAAAGGGGATATGCGGGGAGGGAAGAAGTGACAAAGTTAAGGAAAAGGAAGAAGAAGAAGAAGAAACAAAAAAGATGAAGAAAAGGAAAAAATAAAACAACACAAAACAAGAAAAAAAAAAAGCAATCCGGAAAAGAATTTCCCCATGTCAGGGTAGGCTGCTGGGGGCCATATCATAGCACACACACACACACACACGTTGGGCAAGCAAACCAGCAGCGAAGATGATTACATTTACCCAGTAAAACAGTATACATGGCCATCAGCTATGGGCGTAAAAAGGGTCGGACGACGCGGGCCCACAAAAAACCGCTCAATTTGACTAAATTTACCGGAAAGGGTATGCCAAGACATCCCCGGGAGAAATCAGCAGCCCCAAAAAAGGAAAGGCCTTGGTGTGTTTATCCCATTCATTTCACACTCCCCCCCATCTCTCTCTCTCTCTCTACCTCTACCTCTCCCCCCCGACCCAGAAAACTACAGACACTTTTTTCCGCTCGAGCGCGCCTCTGCCTCTCTTTCCCCCCCCCTTACTCATTTCACCCACTGACCCTGATGATATACTTCCGCTGGCGGGTATATCGCCCGCCGCTATTATTGCACCCCACCCAGCAGAAACAGCTCCCCAACAACTTTCTGGGTAAACCCACTGGACAAGGTAGCGTTGTGGCAAACAGCAGTAATAACCTTGTAATACATGGCAAGAAAGGAGTAACACCCCCCCTTGTATATTTTTGGATTTGAAGAGTGTTATTTTGCCCATGTAAGGCATACGGTCACACAGACACAAAGTTGCAATAGTAAATTAAACTTTACGCTCTTGCTGTTGTGATGCAATTGTTTGACGGTCTTTTGGTTCTCGCAGCTTGTTGCTATTTTTTGCACCAGCGTGGAGATCAGCTCTTGATTTGGCACACCCACCGCTCGGTCGATACCGCTAATGATGATAGTATGATAATAGCACTCGCCCATTACTGTAGCGGGTAATCATACTAATGATGGGCATGTCTGGCAGTCATAATATCATGCACAATCATCATCTTTTAAGATCGCTTGGCGAAAAAGATATGATACAATTTTATTATTGCTTGTTGTTGTTGTCATGGACAGTAGTATAGCAAGATGTTGTTGTCGAGGTGTTGTTGTGATACAGGATCCCTTGACCATCCTTGCCATGGACCAACACCTGCACCGACTCCTCCTGCAATTTGTCTATCGCATGGTCGTCATCCTGTTCCGCCTTAATCTGAAGTGTTTGAAACACAGGTGAGTGTTTTACTGACTAACAGTGCTAGAGCTGTTTGCCCATGTGCTATGTATAGACCTACCACCGCCTCGCTGTAGGATGCCAGCTTTCCATTCCAATCCTTCTTGGTGTGCACCTTGGACTTTTCGGTTTCAAGAGTGTCGGGATCGTTGTCGGCCATGTTTGAAAACGCCGACATGGTACGCTTGGATTGGTTGAAGTAGCAGCCTGCTGCTGCTGCTGCTGCTGTTCTTCTTCTTGATGCCAGTTGATAGCTGGGTCTTGTATTACCCGTCGCAGTATTTTTAGCGGTTGATCTTTTTAGTGCTTGCAAAAACATAGTCTGATATAATAGCTGTTTCTTGTCAAAATGAATACAGAAAAAAAAAAGGCTTTCTTCTTTCTGCTTCTCTTATATACTGTAATTGCACTCAATGTGGCTCTTGAGCTCAATTTAACGTCATAGAGAATCATCCTTTCATTTTGGAATAGGCTGGTTTTTCTGATATGATGATCATTTTCCACCCCAAAAGCCCCGACAATTAAACCAATAGCCCACACACACGCGCATACAGTGAGAGAAGGGTCGTGGGAACGAGTATAGACTCTTGGCTGGTTTTCTTTTCTCTTGCAACTTCTTTGAGCAAATGCACCCGGCTTTTTGGAAACCGCCAGTTTTGTTGAAAGTTCTTGGTTTTCATGCGTGACACCTATAAGATCGACCATCACAGCAGCACAACGCATTGAAAAAGAAGGTTGGGAAAGTTCCATGGATTTCTACATTTTGTGTTCCAATGCAAAACGTATTAAATGCTCGCGTACTTCCTTTAGTGGAACCAACAGGAAGCTCAGCAGTCAATAGCTGTTTTTCTGCCTGCCATACCACCAGGTTCTACATGCAGCAGCAGCAGCAGCAGCAGCATCTTTCATATGGCAAGCCAAGGAAAACCAACAGTGGAACAATAAGGTTTCCTGCAGGATGCAATATGCATGGTTATTGCATCATCTTCTCTCTCTTACTGTGCGGACCCCACCCCCATCAACCGTCATTGTTTTCTTTGCTTTCTCTATAGCATTGAATTGAAAAGGAATGCTTCTTTGAGTATCGTCCAATTAGACAATGAATGAAACGCTTTTGTTTGTTGAATGATGTCTTAATGAGACCAGGGCGTTCACCTCAGCTGCGTCCTACTTCTCCTTCGCCCCCCCCCCTCCCCCACCCAAAAATTAATTCAACCGTACGACATAGGTCCGAACTACTTGTGAGTATTTTGAGTTAAAGAGAAAGTTTCCATGGTTACGCTTTTAGGATTCATAGTTACGCTTTTTGGGATGAAACCAACCACTTTGTTCAGATAGGTGAAATGCCAGAAAGGACCACGGCAACGTGACGATTTGATGTTGCATTTACATAGCTCATCAATTCACGCATCATCCCATTTCTTGCTGCAACTTTAAAGATGGCGTCGAGGAACGCTTAAGGTTCCAATGATATATTCCTCTGCGAAGGCATAGAAGACAATTCAATTAAAACAACGTTGCTATCGTTATTAAGAACATTGCCTACTGGCGTGATATTATTAAGCTACATAAATACACTTAGACATCAAAGGTTTTGTAAGTAGAATTGTATACATAAAAAACGTAAATTCTATCAAGTACTTGCACTTGCTATAAATCCACTGACAAGGTTTATGTTACTATCGAATCAGAGTTTAATCCAGTAAATGCAAACAGCACTTCCAATGCTTAGGTCTATAACTTTATTACTACCGAGATGTATATTGTTCCAAACAACGAATCCGTATTTATTTATTAAGCACGAGCCAGCTGCATCACAATACGTATAGCCTTGAGAGGTAATGTGCCAGACCAAAATGAGACCGGAGTTTCAATGCTTCTCCCGGTGGCCGACCGGGCAGTGGGGGTCCATTTGGAAGCCTGCTAGGTGATGATTGAACGGTCTCTTTTCCCCCTAAATAAGGTGCGTCGTCAATATACAATACATACCACGAAAACAACAACTGTCGACGATATATAATACGACGGATGAATTGAACGAATACGTGGATGAATGGATACGTCAAATGGATGGATGGATTAACCGTTGGTTTTTTCTATTTGAATCGCATCTTGTAATTAGAAATGGGTCGTGTCATTCGTGCTCAGAGAAAGGGCGCCGGTAGCGTCTTCAAGGCGCACACCGTTGGCCGCAAGGGTGCTGCTCAATTCCGTGTTCAAGACTACTCCGAACGCCACGGTTACATTCGTGGTCTCGTCAAGGAAATCGTTCACGATCCTGGACGTGGTGCTCCTCTTGCCAAGGTACGAATTTCAAGGCTATGATTCTTGAATTTAATTCGGGAACAATAAGCTCTGTATTTTCTAACTTGACTATAAAATTTAGGTTGTCTTCCGTGATCCCTACAAGTATGTAACCTTTTTTATAAATTTTATCCAACGCATATCGACCCTATCGACAGCAACAGCAACAGCAGCAGATACGATATTCTCACCCTTCTCGAAATAATTCTTTGACGAATCAATTAAAATCTCGAACGAATCACGGCTTCGCACAACCCAACAATATTGACGAATTTTTTTGTCCTTGAATTATAGGTATAAGCTCCGCACCGAGACTTTCATTGCCACTGAAGGCATGTACACTGGCCAGTTCGTGTACTGCGGTAAGAAGGCTTCGTTGAACGTCGGCAACGTCTTGCCCTTGGGCTCCATGCCCGAAGGTACCGTTATCTGCAACGTCGAAGAAAAGGCCGGTGACCGTGGTGCTCTCGCCCGTGCTTCTGGCAACTACGTCACCATCATTGGTCACGGCGATGACGGCAAGACCCGTCTCCGCATGCCCTCTGGCTCCAAGAAGATCGTTCCCTCGACCTCGCGTGCTGCCATTGGTGTCGTTGCTGGTGGTGGTCGTATCGACAAGCCCCTCTTGAAGGCCGGTCGTGCTTACTTCCGTGCCAAGGCCAAGCGCAACAACTGGCCCCGTACTCGTGGTGTTGCCATGAACCCCGTGGACCATCCTCACGGTGGTGGTAACCATCAGCACATTGGTAAGGCCTCCACTATCTCCCGCGCTGCCCCCGCTGGTCAAAAGGTAATGTGTCTCTTTGTATTTTGGATTCATTTGGAGGATTGATTAGAAGAACTGGTGATGATGGTGATATGTGCTATTCATTGGAAAATACTAATGCATCTCGTTTTTTTTTGTTTGAAAATAAATAGGTTGGTCTTATTGCTGCCCGCCGCACTGGTCTCCTCCGTGGTACCAAGAAGGTCAAGGATCAATAAATGCAATAAAAAATTACCATATGCACCCTTGCTTTCTTTCTTCCTCTCTTTGTCTTTTCTTTAAACAACTTGTGATATCTTATCCAGTTTCTTTTGAAAATCAGCATTCTTGGAAACATTATTTTGATACAAGTATGGTTTGTCTTGGCACTTGTATGTTTATTTGGCTGGAAAGGGAAATCATCACAGGTATATCATCGTAGATGGAAAAAGCAGGAACTTTGGATGGATTTGGGGTGCTTACTGAGATTTGGGGGAATCAGGATTGAAAAAGTGTTTCATTTCATCGATTTCGATTGCATGAGAGCTATCATGCTGTTGAGGTGAGACGAGCGGGCTTCTCTTCACTTGTTAGCTTCATCTTGTAACAGAGGAGTTTAACCAACAAAAATTATGCAGAAAGAGCAATTGAGATCATGAGCTGGGTTTACGCTTATATGCTAGAGAAACGGTCCCTGTATCAGTAAGCATTCTTAATGTTTGTTCTGGAGAATTCGCTCTTTTTCTATGGGTATTCTTTTATTAAATGATCCAACGGATTTTGGCAGACTTCACGAATAGCCAAGAAAAAGGTACATGTATTTATGGAATGGACGACACACTCAGGCGTCCAACTTTCTGTAGTTAGTGGGGTAGTAAATAAGCGAGAATACCGGCTTGAGACGGATGAATCACACCATCAGTCTTAGAGCTCTCAATTGCACATGTACTTTTACGCTGACAGATCACATTGTGTGTTGGTTTATCCGTTTTCCGGACACTCACCAGTATTTGTTTACATGATATATACTAGTTTAGCAAAACACAGACGCTGAGCCCTCTTTCTCTCAAACTACCAGGAATTCCTCTGTGTAACTCCCATTGGATAGCCACATGTGCATATGCACACGCACATCAATACATACTTTTGGAAACACTGTATCATATACATCATCTTCAATTTCTTTTCCTTTTCTCTTTACTACGTTTCATAAACACCATGACAAAATCTCGTGAGAAACAAGCTTTATGCGATGAACGGGAAGACAGCATGACAAATGTGCAAGCGCCACTCAAAGGGGACGAGATTCTTGTCGCCGCAATCAATGTCAAGATCTACGCGGTCCGGAAAAAAGACGGGGCTCGTATCTGGAAAGCAGAAGCCCCCACGGGTGGCGGTTCAAGTGGTATCATTTCACTCTTTATCACGGATGAGGATAAGCTTATAGTGGGTGGAGGAGGCAGAACTGCTTGCATGAACCTCTTTACCGGTGAAACGATATGGCTGAATAAGATGCCTGTAAGTTTTGATTTAATTATAATGAGTGAGTGGATCAGAATATTCCTCTCCTCAACCAAATTATTACTCCCCTATTGTATATCAGGATTGCGGATACGGAGAAGTAGGAGTGATTGCAACAACAAGTCGTATCTTGCCTCCTCGAGCACAAAATGCTTTGCGCACAGATGATACGCTGCCGCCTTCATATGAAGAATCGTCCAGCAGACATCAACAGCAGCAACAGTCGTCCCCGGCGGTCATTTCTTGTACAGCGGGAAAATGTGTATCGATCGATATGGCCACAGGGTAATAGAGATACAGGAAGAAAAGTATAAAAAGGTCATTACCGTTATATGGTAGATGATGATGATTCTCATTTCAATACCGGTATATCATGTCACCAAAGACATCAACTCTGGGAGTTTCCTTGTCCCAAGGGTGGCTGGTACATTCCAGTAGCGCTTATTGAGCCCGTTTCTGCAGAATCGCATTCATCAGAACAAAAAGTATATGTTGCATGTGGCAAGTGGATCTATTGTTTGCAAGCAAGGAGCGGTATTTTGGAATGGAGTAGACCTGTATCCAACATGGCACAATTTTTTGGCAGGTATGTAAATACATATATACCTTGTTCAGCATATGTATGTGTTACATCGTTCACTTTTTCATAAGAGCGCTGATACCATTATTACATCTCCTTTATATGTTTACATTGTTCTTCAGTCCTGTGACATTGGCAACAGCCTGGAGCTCCAGACTAGCTGCGGAAACCCACTCAGCATATTCTCAATTCCCCGGCTCCCTAGTAGAAGAGAGTTGATCGCCATCGTCATACTAGTGCTTAATTACTATCATATTTCTATTTATATATTTTATGCTGCTATCTTTATAATATGGCTGTCAAATATATGTATTCAAGTTCTACAATAAGATAGTCTATCAGAGACCAAATGTTAAATACATACAGTAGCAAGTAAGCTGTCTCTATAAGAGGGGTGTAAGGTATAAAAATAATGATCATGTTACTATTGTAGACGGTTGTAATGACAGAGTTGCAAGGCTAGGATAAAAGGCATGACATTTTTTTTTGTTTGATCGACCTTGATGGTGCATTTCTCGTGCCTGGCGGCAAAGCTCCGCAGCAACTGCCATACTTATACCAGTAGTATCTTCAGAGTCAAACTGGCATTTCAGCGAGCGTATATCACGTGTGGAACATGGATCTATTGCCCATAGGCCTTGGGCAGAGCTCATCGCGGGTGGTACTGAGTAGGTTAACTTTCAGCTCTTTTTTATGTATATGTGTCGTACATGTTAGGGCTGCTATTGTCTATTTATCAATAGTTCCGTAATGCTAGCCTTGGCATGGAGTTGCTGATACACGATGAACAGATTTACTCATAGAAAATGCTGGATCGTCATACATAACGCACACATATTGTACAGTACGCATACTTCTAATGAACGATTAATCTACTCAGTGCATACTTGTTTATGTATGAAGCCTATGTTTACATTGAAAATACATGCAACTCGTTATAAAACCACTACTTATCTTAATAAATTTGTTGACGACATCAAAAACTTAGAGAATTACTACACATATGCGATCTTTTTTCTACGCTCTAAATTGATTTTTGGGTCACATAATCGGTCACATAAGCTGAGATTGACTATTTAATGGGTTGTATCATCTCATGGTATGCTGCAAATCTTGCGTTCACATTAGCTTGATTTCTAGTAGAGAACTTTTCAGATAATACTGATTATTTCCTTATTTCGATAGGGGCGCCAGATTCGTAGAAATAACTATAGCAAGCTCCAAAAACAACAGCAAATACCAAAAACTAGGTCATCAACATATTCTTCCGTCGTGATGTCTATTAATATGAGAAAACTACTAAAAAGAAGTTGAGCAGTGCTACCAGCCTAGTAAAATTTATAGGTCAGCAAGTTGCATAAACGGAATATACAGCCACAGCGGCTATGGCTATATGATAATCCGGACCCCGCCATAAATAATTTCAAAGAGGCATGGGCACTACAACAAAAGTTTCTTCTTTCCTAATTTTTGAGGGCATTCAACTGTCTTTAATGATTCTTCGGAGGGCGAACCGGCTACAACAGTGCTACAACATCCGAACATTTAGATCCAATAGACGCTTCTTCTGTCGATCCCTTGCACCGAGTCTGTTTGTCTACCATGCCGACACAGCATGTTATCATGAAGCTCTTTTGACTACCACCAAAAGCAAAACGACAACAGCTGCCAGCTGCGGTGCGGGTCCAAGCGCGTCATATAGTAGTAACTCGTTCAACATGAACGGATCCAATAGAAACTTTGCAACCAACACGTCGTCATGGATCGCAGCATGTTGTGCAGCGTTCAGAATTGCTTACCGAGAAAAGAACACCTCGATTGAGGCGTTTGTGTCAGAAGTGAAACGTCATTTGCACGACTGGTTACTTTTGCAACGAGGACGATATTGCACCTATCGGCCCATGACAGATTATCAACGGAAACCGCCACGTCAGTACTATCGTCATCGTCAAGGCTCTTCTTCTGGTCCGTCCATGCTACTACGGCAACAGCAGCGCCGTCAGATGCACAGCAGCTCGTTCCAACCTAGTCCGCATCGACCGAGCAAGGATGAACTATTGGCGCAGGCGCGTGGATTCTTGGAACGGTGGAAGATCCGAATAAAGTATCCATTGATGCGGCAAATGCGGCCATGGACACTCAACGACGTCACTGCTTTGTTTTCTTGGTTGTTTCTGGGTCACAGTTTATGGTTGTTGGTAGGCACCACAAGTTTTGTCTCTTTAATCTTGTGGTTGGGCAACTCGCTCCAGTTTCAAGGTAAATATTTTGTTTTATTTAGATTTCTAAACACTTGCTTTTGATTTCTCACACACTAAACACACGCATGGTATAGAGTGGATCGCGTACAGAATCGGCCAATACCTCACATCAGCCACGGGTGCAACTGTGGTATTCGACTCGGCTATTGTACCGAACTGGAAAGATGGCAAGATCCGTTTGAACAATGTACAGATCTATCGAATGCCTCGATCCGAGCGCGCAAAATTTGAACGACACGCAGCTTTGATCAGCAGTGGACAGCGAAGCCTCGTAGAGAGCGAACAGCAGCAGCGGCAAGCGATGACGGACGACGATGATCCACTTGCAGGTGTATATTTTGACGACGACGAAAAGGATAATGAAGTTCTGAAAAGTTGGATGTGGATTGATTTAACACTCGAACGTGTCGAGGTGACTCTCAGTTTGATGCGTTGGATGGACGGCAAAGGCTTGGTGCAGAGTGCTGATATCAAAGGTGTGCGTGGGGTTGTGGATCGACGACACGTACGATGGACCGGCACTTACGATCCTGTGTCGGCACGACACAAATACACACCGGGCGATTTCGAATTGGGCAAATTCACATTGGAAGATTTGCTTGTGACAGTATACCAGCCCAACGGATTCCGCCCTTATCCGATCTCCATCTTCCAAGCGCAGCTCGATCAATTCCGCAAGCAATGGTTGTTTTACGATATCCTATGTGCCACGTCCATTGTTGGTGCCTTCGACAAGTGTTTATTCAGCGTGCATTCGCCGCAGCTGGAAAAGAGCATTCTTGAACAATCCGGTCATATCGACTCCAATAAACCCAGCTTCCGCAGCCACGATATCTACCATTATTATCCATTTGCAAAACCAGATCCAAACGGTGTCGTGGTCGGTGGCGAGACGGAGCAGTTTGGTGTGCTAACGGATCAAGGCATGCGCAAGCAAGGTTATAAACGCAAATCTCGTTTGCGTGTTGATGGTGTCAACATTGACCATATTAATCGTGGCGTGGCGGGACCGCCTGGATGGATCACATCGGGGACGGTCGACACCTGCGCTGATATTTATATCCCAAAAGAAGCATCCGAAGCCGACTCGACCGAATTGTTACGTAAGCTTGTGTACGAATTGACAGACAGCATCGAATTACCTCAGCCTGTCATGCTTGGTGCCGGCAACAGTGACGATCTCTTAGTCGTTGGACGTGGTGGAAACAGCGAAGCGTACAAAAAGAAGATCCGCGAAGAACCCAAGAAGTTTGTCATGGATATTGATTTCCGTTTCAAAGATAGCAAAGCATCTGTGCCGCTTACTACACCCGATTTGAGCTACGTCAACAACGCCATGGTACGACCTGTTGTCGCCTACATTAACCGCAACAAGACGATCGTACCTATCAAGTGCCGTGTCATCATGGATTTGAGCAACTTTGATGGTGCTTGGTCTGGCTATGACTCGACATTGATCGACCATATTAGTGAACAGCTCGGTAAAGGCTTTGTGGACCTGACAATGGATCAGCAAAAGCACAATCGACGTTTGAAACGAATAGGCTATTGGAGCTTGCGGGAAATGCTTCGCAACATTGTCAGTATTCATGATATGATGCGCGTTACCTCTCGTGGCTTCTGGAGCTACCTTGGTACTGGGGGTGCCACGGCCTAAAAGAGAAGTAGAACCTCTCCCAATCTTCTAAACATCATTTAGCACATACTTTGTATACAGCACATTTATTTTTCATCCCACCCTCCTCACTACTCATGCAGAAAAAAGACATGCCCATTATATATTTACTCGCGATACGCCCTTTTATCTTCTTTTTCGGTTGGACATACCACTTATTACCCACCCCTCTCCTCAACTCATCATTGTAAATAACTGTTGGTATAAAAAGATTGTTGATTCGTTTTCTTCCTTCATCTAGATATATGTTTGCCCTTCTTGACTGCTTCCATGACAAACACATTCACTTTAAATAGGTCCATGGGTATCGTTTTAATGGGGATCAACGAATTCCATCGGTGTTGCTGCTCCCCAGCAACTTCAATACCCTCTTGAGCTGACGAAGACGGAATCCAGTCGACGTGATAGTCCTCTCTTGACCCTCTTCCTTGATCTTGTGGAGGTCCACTGTATGTCTCGACGGTCAATGTAAACGTACAATCAGGTGGGTTGCTACTTAGAGTCGACCGTGTTGCAGTCATACGCAATAAACACGCGCGTAATTGCTGCTGTACATCCGCCAATGAACATGTTGCTTCGCTATCTAATACAGTGTCTATCGGTACGTCTAGCGCCCGCAATGCCGAATCGATCTCAAACACGAAGCGCTCTAAGAGACGGTTGTTGCTAGGGGCTATGATCTTGAGCGCGATACGTTTGCAATTGCCCTAGTAACAACGGGGCATAATAATCATCAGTCTTCAATCTCAACTTTGATTATCATAACCAACCTACCTGTCGTACAAGCGGCTTTAAAGATTCTACAAATTCGGAAACATAACTCGCTACGCCTTCATGGGCTGCTATATGGACAGGAACGTCGTATTTTCTTTTAAGAGAGAAAATAGCTATGAACGATCACCGACGAGAATATATACAAGATTGAAGTATTTTGTAAGCTAAATTCAGTTGGACAATTACTTCATGCTCGAAAGGTTATAGATTACCTGCAGGATATAGGTCGCGCTCGTACAAGATCTGGTGAATCCATACGTCTACTACATAAAAAGCATAAGCAAACCAATCAAGATCATTGACAACAATGAAAAAGAGAACATTATTTACTGAAATCGAGCAACAAATTAACCAGATCTATGTGTATTGGGATTTAGTCACACGCTACGACTTATTAGATTACTGTTGGTCAAAAAACAAACATAGTAAAACCTTGTGTGTCTTACGACACAATAACAAACCTTGTCGCGTAAGCATTTACGTGATTTTTGTGTTATATATGCTCGAATAAAGGAAGGAAAGGAAAGGATAGAATGCTGTATAGCACAATATTAACGTAGACCGAGTTTAAGTTTGTTTAATTTTACTTTAATATATTTACTTGACGACAACTAATTGTGGTGGTGAAGAGGTGGAAAAGGGTTGGGAAACATACAATCGTTGTGTAAATGGAAATAAAGGTGTTTAATGTTCCGGTACAACCGCAACATTGACTTCATTCACGAAGGATAAGTGTCGATTCTCACGACGTACCGCTAATAGCAAAGATTTTCCACCATTATGGCTAAGGGCAGATGCTGGTACAGTGAACGGGAACACGAGATCATCCAAAGGTCCTCCACCCAAAGTCGTCTGACGACTATTTGCGAAAAAGAGCGAGACAGTTTGGTTCGGCGGCACATCATCACTGAAAGTCTATTACAACGATTACCTCTTAGTTGTGTCGTTCTCATAGCCGAGAGTAAACAAACAATACACAATGTATGCAAAGCGGCTTACCACATTGACATGCTCGCCTACTCTCCAAACGGTATCTTCAGTTGGGTAAATGATGCCTATTTCAAACTCACATTAGAGAAACCCTCTTTGTACAAAAGATGTGGTCCGTGCGAAATCCATTATCTTATATTTACCTCCACTATCCTGTGCGACGACGGCCAGGCTAGCGACGACCATGAATAGAAAGACATTTAAATAGTTGCTGATCATTGTGAAATCTTGTGTGTTTGTTCAGTTTTTTTCAAAAAAAGTTCCATCAACAATCGTGGAAAATTGCCTTTTTATATGTAAAGTCATTGTTATATTTCATGTTTCAATAAAATGTACGGTTTTATACAGAAATAAAAGCAAACAAAGAAATTTTAATCATAAACAAATAAAAGAGAGCTATGTACATGCATATTTTAACTATGTGTTAGATACAAAACAAATGGTTGGATGATGATCCTCGATAACATTCCGTTTAAGCAGTTCCATCGGTGTTCTGTTGTTGTTCGCTCCCGTTTGATGCAACTACTTGTTCAATATATGATAGATCGCTTTCAGGAGCAGTAGAAGCATCGCTTGAAGTGTCGTTTACCGGAGGCATCTCAACCATGACTGGCACATTATTGACGTCCCAGAGATAGAATTTACGACGAAACACAGCGAGGAGTGTTGAGCTGTTACAACCTTCCGGTGTCAAAGCATCCTCCGGCACAATAAATGTGAAGCTTCCTTGCTTTGCAGGACCAGCTATTATTTAATAAAAATCAAAACGTCAGTACTTCCTATTCCCGAAACATTATTTTTACCATCTGCATGCCTCTCAGAGAGTTACACATACAAGCTAGCAAATGCGAACGGTCTTCGTCGAAATGCCATAGTGTCGTTGTCCGTATACCGGGATGGACCGTATTTGACAGTGGCGGAAAATACCAGAATATAGAGTCTCATGAGGTTGAGGTGATAAGAATTCGCCAGCATTGACAAAGGTGCTGAGAGACGAGAGTGCGAGCAAGAATACAGGAACGAACTTCATTGAGACAATAATATGATAAGATAATACATGTTTAGCTATTCAATGCACTACATCAAGCCTTTTTATAACTTTCTAAAATTCATCTGGCGTAAGTGGGTCTGCTCGCGCTCTCGATAAACAAGATGTGGTCCGCTTTCTCATGTCTTTGCTACCGGCGCTAACACATATATTGAATGTTGCGCGATCGGCGCTCGCTTCAATCCATCGCATTCTGTACCCCAACCAAGTCCCTCTTGCAGAAAAACCTTTAGTTCACAAGTTTTTCAAAGCTAAAAGGAGACAATAATCCAAAAGTCGTACTATCAAACGCAAACCCCATGTCTCATGACTTGTTCGTGGCAACTGGAATCTTGGGGTTGGAGTGAAGACTTGAATATGGATAAAGTACAAAAGAAAATGGCTGTCCTTTTGGCGATGGCGACCAAGTTGCGGCCTCGTTGGTATATTGAAAATTTACAACATCGCGAATTGGTTTTTTATCGAGATGGTTCCATCAGGTCGTCCGCTGTACTTTGATCGCGCGGTTCCCGAAGGAGGCGACCGGCAAGGCATCCAAACTTGGCAGTGTTGTCGAGTATTCAAACGTGCGTCCTGTACGCGCATTATCTTTGTTTATTGAACGCACTCAGCCTTTTCGCCAGCCTTTACCTGTAATCCACAAACAATTTTGTGCCGATATCACCAATGACACCTGGCGGCTGCCGGTTTCAGCAACGACGGTGGCTAACTGGATGGAACAAACGATGGCAGCAGCTGGTGGTGATACTACGGCAGTTCACAAGGCGCATTATATTCGCACGGCAGCAAGCACATATGCAGTTTTGGCAGGACATCCAGTGGACGAGGTCAAGGCTCACGCTAACTGGAGTTTGGCCAGTGCGACATTTCATACTTACTACTTCCGTCCATATACTCAACATGCTCGCGGTACTCGTTTGGCACATATGCTTTTTTCATCGGCTACGGAGGATGTACCCACATCCGAGGACGAGTGGAAGCAACAACGATTGTGCTAGACTCGGCGTAACACAGTCGATTTTCATTATAAAGCTATTCTGTCCTGTATTCAACTTTGATATTGCAATAATATCAATCAAACGTATGATTGTGTGCGACTGTGAAAACTACATAGGCCACATAATATCACAATAAGATATTTGGCGCTATCTCTGTTTACTTCTTCAATGGCAGTCAAAAACCACCCTAACAAACTGCTTTACTTTTGGTTGGCTTTCGCAAGCGCCGAGGTTGCAATATTTGCCAAATCTCGGAGGTGTCGATCCAAATCTTTGTTGAACAACACTTCAATGGTGTCCTGTTCACCGAACATGTTCAAAATTTCCTTAATGACCGTGGTTGTGGCGGTTGGTGCTTTCTTGCTGTTGCATGCCCGCTGTAAGTTTGTAAGATCCGACTTGCGGAGACAATGGTCATGTAACAGTGTCGGCCCAGATACTTACAATCGGGAACGTGAATGGGTAGACAGTGTGGATCAATAAATAAGGTGAGACTCGGATATATCAAAGGATAAAACGATCGGGATCCATATAACTCAGGATCCCGTCTTTATATATACGTTGAGTAATAGGGGGCTAGCTATCGTCTAAGTATTGATCTACATATACTTCTATCTAGAATATCCACGCCTATTACTCCATATTCAACCATGCGGTTGACCGCAAGTCATCCTATCGTCTGAACCATGTGTTGTCGATCGTCAACCATGCAGGTTGGATATCGTCGTAACGGTATGCACCGTTACAGGTCATCAATGGTGAGAACAGCGATTGCCCCACAGATTGCAGCATTTGTGAGGCAAGCTTGATGTCGTTCGTGCGGGCGGTGTTATTGTCACAGTCAGCAAATGTCTAAACTGTGTACGGCAATGTCAAAGTTTTTGGTGAGAATACTTGACGATCGACAAGGCAAGTAAGTATTGGGTGCGTCAAACTTGGAGCGCACTTGTCGCAAATGCCGCAATTTGTCCCCTTCTTCGTGAGTCTGCTGGCCGTTGTGATCGAGAATATGTTGCGCGCGGGTGATTGACTCCTTTGCGACGAAAATTTTGGTGCTGGTTGTCGGTTGAAAGTTGTTGGTAGTGGGACCGAGTTCTGATCCAAGGTCTTGATCCAAACGAATCGAAGAAACAACCAGAAAATCTGCGACCTGACCACAAATCATGACCTTTTGTGCATTGTCATTGGTGACTTTCTTGACCCAACATCTGTAATATAATGATGCTTCCCAACAAGGAGATTGACTACTTAAATACTAAGTACCTCAAACATTTTATATGTATACACGGGTCACAACGGGTCATAACGGGTCAACGGGTCGGGTCAAGGGTTAGACGGGCTAACCCGCGGGTTAGAAAAGCATCAACCCAACCTGTGGCACTGAAAGCACTCTGAAGCGGGAGGGAGGAAGATGCACCACAGAGAAGTGTTCAAAGTGTGCGTCTAAAGTTGGCAACCGATTATATGGTTCCACGCAGTTGACATAAAGCAGTTGAGGGTCATCCACCAACAAGCAACCCGCAAGCAACCATAAAGCCGCAAAGCGAAGACACGGTTGGAAACGCCAGTCGCCATTTAGCAGCTGGATTATATTGTCGTTCAAGAGATCATAGGTTGCGCGCTTATGATTTGGGAGTACTGCGGTGTCCTCTGGTGTATCGTCAATTTCTGTCGCGTTTCTTTTTGATTGGCGATAATTGATCTGGTAATCCTTTTTATAGCACGAACGGCACAACCCATGTTGAACTTTTGCTGTTATTGGTTCATCACACGTTGCGCATCGCAACGAAGAGACGGAACTTGTATTCCGGGTAAACAGGGTTGTCGCCTAAATAGTCATTGTATAAACGCCAATGACCTGCAACGCGATCGCGGTTAATGACGAGATGACCAGGAACAGAACCTTTTCCGCGTTTTCTAACTTGATCGTCGTCTTCGTCATCAGCTGCAAAGATTCTCTGAAGACGCTCGACTCTGCGCTGACGTTGGCGTTCTTCCTCGATGTCTTCCTCGAACATTTGTTTTAGTTTGCGAATATTTTGGCTTGACATTGTGAAATGAGTGGTTGAAGTAAAAAGAGCAGAGCAGTAAATTCTGAATTCAATAGCCAGTTTTTAAGAATAGCGCGACCGTTGGTCCTGCTATGATAGCGGCGTTCCATTTTAAAACGACCGTTGGAGATGCTCTTGAAAGTTTCACTTTGGCAGTTGGGTACTCACATGCACTGTTGTTTCGTCTCACATTTCTGAGGCGATAGTTCTTCAGCTTAATACACCATGTACTTACGCCATACATACATAATCGATACACCCAAACCAGTGTATACGCCTAAGAAAAAAGCCATTTGTCATATCTATACATCTAGTGGCTCTTAAAATTTTGGTATATCCACAGGAAATACGAGAAAAAAAGCATATGCAAAATATACATCTTCCATGCCATTTTTGGGAATCTCATTGCTCAAAACGTTCTGCTCCTACATATATACGTTCTATATTATTACCTAGAACTTCACAAAGAAATGCTTTATCTGACATCCTCTACCAAAAACTCGTTCGTTATGTAGCGTACACCCGTTCAAAAGCGGAGGTTCCCCCGGGATCTTAAACTATAAAAATGCCCATATTACATACAAACACACCCAATAGAATTTTTAAGTCGATCTCGATGCTATGATATCTATGTAGAAAAAAAGAGGGATCATGAAAGCTAAAAGTCACGTATGTGAAGGTGCCGCCACAATGGGCCGGGATAAAAAACATTGTAACAGAAATATAGTATGCCAGATAATTGGAGAAGCAGGTGTTATTTTACCTGCTACAGTAGGCTCTGCCATATATAATCTAACCAGCTGGTGCTTAGCTATTAGCTTTATTTAACTGCCATGTGTTTGGCGATTGTTGCAAAAAAAGGAGGATTGAAGTCTCGTACTATTCTATTTTCTCAAAGCCCGTGCATCTCTCTACAAAGAAAAAGCAGAGAATTGATGAAATAAGTTGAGCTTATCGGAATCCAGCGCTGTATTATTAATAAGCATGCATATCTGAGGCGGTACATTTGAGTCGTCGACTCTCTTGTGAAGATAGCAGCACCAATTAGAAGCTTTTATGATGCGTCGTGGGAAGAATTGTTCGTCTCCTAATTCCTGAAAATAAGGATACTCGTCGCGAACAGCTTAACTTTCATCGCTCATCTTCTTGTGCAGTCAGTCAGTGATTGAATGGCATAGCATTTTCACATAGCAATGACATAGAAAAACCTATGCATTGGAAGATCTGCATATGCTTAAAACATCGGAGATCTGGCTCAAGTGTACATGCATTGTGCTACTACCAGCTTTGCTGCTGTCACATCCTTGGCAATAAAGTATTCCCTGACTGATTTTGGCTACACTGCGCCCCCTCCTTTTAGCCGCTGCATTCTCTCTTTTATCTTGATACTATTTTTTTACCTTCTTTGCTCTATTATTAATATTTGCTCAAACATCTTGATGAATTATATGCAAGATACAGCATGCCAACCACAATTGACCATGATGGAATTATTTCCTTTCGACATTGTCGTCGCCATTTTTTCACACCTCAGCCAGCAAGACTGTTTAAACGCCATGGCAGTATGTCGCAACTGGTGCGATCGGATACCACAGTACACGGAAGATAACTGGCGAGCACTAAGGCTTTCGAGACGTGATATCAATGGCATGCTAAACCATCGTCGTCGCAGCCGTTGTCTCGGGAAACATGTAAAATGTGTCAATATCTGTTCTATCATGAAAGAACACCAAGTGCTCGCCATATTGCGTAAACTTCTGGCCTGGGGCTGTACTGAAATCGAGTCGCTAGGTAATAAGGCAAAAGAGGGAAAGGGCAAAGGAAGGAGGCCGTCGAACGATAAATCAATTCTTTATAAAAGATCTGATGTTAGGGTAGGGGGTCTTACGATATTATCATGTGTATGTGTGTGTTATTTAACATAGTCATTATCCGTTTCATTTTGGCTAGCATTCAAATCATGTAGTGCTACAATGAATCAAGATGCGTTTCTTGATGTTTTGCGACAACTCGCGAATCGTCGACTAACACACTTGACATTAACTCAACATGGATCCAACATTGGATTTGTTCCCGTACTTCAAGCCTGCCCGCAACTTACACATTTTACGTACAAACCAACGAATACGATCCAAAAAGATGTTTACAAAAACGAGCCATCCTTGGCAAACAGCAAAAATAACGAATCAGCAGCAACAACAACAGCAATGGCGACGACGAAATTTGACAACCTCATCTATTTACACATTGACACCGCATTACACATACAAGACCGTCTAGAGCCCATTCTGCAAAAATGTCCCAATCTCCAATATCTCCTTGGGGCAAGTTCAACTTCCTGCGACTATCTCTTGTACTGTGTCACTTCCTCTTCTTATAACGGTGATTTTATCGACCTTGACAAGCTACTTTCATGGTGTCCAAAACTAGTATATGTTTCGGCCGATGGTGTCTATCAAGAACATGACGACGATGAAGTGGAAGTATTTGCATCAATAGCGTTGGCTGAAAAGCCATTAAGGAAATGTATTACTGATACCAAGGATACCGATGACGAGGATGGCAATGACGAACTGCAGCAACCATCACAACAGCTCTGTCACCTAGCTACATTTGAACATTACGGTTACGATCAAATTTCTCAAATATTACGACAAAACCAGGATAAACTCGAATATCTGCTACTTTCTCGGAGGGAGGATGAAGAAGGTCGCGACTGGTCCCCTGTTTTTCGATCCTTGGATACCCCATGTCTTCAGACGCTTGACTGCGAATATATCGAATTCGATACCGGCTCCATCGTTAATCTTCTGAACACATGTCGTGACATTCAAACAATAAATCTGCATCATTATTTCGCCACATTCACACAGCAAACGGTCCGAAACCTACACACCACGTTACACCAACTTCATAGTCTACGACTGACTGGCATTTCATTTGCTGATGAGGGATCTGCAATCGCATTGCTGCAACGACTTCCGAGTCTAAAGGTGCTCATCATCCAGGAGTCACGGATCTTATTGGCGGAGCGGGCTGCTATGTTTTTAAGAAACCTGAAACAGCTGGAGCTGTGGAATATGGATCCACCAGAAGAGAACACCAACGGCAGCGATATCGATGACAACAACCTTAACAGAGAAGAAATCGAACAGCGGCAACAAGCAGCAGCAGTTATACTTCCTAGTTTGTTCGAGTCATTGTCCATGCCATCACACGAATCGAAACTCGAGATTGTACGACTGGTGCGAATACCAACTGTTAATACACGTCAACTACTCCTTGCTCTGGCACATATACCCACACTCAAACATATTGATATCCGACTTAGCGGTACGCTCGATGGTGATGATGATGATGTAAACAAGGATGATAATGACATAATGCTCAAATTTGTCCTGAAGCTACGCGAAAGAACATCATCATCGATCGAACAGCTTGTACTTCGGCACGTTGGTCATTTTTGCTATTCGGCCCTTGATGCATTAGGCGATTTCCCACAGTTGAGAAAGCTGGACATACGGTTCCCTCCTGTGATGAAAACAAGATTCCCCAAGGAAATATCACTGCATGGTATTTCACAACTGTTGCGCAAGAGCAAGAGCTTGGAGACGGCTGAATTTGGCGAAGCGGCTTTGGCGAAGCATCCACCAAAAAGTACCCTTGAGAAACTTTTACGAGAAGAAGACATCAATAATTACATTGTCAGACCCGGCTTTTCACGGAAAAGCTGTGATATGTATGTTGAATATTTCACAGTTATCCGCTGTCATAAAAGTGAATAAATTATACCCTTGTGTTTTTGGCAGCACTTTTGGGATGGTTGTTTTAGAGTGGAAAGTACCAGGGTCAACCGATAGTGAACATATCAGTCAGCGTAATTGTTCGTATACTGTACCGTTTAAACCCGTCTTTAGATTTAACTCATTAGGGCTGTCTGATTATTTAGCGGTGTGTGTGATATATGTATAATAACTCTACACAAACAAGTTGACTGTTACAGGCATATGCATCATAGCTTTGTGTGGCCTGTACTCGAGCTTCTGTTGCAGTGCACAAGAAGGCTACGGTTCTTGAGCTTTGGCAGCGGGTGTAATGACAGGTCCAACAAGTCAAAGGTCTATCGGTTCTGCAGCGCAGGAGGAAGTTGGTGTGGATGATTTGGCCACGTGAAAAGATATAGATGAGAGTGCATGAGTTTTGCGGCTACTTATAATTTACTTTCAACAACGATTTGTTTTGAAAATTGGATGCTAATGAATCAAAAAAGGTACCCATATGTCAGCATTCTACTGCGCCACTCCCAACAAGCGAGAGTGTCCTTTATGCTATATCACATACATATACACATTTGCCAATCAATCATATACTAGTATACAAACATCATGTGCTATCATAATGGACCATAGAAAGAAAGAAGGTCTTTATAGAAAGAAAGTATAAGTTTGGTTCTTTTACAGCAGCATTAAAGCTACTATAAAAGTTAACGTGACACAGATTTTCTCTTGCCACATCTAGAAAAATCTGACTGAAGCGGCAAGATGTAGTGCTGAGCAACTTCAAGCAAAAATGACGCATGTTTATTTGCTGCACCTTTTGTTCAATAAGGCTTAAATTATAGCTAGTGCTGTACCGAACAGACGGATTACTATCCTTATCAACAATAATAAAGCTTATTGGATTTATTTAGTTATATACCGATATAAAGTAACTGATCCCATGCTGCTGGATTGATTACAGTATAAGCATATATCAATATAACATCTTACAGTTATTCGTAGTCTACAGTAGTGCCTTCTTCGTCTTAAAGAAACGGACACTTGATTTATTCCTGGTTATACATACGTACATGCACCTACTAATGAAACTATTGTCACAGTGAGCACGATTTGCACTTCATGTACAGTGAGGCTGAGCAAAATGATGATCATACAGTACTAAAATGATGTCTAATTGAATAAAATGATTTGTGGATATTTCCAAGCATGATGTAACGTTTCTACGCTTCGAGCCAACCGTGCTATTGATAGAGTTGCACAAAGCTTCTGACGACATCGGAACGCGATGGACTTCTCTGTGCTGCCCCACTCATCCATTTTTCCCATACGCTTTGGCCGGTAAGTTCCATACCAAAATGGTAACCGAGGTCCCCCAAAAATAGAAACTCAGATCAGTAGATCAAAGTTTCTCTGCATGTGTGCTAAAGCACCTGTTCTTTTGTTGTCGTTTCATTGACAGCATCCACTACCAAGCATTTTCGAATGAATAGTCTAGCCGCTCTCAAAAAACAGCTTATAACCAACAACTTCTATAGTAACAATATCACCGATCTGTGACAAAGGGAAGTGCACAAATTTGGTCAGTTGACCCAATCAGAACGACCTGCTCAGCAGACCGCAGCGACGCGAAGAAAACGTTTATCCTTCTAAACCTTATCCGGCAACGCGGGCAATGGGACCCAATAAGTATTAAAAGGCGGATCAGTCCTCTTTTTTTGTTTTTGCATTACACTTTTATTTATCTTCTTCTCTCTTTCTTGATCATGACTTGGCTCAGTGGCAAGGACGAAAAGACTTCATTTGATACAAGCATTGATTCCGACAGCGAGTCTGTCAGTATCCACTCTACTCCCTCGTTCACACGAAATGATATCCTGCTGTGCGCTACACATGGCAAAATTTATGCAATCCACAAGCATACCGGTGCAAGGCTTTGGCGTGCGAGCTACCCTACAGGTGTGGCCGGTGGCTCTATATCGTTGTTCCCTACAGGTGCAATGGGTGGTGTAGTCTCAATCTTCATTACAGATCAAGACCGTGTCATCGTTGGAGCAAACGGAAAAACAGCCTGCATGGACTTACTCACTGGTGCCGAAAAATGGGTCAACAAAATGAAGGTAACAAAGATGAATCATCGACTTGGAAAAGTCAACAGAAATTGTTGAGGATGGTATATATAAGGGTGGATAAACAAGGCGTACAACGGTGTACTAAAAAAAACCTGGTAAACTCAATCAAAAATAGGGCTGTGGTTATGAAGAAGTGGGCGTAATCTGCACTCCCAGCCGCGTTTTGAAGCCACAACGAACAACAGAACGATCACACGAGCCTTTGGAGAATGCCCCACCCGAGTATTGTGAGAGTAATGGTCATGGAGTATTAACAGAACAGCCGGTAGCAATCTCTTGCACTCGCGGCAAGTGTATGGGAATCGATATAGAAACTGGTGAAGGTAATTGAAATGGATACACAATACGGAACGTGTGTTGTAACGAGATGTTTCAGGGTGCCGGTAGATCATAGTGACAGGGATGGTATTGTTGATATAATAATTTGATCCATTAAATACAACGTATTTTATTATCTTAGAGCTGTGGAAATTCAATTGTCCCAACGGTGGTTTCAAAATACCTTCTGCTCTTGTGGATCCAGAAGGTGAAAGCACTACTGTATTCGTCGGATGCGGCAGACGATTATACTGTTTGGATGCTGCAACGGGCGAACTAAAATGGGAAGTCAAAGTATCAAACAGCAAAGTGGGTCTCGGTTATATGACAATGGCGACACCATGGAGCTCAAGACTGGCGGCTGAAGCACATACGGCATTTAGCCAATTTCCGAGCGCTCAGCAACGGAACGAAATCCGCAACCGCGAGCGAGGCAGTGGAGGAGGTGGCGGTGGCGGTGGTGGCGGCTAATGTAATGATTCACTGCCATCTTATTTAGCAATATATTAGTTATAGGAATCTATTTTGCATGCATACTTCGTAACCATATAATATTTCTATTATTCAAACTTCATCATACAAACTATTATTTATCCCACTTTATAACTGGGGGAAAGGTGCTATCACACCAGGCAAAGGATTTTATAAATTAAGAAATAATTTTGTCTCCGATGGCAAATAACGAATGCTGATTGGCTAATACAGTGCATCCTGAAAAAATGAAGTGGGGGAGACTCCAAAATTTGAGGTTGGGGGTGCGATTTAAGGGAATTAAGGGGGGATTTCGGGTCATCTGATCCATCCCCACTCCTCAAACCACACATCTGTCGCACAATCGCTTCAAATTACTCGAAATTTCGCTAAGTCATCACCCTCTGGTAAACCTGTCAAGCTGCCAGTTTTTTTTTTCGCGAGTATCTTAATTTGCAAACATTGCAATAGTTGCGAGTAGAATGCGGGTTCGAAGAAAATCTTCCCATGAACGTGTTTTGTGTTTGATGTGACATTTTGCTTAAGAGAAGTAAGAATTGAGGAAGAGCATATTTGCATAAGCTGTTCTTTATATATTGTTCTGATTCGCCAAGACGAAGAGGAACAACTCCGATATATTATTAGGCAGCAACACGTACGCGTAATCTGACTCAGCAAGCTTTTCTTCTTGGCTTTTTTCTTCTTGGTCTGGCATGCGTAATCCTCTGAGGCATTGAGCATAACTTATTATTCTTAATCTCAGAGACTTCGACACTTCTTGGCATGCATGTTATTACTAATCTCCTTAGATTATTTATATAGGATGTTTAACAACTGCTAAATATAAAGGTAATGTGTCAGCGTTAGATGGTTGATTAACAATGTACTAAAAGTATTACATTATTGAAGACGAAATGAGTCAGGTAAGTCCATCAAAATTAAAGGTTAGTATAAAATCTTAATATTATCAACATTATATTAGCTTATGCTCTAAACGCTTAAAGAAGAGTGTACACTGCTGGTAAGTTAAAGGCTCCTTTTGTTGTGTTGCTGCTATGCAATATTTTTTCCTCTCCAAGTGTGCTGCTGTCTGTTTGTAGGGCTATCTTAACAAATGACGAGAAACTCTTGAACGGTAAGCATGTCATTTTTCTATGTGTGTCTTTTGATTTCGAATACTTGACTCAAACACGTTTTAAAAACGATAAATTGCAGAAACCCACTGATGTCCCAGGATAGAATCCCAGGATTGGAACAAGCAAAACGAATCTCGCTGTGCTTTTTTTGCTTCAGGATGAATTGCGATAGTATTATTGCTTTTTGTAAATTCAATCAAATAAAAAAAATTCTCAAAACGAATACTCCTGATTTCCATCGTTGATACATTTGCGTGCAACCCCCCACCCCACCATCACATTTTTGGGCTGGTGAGTGCTGGTACTTGCTCATCCATAAAAGGCAATTTTAGTGAACCTGCATGAGTCTAACCATATAAAGTGTTTCCAATTCTGAAAAGTTCTTGCCCGGGTGTGAGTAGTGGTTGTCAAATGGCACTTGCCCCATTGGCTTATGTTTCGTTTTCCGCCAATAGAATATTTTTTTCAACTCTGGGAGGTTTGATGCACCCCTGCAGCGAATGTGCCATGCCACCGTAAAAAAAGTATTGCTTGAGATTTCAATGGTTAATTTTTAGGAAATATCGTTACACAACCAATGCCTCTAGTTGGCTTTTTTGCAGCTAATCTGTGTTGAATATAGTCAGTGATATTACCAAGCAACGGTCGTTGCTATGATACTGTCGCTATAAACAAATTCTTTTGGGTTCTTTGTCATTGTCATTGTCGGACTTGAATAAAAGGTATCCGTGTAAGAAAAAAGTGACAGCTTTTTTTGGCTCTGGAACCAAAAAAAAACTTGGCGCAAAAGGTATAAAAAGGGTCGCTCTCCGTGGCCTTCAGATTTTTCTTTAGTGACCGTACTCTACAGGATCTGTATGCAGTACATAACCAGTCTACGTTTCTCAAACTAGACACACACCTCAGGCTAGAAGATGACCAGAGACAGCCCTTCCTTAGAGTGAAGTGTATTGGTTGTTGCTCCTTCGGGACACTTCCAGTAGTTGATGATCTCGCCCGTTTCTATTCCAGAGCGTGGCACGGAAGATGCTGTGGTCTGATGGCCCAATTTTTTTTATAAAATAAGAAATTGAAGAAAAAAATTTACTTGCACTGGCGCAGTACTATCGCTGAGTGTGGCTTGTAATGCCACTACATCAGTGTGAATGAAAATTTGCGTCTGACTTTGAGTATTCTTAATAAAGGAAACTGACTAGCTTTTCTGGTTCTTTTTTTTACCACTATAAATCCTGGAGTTATTATTATTGCCCGTCAAATAGTTGATTGTGCATCTAAGTTACCTCTACGTTATCGACGAAAGCGATAACAGGCGAGAAAGCCTGGCTCGTCGATATATACGGTGTAATTCCTTGGACTGCTAAATGAAGATCCATCAAGCACAGGACGTCAGAGTTCAGCTTATTCAGCCGCAGGTACTCATGACTTTTCTTTCTCTCGACAGTGCTCTGGATGTTCAAATACGATTGCAAATATCTTCCGATCAGAACAACGATAAGCAATTCCTACTGCTAAATGAAAAGATATGCCTTTAATTTAGTTAGTCATATAATTCTATGACCGGCTCGACTTTATTTTGCTTCTTTTCTACTAGAATTGATTTTATATTCTCATGCATGCCACTGGCACACTCTTTGTACATATATTAATTACCCAACCTAATTAAAAAAATTACTTTTTTAATATGTGTGGCTCAATCCATTTTCATGGATGAATAGCTCAGATTGTCTTGATAGGCTTAATTCTATGTCATATACAGTAGCTTGTTTTCTTCCAACTAGCTCAATTTGATAGTTGTGGTTCGCTTTCATAAAGGGCAGTTAAATTTTACTTCCTACAAGTGTACTTTATCTGCTCCCTATTCCTCCTCTCTCCATCAAGTGGAAGAGTTTTGGTCAAAGATGTTGTTTTTTAAGCTTAATAATATTATCATGGTAAGTATTAGAAGAGGCAGGTTGATTGAGAAGAATCGATTCGACCCCGAGGATGACTGAAGCCGATAAAAGAGTAACTAAGGATGACTGTGTTCGATCAAGCATGCAAAATCGTTTTTTGACGCTTGCCTCAAAATAAAAGTCTTGTAGCAACCTGTTGTAATTTTTTCTATATTTTTTTAGTAGCTTTTCAATGAAATGAAAGCTGATACACATATAACAAAAGCGCAAAATAGGAATGCAAAAATATAAACTCAAAGTTAGCCAAGCAAACATAGTAACGCAAAGTTACTGGGGCAAAATCTCTCGCCGATAACGCAAAACTTCATTCTCATTAATGTATAATTAAATCAAAAACGAGCCTTTGTCGCCTGCCCACCTTCAGCATTGAGCCCCTTCGCTTTACTTCATTGCAAAACTAACGGAGCTTCGTCTCGGCGGCTCGTTAATACAAATAAGTACCCAAGATTTAATGGAACAAAATGCTTTATTTCATTTGTTTATTTTCTTTTGCTGTCGATGGTAGTGATGATGATGATGGTAGCGGTTCTGTCGTTGAGGTAGTAGTATTAATAGCGTTGTTTGGGTCCGCATCTTGAGAGGAAGAAGTTGCTGATGATGATGATGACACTCGTACTCGCTTCCGAGCACTTGCAATCAGTTCTGCAAACTGATCTTTGTATTTTCTATTATGCTCCTCAATGTTCAGTTGCGGAGAATGTGCGCTGTTGCGCACCTGGTTGTAGCCCAGTTCGGCTTCGTTGAGTTGCTGGATCAACGCCCTGGGCTCCTTTGGATGCTCAGCATCCAAGTTGGCGTAGTACAGTGTCACATATTCCTTATGCCGCCAGACAAGTTGTTGTTTATCGCCATGGTCCGGCAAACCCAAGTCCCGTAGTACTTTGCGCAAGTCTCTATCCTTTTGCATATCGTACACTAGCTTAATTGGTTTCTTGCCGTAACGATTAGTGTTTCTGTATATATATAGTTTTTAGAAACGATTGTCAATTGTTCTGTCGAATCCACTACCTTCCTTGTAATTACTATCAAATCGACTGCATGTATACTTACTGTCTTTGATCCCGTCTGCTACTGACCGGCGAGGTAGCTGTTGGTGTTGGCGGTGTTACAGCAGTTACAGGAGAAGAGCTGGCTGGTGACGACGAGGATGAGGCTGGTTGTCTCTTTAGTGAAGATGTCTTTCAGTGTCAGCTTCTTCAAAGTTTCCCTAGTATCCATATCGTTCAATAATATCACACAGTAACGTACCAAAAATTGCCTTGATGCCTGTGGGATAGTACTATCGCCTCTCATGCACCGATCCAAATGTTCGTTGATATGAGCCTGTTTCATGAACTGGCTACATATAGGACATTGCACCTCCGAATCCTCTATACGTGCAACACATGGTTAAATGGTGCGAATTGATAACAACATCCAGTCTTTCAAAAACTCACGCGTTATTCGATCGTGTGTAGGTGCAGTGGCTGCAGCAACAGTAGTAATATTGACGGTTGTAGGTGATGATGTCTGCGGAGCAGGAGGAGGTGATTGTTGTGGTTGTGGCTGTGTTGGAGGAGCTGCTGTTGGTGCTTCTGCTGCTGGCTGCGGTTGTTGTTGTTGTTGGAAATCATCATCGTCAAGAATGATCGGTTCTTTATAGCGTGGTTGTTGTTGGTTTCCAATACGCGCGGATCGTCGACTTGCTGCTGGCGAAGATATAGGTGCTGCTGCTAGTGGGGTCGCCACTCGTCCTTGTGAACGGAGTGGTAACGACTCTTGCTGCTGTTGCTGTTGCTGTGGTGGTGGTGACGGCTCTACACTATTATTGACACCGGCTTGCCCTTGTTCTAAAGCAATCGCAACTTGTCTATTTTACAGTGATCAATAAAGCCGGAAAAAAAACAATTATATATCCCTCCCAATCAATGCAAAAGTCAATTACCTCGCAGCCAAACGCCACGTATTTGCGCATTCATCAAGTACACTATTACGGATCAGCTTTGATTCATCGGCCGGTGCATTGCAACTAGGGCATATGCGTTCCTGTGCTAGTCGACGTCGGATGCAAAGAGCGCAAAAGGAATGGATACACGTCGTTAACTGCATGGGTGTGGTATAGAGATCTTTACATATTGTACAGCGTAAATTTAGATCAAGCTGTTGTAAACTGGTGTTCTTAAAATCAGTCGGATCGTGGATGTCTTCCATTGTTTCAAGTCTATGGAAGAAGTAAAGATACGCGTCCAAAACTTTTTGGGAAGGCGCGCGTCTCCTAATTATCGAGGAACACGAAAAAAAACAGATTTCGACTTCCTCCTCTCTCTTACTCTCCAACAAGTTATGCTGCCCATCGCTATACCACATCAGTCTTGCATAGTACTGCCTTTTATAGTACTGTCTTTGATCCTATGCCATATCTGCAGGGCACACCAAAGAACAGTAACCTTGTGTATGCACTTTTTCACATTAACTACCCATGATCTTCAAACACCAGCGTTCAGGTTGAATGACAACCAGTGAGCGTAGCGACATAGGATGTATCACAAAAGGCATCGACGATGCTTTCTTTTCTGCTTTGCTTCATTATTAGTAAATATACACAGGATATACTGGAAAAAAGGTTTTTCGTAGATCTTTTTAGCATCATCCACCACCAGAACTAGCGGCAGCGGCACCGCGGGTTCGAATTTCGTTTTGTTGCTGAGCAAGCGGGAACTGACTGAATGCCGTGTGCGCTTCAGCCGCAAGTCGTGAGCTCCAAGGAGTTGCCAAAGTCATGTAACCGAGGGACATTTTCGCGTTTGAAATCTTAACGTCCCACTTGAGCTCGCCGGTTATTGCATCTAAACAGTACAACCGTGTGCCACAGCCGATATAGACGGTGGTACTTCCACCTTCCGGATCAACAAGAGCAGATGGGATTTTGTAGCCACCCTTGGGACAGTTAAATCTCCATAGTTCTAAAGTAGAGTATTTTACTTTCTTTAGATCCTTGACACATGATGCACCCTTCGGTAATATGCATGCGACCGGTTTTACTTTCGGGTATTTCTACCTTCACCAGTTTCCGCATTGACTCCTAGACACTTCCCGCCCGTGCATAGGACTACGACAGACTTTTCGGTCAAAGCATGCTCGGTTTCATGATAGTCGGGTGGGGTGTCATCATCGTTTCCTCCCAATAATGGGGCTGGTGTCGTGTGTTGCGGTTTTAGCGTATGGCTCGGGGTGCAGACAACGCCTACTTCTTCATAGCCACATCCCTGCAGATTTGTGTTGGTTTCCCAAGGTAAAAACACATCTTTCGATTAAACCCTTGACGTGGGATTGCGATGAACAACAATAACAACGCGTTCCTTCTTCTTTTTTCCCTTTCTTACCTTCATTTTATTCACCCACAGCTCTTCACCGGTGAGAAGATTTAGGCAAGCTGCTTTGCCGCTCGAAGCAATAACGAGACGGTCCTGATCAGTGATAAACACTGATACGATACCACCCATTGATCCAACAGACCACCGGGACTTGGAACCAGTTGGAAAATCAGCTCGCCAAATCCTGGCACCAGTTTGCTTGTGAACGGCATAGGCCTTTCCGTTTGTTGCGCATATCAGAATATCGTTTCGTGTAAATGATGAAGATGTCGATTGGTTGGCGATAGATTCGCTATCAGAATTTGCATCAAGGGCTGCTTTTTCTTCCTTACTACTGAGCCAAGTCATGACGGAAGAAACAAGGTACAAAAAAACCAAGAAGGGAAAGAAAACCCAGTCATCTCTTTCTCTCGCGCGTTTTTAAAATTAATCGAAACCCCATATACGGCTTAGACCAACTTGGACAAATTGCCTTACTCTTCACATGCACCCTGATCTGTAATGCACGCTTAGCAACCTTTCTAAGCTCAGTGTGTGTTTATGCATACATACATAATCCACTTTAATACAGACAAATAATAATAACAATTGATGGCATTGGCGACTATACTTTTTATTACAACTGAGGATCATCATCTTGGCATATATAGAAACTTTCAGTGCTTCGATATAAAGTACACCCGGTTTAGGCACCAGCACCAGCAACGCTAGCACCAGCATCAGCATAGGCAGCAGTGCGTTCCGTAGACATGATCTGAGCGCTAGGGGATGTGTTAAACGATGTGTGTACTTCAGCAGTAAGGCGCGAGCTCCAGGGCGTTGCCATGGTCATATAATCGAGCCCCGAATGGCTTTTGGATACTCGAACTTGCCATTGGAGTTGACCTGTCATTGCTTCCAAACAATATAAACGAGTACCACAGCCAACATAAACAATTGTGCCTTGCGGATCCACCAGAATCGAAGGTATCTTGTAACCACCTTTGGGACAATCGAATCTCCAAAGTTCTATTATGTTATGAAATTAACATTGTTAGGATACGGCTGTGTATATATGATTTTCTCAATATCGTAGTAACTGGTAGCAAATAAATATCAGTGATGTGCCCTTTTTTACCTTCGCCGCTGCGAACATCGATCCCCATGATATTGCCGCCAGAGCCCACAACTGCAACTGACCTTTGTGGATAGCCTGGCGGCGGACGGTAACCTCCATTGTTATATCCTGGATCACAATGTCCTTGGTTATTGTATCCTGGGTAGTTGTTGTTGTATTCGGGGTTAATGAATCCTGGATTGTTGTACGCTTCTGGGGCATTATATTCTGGTGCACTGTATCTTGGATTATTATAGTTTGAATGCTGGGAGTTAAAAGCTTGACCTGGCGTACAGACGATGGACACCTCTTCATGACCAAATCCCTGGTATCATGCGTCAATGCGCATATGTATATTTAGCTTAACGGATCACAGTACATGGCTTGGAATCACGGGAGTTTAACACATTTCTCTAGTATTTTGCTCCTGGTTTTCTTCCGTACCTTCATCTTATTGACCCAGTTTACAGCGCCTGTGTAAAGGTTCAAGGATGCTGTTTTTCCGCTCGAGCAAATAATAAGATCGTCCTGATCCGTGATAAAAATAGACACAACGCTACCCATCGATCCGACAGAAAATATGGACGATGATCCCTTTGGAAAATCTGCTCGCCAGATACGGGCGCCCGAGTGTTTGTGTACTGCATAAATCTTGCCGTGTGTTGCGCATATCAGTACATCGTTACGGGAGACAGGCGAGGTATACTCTCGTACATCCGTAGATTCGCCGTCTGAATCATGTTTGCTTCCAAAACCCATGTTTTTTATAAAATAAAAGAATAAAAGGGTTTCAAGAGTAAGAGTGAAGAGAGAAAATTGATATATCTAAATGGAAGAAGAGCATAATGCTGATTCTGACTTTTTATACACATATCGGTATTTCTTTACTTTTGTGCTATAAAGCTAATGTGGTTAGTCTCGTCAAATGTGGCTGCGCAGCTTTACTATTTATTTCCATTTAGGGTCGCATAGATTCTTCCTGGCATGCGATCGACAGAGTCATATAGAACGGAAAACGGTTGGAGTGTGGTAGCAGGAACTCTTGTTGTCAGGGATGCTATAATATGGTGGGAAGTAACACTAATACATACAAATCTGGAACTGTGGTGCATCTTATATCGTAAAGCTGCTGTTGCTTCAAGCGAGCTGTCGCAAGTGGCGATATTGGCAACAGCACTATAAAACATGGATTACAGTGCAATAATGTGAATGATGATGGTGATCTATTTGACCAACTTGAACTTTAACGTTATATTACTTCATGCGTCTGAAAGCGATCACTGTAGTACTTGTTGCTCACCAGATATCTTTCGAGATATCTACTATGGTTAAAAAAATACTAGCACAGGTAGATGTTTACGTACGTTTGAATCAAAAATGGTGCTTTGAATCATCAATCGCGCATGCTTGTACAACGTCAAACCCAGTGGGACCCTCATACTTAGCAGCTGCATCAGCCCGCTGACAAATTTTAGGAACTTAAAGTCTTTCCCTTTTTGGCCCTCCTTCTCACTACGCTACAAATTGAGACAAGCTTATTGAATAGCGATAGCATAAAGTACACATAGTACAATTTACTTTATCCGGTTTGTCGTCCGTAAAGTCAGAAACGAGAACAAGAAGCATCGCTGTTTACTGATGATCAACTTGTTGACTTTAATTATTTCAAGTTGGTAATAATGTTTCGACAAACCCCATAATACTAGCTAGTTGAACGATACCATGATTTTTGTTATCTGCTATATATTCTCTAGAAAGCTCTTGTTACAGCCGCTCTGTGTCGGTTTGAGCCACTTACTGTACCTAAGCAGCAACAACTGAGACATAAAATTAGAATAAACATGGAAACAATCAGTGGTTTTCATGATAGTATGGTTTTGGAAAATAAAAAAGGTGAATTGCTGGATCAGACGACCTAATATTTTACGTACTATGTCATGCTCAGAATCTTTCACTTTTATGGTCTGGGAATATTAACTCTTGTCATCATTTGCTATTGTTGCATTCTACCGTTTTTAAGCCAATTACTTATCCATGTATATAATTCTTAGTCTGGCCTTTATGAAAGGAAACAACATAACCAGTCGTCGACAAACGAAAAGTTGATGATACATAGTAAATGAGATGCTCTTGATTTCCCTGAAAAGAACTGGTTTTCAATACCTGGTTTATCCCTGCTGTGTCATAAAAAACACGGGAATCAAACTACACGCTTTGAAATTGGATGTGCCTCGACTGCACAAGGACCCGCTACTCATTTGGTTGATAAGTCGATTGCACAACTCAATATTTGCTTTTATAGAGTCGCCAAAATCTTTCGGCATTTCTGGTGTTACTGTATAGCTTACTACCGAGCTCAGGGCATCAAGAATTGATATAAAAAAAACAAGCACTTAAACATTTCCTTAAATGCTGCAGGTGTATAATAAATGATCAAGGCTGTGTCGCTATGGAAAAAAGACCCCCATGTCCACAGAAAAAGACGTGCGTTACTCTGTTTCTAGTTTTTATTTTTTTTTACGGTTGAAGTGTATATCAGGGATCAGCCATGTGATTTAACACAACAAGGAGAGGTTCGGCATGTTGAAGTTCTTCCGTAAAAATGATGCATAACAGTACACTTTCTCGTATACGACACCAACTTTTATCTTGGTTTGGAGGGCTCGCTGACGCTGTAAAAGTAATGTAGTTTACACTACTGTAGATTCATACAGTGGTCCCGCGCTTTTTGCACCGCTACCTTTCGCAACTTGCAAAACTGTTTTTGATCCACTGCATCTTATCGAAGTATTTCCATGCTTAATATAATCCGCGACGTCAAAGTCAGTTGATGGATGTTGCATGTAACCGGGGTCCTTTGTGTGTAAGCATAGAAGTAAAAAACTATGATTTGTACACACATAATTTTTTGATATCCTATATGTATGCACAACGTAGAAGATCACATAGTAGGTGTTATTATTCCCTTTATATGAAAAGCAACGTATATACGTACAGCATACACTCCTTTGGCTCGGCGCCGGACTGTTTAGCTAGCTGAGCGATCACATGAAGCAAACGTCTTCTTTTTAAAACTCGTGAGAATGTTGAGCGGGCGGGGAGAGGGATGTGCGTATAACTAGTCTTGAAAAAGTTGACCAACTTGTTCAAACTGCTGGCTCTTCCGCTTGAATGCTCCTCCTAAATCCTATCTTCTTGCTCTGCTGTTAGTTTGTTGAATGTTTCAGCCGTTAAGTGAAAAAGAGATAGACGGGTACTCAAAAATACAAAAGGCAAAGGTTGATTGCTTTCATTGAAACATCTGGACTTTTTATTATTTACATTTCTTTGCTGAAACATGCATTTGTGTTTATCTGTGAACAGTCCAGTGTATAGCACCTGACTTGAGCTACAGTAAACCAAAAAATGCAAATCTTCGATGTCTGCAACAATTTCTGAGACTTTCCACTGCTGCGAAAAGAAGGGGACCATTGTAGATAGCTTTATATGATTCCATACAATCCAAGTATATATAATACATCGGTGCTATAGAAACAGATGGATCGATCCACAAACCTCCAGTGGGGTTGAAGTGTATGCACCCTTTGCATATGCTTCACTCATCTCGACAAAACCCCGTTTATGCAACTATAAGCCAAATACTCCTATTGCCACTGCATACATGTGCTTGCTGTGGCAACCGTCGTGCCACCATAGTAATCGGAGCGCCTCGCTTTGATTGGACAGGGGGTACTTTTGAAAATATAAAAAGCTCTTTCCAAAGTCTTCCTTTTACTTTTGCGCGTTTTCCACTACTGTAGAGGTACGATATAGAAAGTGTGTGTCCTGCAAAAGTACTGTACGTTTACGATTTGGCTAACCATGAAGAAACGTAGATGCCTTGTATTGTCTTCTGTGATGGCATTATCACGAAAGTGCCGAAACGATCAGCAACGGAAAAGTTACCAAAGGACAGATTCTTGTATTTCAGCATGCGTTGCGACACTTTCAATATGACGGTACTGAGAACTTTTTTTGCTACGAAAATATTCAGAGACCGATATGAGATCATTTGTATTGACAAAGTATCTTGAAGGTTTGGGTCAGGTCCCACGCGCTTATACATTATATCGAACAGCACGACGTTCAAGTGGGGATGCCCGTGTACGTCGTGGGTCATTTTGAGATCACTGGAAAACGTAGCAAAGATAATCATAACCATTTGATGCGAACGGCGTTGCGAGTCAAATTAGGCGACGACTGCCCAACGCCCACTGTGGACGCAAGTCATTGAGCCAATAAAACGGTCACAGGATATTCTTTCTCCTGTTTATTATTGTTGATGCTATCATAGAACACGTGCGTCATCCAAGCCAAAAAAAAAAAAAGAGAGTTAGGTGTCTGTGTGAATGAGCGGGCACACGTAATCGGGATGTTCTAGTAGGTTAGCTATGTTATGCTATATCAAATTGTCAAAATTGCGCTCAGTTGTTGTATGCATGCAATGCACACGCTGTGTGATGGCACCACATGCCCACCCCAGGAAATGGAAACCACACGGTTGATTGGTCCGTTTTAAGAAGAAATGTCTCAACTCGTTCTTTGTTTCGCATGACGTTGTCATCATCAACAGTATTTATGTCATGCAATCGAGATGCCCAGTGAGAATAAAAGAACAGAGCGTTGGTGTATGGTGAGCGGGGCGGGGCGGGGCGGGAAGGAAACTATTTATACAACAAAAGGGAGAGCGGTGATGTAGAAGAAAAGAAAAATCTAAAAGGATGTCGTCGCTTGAACATTGAAGGCTTTACGGGTGAAGAGTTGCTCAACAAAGTCGGATGGAGATGGATCGTCAGGATTGGAAAAGGGTGTGTTTTGTTTACAGAAATGAGGCTAAAAGAGTTTTAAATCACGCTGCGTGTTAGATACACACAAACAATAAACAACACGCGAAAGAAAGATCAAGTCTCTTCACACGACAAGGACAACAACGGGCTTCACACACACACGTACTGATGCCAGAGGAAAACACTTACAAGAGACATGGCAGAATGAGACTTTCTCAATTGCGGTACGGAAGGATGGAAGCGTCTCCGTTCGGATGTGGTTGCTACGGATTCTAATAGGTCCCATGCCACGGTTAGTGAGAGAGCAAAAGAGAGAGTTAGTGTCACGGTACACATGACGCAAATGATATATACTCCTTGATGGCTCGTCCAACAGCACATCCATTGTCATCATCCAGCAACCCAACTTCCTGCCCCAATCATTTTGCACATGCGTGGCCAGCCTCGAAACAAACAAAAGAAACTCGAAACACTTACCAATGGATCGATCATCAGACGACGGCGATCGGTCGCGTTGCTGTAGTTGATGCTGGTGGTGCTGGTGTAATAAGTGTGAGTTATGCTGCGATTGTTCATTCTGCTGTTGCTGTTGCTGTTGCTGCTGTTGCTGTTGTGGTTGTGGTGATTGTTGGTGGTAGGGTTCTCCAATGGCTGATTTCTGTGATTGGGGTCTACATGAAAAGAGTAGTCATTACGGTTAAATAACAATGCCGAAAGAGAGTTCTCAACGGTTAAATAATACCCACACTTGGAAATTTGTTCCGACGTCGGACTTTGGTTTCATACGAACAGATAACTGTCAAATGTTGCACGAAAATGTCGTCAGGACCTCTTTTTTGAGTAGTAAGAGGGAGGGGAGAGAGAGGGAAGGGTGGGGTTGTTATTAGGGAGACTAGTACATGCTAAAGAGGATATGTGTAGTAAAGGAGGAGGGAAGGTCAGGTGTATGGGCCAAGATAGAGATAGGCAGTAGATAGAAACGGGAGGGGGGGGAGAGGGGAGAAACGAGGAGATATCTGACTATGCAAGTTAGATGGGCTACCATTGCTACTTACCTTGACGGTAGAATTGAATTTGGATTGGTCTAAAAGATATCGACGAGTCGTAACGCCCGAGTCCGCATATTCAGACAAGTTGATGGTCAAGCTGCCAATTGAATGTGTTTCCTTGCCTCCACTGAGCTCTTGGAATATCTCCAACTTTAGCTCACATGCGCCCAAGACATGCTGTTTGTTGATAACGAGTTGTGCCATGGTGTTGATGGGATGATTCCAGAATATGCAATGGTCATTGATGGGCGCTCTAAAGATAAAAAAGTTATACACACCGAACGACGTTGTTGTCAATGACTCATTCATGGACGCAAACAGACGAGCAGTACTTTTTTATACCTTTCGGTCATTCCACTCGCATGCGAAGCATTCTTTATCCGCCACTTTGCATAGTATAGTCCACTGACTAATGGCACATTGGCGAGATCTCGTATTAATAGGCTGATTTCAAAGTCGAGTTTACGGTGTTTGGAAATAAAAAAGTGCAGTAACGGCATAGTGTTGTGTAAAGAGAGAGAGAGAGAGAGAGAGAGAAAAAGAGAGTCCTGCTGCTGAGCGGGGGAACCACAGCATTATTTCCCGCAAAAAGCTTGGGCTGTTGTTGTTGTTGCTGCTGCGCTGCCTTGGCTAAGCTGGGCCTGCTGAGGGTGGGGGGTGAAGCGTCGAAAACCCCCCACTCCCCCATTTTGGGTGTTTTTGCTGTTTTCCCTTTTTTCTTGAGGCCTTGAGAAAAACCAACAACAACAACAACAAGCTTATAGCAGGTGGGCCTTTCAAAGCAGGCAATTATTATCGCTTCTATCAAACACACTTTAGACTTTTTCAAACAGTGCTTTCTTTTTCTTTTTCCGGTCTCCTCCCTATTTTCCTTTTGTTTTTTTTCTTTTTTGTTTTTTCGCCTTTTCCTTTTTACTCTGGTCCTATCGATTGGGTGCATGTTGTCCATTCTACCTTCGTCTACTACTACTACTGCTGCTGCTGCTGCTACAACCACCACCACCACCACCACCACCACTACTACTACTGCAACGACTGCTACTACGATTAAACCTACACAAAGTCAACATTCGTCACCACTAACACCGAGTTTTGCATCAACTTCATCCAACAACACTAGCATGTCGTCCTCCATATCTTCCACGGCTTCGGCCACACCCACCGGAATCTCGTCCTTACGGCGACGAAGAAGCAGTCGACTTTTCTTTTCACACTTGTTCCAATATTTTGCTTTGGTCTATGAATACATTTGCTCCATTTTCCACATGCGGCAGAAACGGATTGAGCCAGCACCACCGTCAACAACAAAGCGGTCCTCTTCTCCTAGCAGTACCACCTTTATCTCCTCCTCTTCTTCTTCTTCCTCTGTCTCCCCTACGTCTCCTCTTTTCCAGCAGCAGCAACGTATTAACACCAACAACAATCCATCGAAAAAGATTGCAGCACTACAATATTACAAGGGTAAAACACTCGTACTGGATCTAGACGAAACGCTGGTACATTCTGTTCGACTAGGCTCTTATGCGGCTCGCCACACAGTCAGCACGTCCATCAAACGCAAAAAGATCGAAGTGCAGGACGAGAAACAGAGCTTGCTCTATGAAGTTTACAAACGGCCGCACGTGGATTTTTTTCTGAAAACGGTACGCTCACTTTTTCTTTTGTTGGGGTCATACGAGCGATGGAAAAGAGATAGACCAAGTAGTATAGAGAAGGAACTGATAGACAGACATCTCTCTCTCTCTCTCTCTCTCTTTTTGTACAGATAAGTCAATGGTACAAGGTGGTCATCTTCACCGCGTCAATGGCTGAATACGCCGACCCCGTGATTGACTGGCTGGACCAGGATCATAACGTGATTTCACAACGCTACTTTCGGCAGGTACAACTTGTAGCAGCAGCAGAAAACCCTATCTTTTTTGTGTGTGTGGATTTGAAAGAAAGTAAACTAAAAGAAAGAATGATGCTTCTAGTCCTGCATCGTCCGGAATGGAAACTTTGTAAAGGACATTTCACTCGCAGAACCTGATCTAGCCAAAGTGTGTCTTGTGGATAACAGCAATGCTGCCTTTGGTTTGTTCCAAGGTAATGGTTTATTCTGGATGGCTGGTTTATCGGTCTTTTGGAGAGAGACTCAGAACTAATGCGGTCTATGTAATACAATAGAAAACGGCATACCTTGCCCTGGATGGATATCCAACCCGAATGACGAGTGTCTTTTGGACCTGTTACCGCTGTTGGATGCATTACGCTTTACCGCAGATGTTCGGAGTGTTCTGCGGCTGCGGCTCATGGGCGTTTCGTAACGACATATATACGAGATACATATATGAAATATACCATGCTTCTTTTTCTCTTACCTCTCAACCCTCTTACCTACTATTATACTACCCTACAACAACAGTAACAGTAACAACCAACGCCACGCATACATACATACATCTCCCCACTTGCCTTTATTACCAACTAGTACTATCACTATCTCCACATTCTTCGTCGTCATGTTGTTGTGTATATAAGATGCGTATGTGTGTGATTATAAACAAACCTGGACTTTTTACGCTCCTTTTGTTATGTAGTGTCATCATCTATCGTAAAGCAGAACGCCACAATTCTTCGTTTAGTTGTTATTGTTATTGTTATTGTCAGAATTTATAGGGGGGATTTACATTCTATTGAATTCAACTACTGCTAAATAACTATGAAACAGGCAGAACCCTTAAGTTACAAACAGGTTTAGAGGAAAGCCCTCCCATAATTGGTGTAACAAACAGTGGGAGGTCCCAACAGCCTTTGTTACACGTTTTTACATATATAAACCTTGCTCCGCCCCGCCATTTGCGCCGAAAACACCATTCACGGTATATCTAATCACTGCACATTTTCCCCAAAGAGACAACTTTACAGAACGTATCATGGTTGTATATTTTATATCATGTTTAAATGGGTTGTCTTGACTTGCAACGTGGGTGCGCGTATACAGCAGCAGCAGCAGCAGCAGCAGCAAGATGGATATGTAATGTTGTTTCTCTTTGACGAAAGAAAAAAAAAGTGTGTGGGACGATGAGATGGGATAGTAACGTAGTGTTTAGGTGGACAAGATAAGAGGGTGTGGGGGCGAATAAAGAATGAGAGAGAAAGAGAGAGATGGCTAGACTAGACCATCGTACAAGTTCAGTGCTTGGACAATGGTAGGGTCCTTTTTCGATCCTTCTCTAAATTCCTCCATCGTTAAACGGCCATCCCGATCCTATTAATAATAATCATAGTGGTGGTAATAAGGCCCAGATATATATAGTCAACCCAAAAAGAGAGAAAAAAAAAGTCAGCGCCCGTTTTTCCATCACAATGGGCTTTGGCCCCCAATTCAAACCTCCCAAGCCCACAGAGGACACCAGAAAAACGAACCTGATCCATCATGTCGAAAATCTTGCTGACTCTCTTTTCCGGCGTGTCTTCATCCGCTGGCAGCTTTACCATGCTGCCGACCATCTTGTAGATAGCATCGACAATATGTAACATTTCGCCTTGTGATATGTATCCGTCATTATCGATATCGTAGAGCTAGAGAAAATTTCATGCAACTTTAACACACTTTTTTCTTGACATCATTTCTCTCTCTCTCTCTCTCTCTCTATATATATATATATACCTGAAATGCCCCTATCATACATTCTTGTTTGAGTATAATTACAACAACAACAGTTTTGTAAACGGGAGGGAAAATGGACTTACACAATAGCTTTTCATCAACTCTTCCTCGACTGGTTATAGACAATGCACATATAAACTCTTTGAAATCAATCGTCCCGTTCTTGTCGCCGTCAAATACATTGAACACATAGTCGGCAAACCGCGAAGGGTCACCGAACGGGAAAAACTGCTTGTAGATCTTTTGGAACTCGGTCTTGTCCAGTTGGCCCGACGGACAGTCTTTCAAGAAGCCTTTGTACCTGGTGTTTTCATAATGGCGTGTCCATTCAGTTATTGGAAGGTTGAGGAATGTCAATATACCCACGCACTTGTAAAAGTACGGTTTGCGCTTCTACCCCTTACCTCCCTCTTCTCCTACTCTTGCTCTGTCATTCCTTCCCAAAACTCCCCCTTTACTTCAAAAAAAAAACTATGCTCTTACCATTGTTGCAGCTCCTTCTTATCAACTGTGTATGCGTGCGTTTTTAATACTTTTTGAATTCAATTGTAAAGAATTCCTTGACTTACAGTAAGTGCATTTCTGAAGGTCGTGCAGTTGCTCGGGGCTCAATTTACTCTGAGCTTTACCCATGACGAAACCCGTTAAATTCGTTAAAGTGAAAGATAAAGAGAGTTGTGTGTGGTTGCTGAAAGCAAAAAAAAAAAACAAAGTGAGAGAAAGCACTAGCTCACAAAGAAATGGGAGAGAGAGAAAGAAAAAGAAGAAGTGGGTTGCGAGCGGATGCGGCTGTTTAAAACCTTTAGGTGATATGTGTGTAAAGTGAGTGCAGGCTTAATTGACTGCGTTTTTGGGGGGGTGCGGGATGGGTCGATGCGTGGTTGTTGTTGTTGGGGGGGATGTGGAAAGGGATGTCCATCAGCCCGACTGCTGTTGTTTCCCGAGATTGCAGTGCACATCAGTACCGTGACGGCCGGAAGCATAGCTGGAAATAATATCAGCGCTGCTGCTGCTGCTTTCTTTCTCTCTCTTCCTTTGCAACTCCCTCTATCTTTTCGTGCTTTTTTTTTTACACTCCTTTCTCCTACTCTCTTTTTTTTTTTTCTCTCTCATTAATTGCTAGAATCCTCCACCTTTTTTTGTTGCGTTCGAGGCATTTAAAAGCTTGAAAAAAAAAGAAACACAAAAAAAGCCAACAACAACAACGGTACGTTTAATTCTTCTTTTTTTTTATTTTTCTTGCAATTATGAGTGTGATGAAGGTCAGCGACTTCTTTCTCTCTCTCTATGCAAAACTTTGCAATGAAAAAAAAAGGACAACCAATGTGACTTTGGTCATCACACACACACACACATACACAGTGTGTCTCTCTTTCTCGGTTTTTTTTTGCGTGGGTCGCTTATCGTTTCGTAACCCGTTCGACAAAAGAGCCACGTTTTTCCGAGCTGACCTGTTCTTTGCCACGTGTTGTACAGTTGCTGTTTTAGCACTGCTGGCGTTCTTTTCGATCACCCCCGGAAGAGAGAGAGACAGAGGGGAGCAGGCAAAACAGACAACAATAAAAGAAATTTCTAACATTGTGTAATAATATCCTTTGTAGTTATTGAACAAAAGAAGAGCGACACACCCTTTCCCGATATACCACATCATACACGTATCTCTATTCCTTCCCTTCTATCTCCCTCTCTATCTCTCCTACTTTTTTAATCCCCAACTCCCTTCCATAGAAACATTACAAATCCTATTTAGACATGATGCTCTATAAATTAGTCGTACTTGGAGATGGTGGTGGTAAGTTTGAACATAACGCCTGGGTTCCTTTAAAGTAATATACCCTTCTTGAAAAAAAAAACAATTGACATTTTTTCTTTTTCTTTTTTCTATATCGAAATAGTCGGCAAAGTAAGTATGAGACCTTTACCTGAAAAAGTTACATGAGAAAGCCGGTTGGACGAACCCGAACAAAAAGACAACAGTAACCCTAACAAATTGATGCATAATCAGACCGCCTTAACAATCCAGCTTTGTCTTAACCACTTTGTCGGTATGTCATTCTTTTTTTTTTCATGATTTGCGATCCAGAGTGATTCACAGTGAAGCGCCAGCAATCCATCAATATCAAATTATATCAACCATTTGTATCAATAAACTCATTCTTATCTTTTTCTTTTTTTATATATATATATTTAGAGGTATGGATCTAGTTTATCCATGTTGGATGAGAGGAGGAGGAGAGCCAGAAACTTTGTTAGGGAGGGAGGCGTCCTATATAGAAACTCTTGCTTTGGTGCCCTTGGTGTTTACTACATGACAACCGTTGTCATCATGGCAACACATATACTGCCATGGCAACAAATTCGTGTAAAAAAAAGCTTATATGGGACGCCTTACAGAATACATTGAAAATATATAACAGGGATAACTTATTCTTTTTTTGGAAATACGCGACACACACACACACACATATATATATATACATATAATAATAGACATACGATCCGACGATCGAAGACTCGTACCGCAAGCAGGTCGTGATTGACGATCAACCATGCATTTTGGAAGTCTTGGATACTGCTGGCCAGGAAGAATATACTGCGCTGAGAGATCAGTGGATCAGGTAAAAAAAAAACATAAACCAGTTGTCTAGTAAATACTTTGATATTTAAAGTTGAAACTTGAAAAACTGTAGAGACGGTGAAGGTTTCTTGCTCGTGTACTCTATCACATCCCGCTCAACATTTGAACGCATCGAACGGTTCCGTGACCAAATTTTCCGTGTGAAAGACGTGGACGATGTACCGTTAATGTTGGTCGGCAACAAATGTGACAAGGTGACAGAACGAGAGGTGACGCGTGAAGAAGGATATGCCATGGCCAAACGATTGGCTTGTGACTTTATTGAAACCTCGGCCAAGACATGTGTCAACGTCGAACGATCGTTTTATCAGGTCGTCAAAGTCATTCGTGCGCAGCGCGAAGGGTTGAATACAAGCCCGAAGCATAAGAAGGCTAAAAAGGAAAAGAAGACAAAGTGTTCAATCCTGTAATTCTGATTTAATTTCTCTCCCCTACTACACTCACTCTTTTACCTTTTTCTTTATCATTACTACTATTACTACTGTGTTTTTTTTTCTTCCTTATTATCCTTATAAACAACCGATTTTCTTATATGCCACACACACACTCGTCCCAACCACTTTGCCATTTACACGCACTCCGCCCCACCCTTTTTTTTGTTAGTTAGAAAAAAATATTAAGCAAAGAGTTATTTCGATTTTTTTTAACTAGACAAAAAAAGAAAACTGATCAACTCGTTGTTGTTGATGGTGATGAGGGAGAGTAGCTCATACCACAGATGTTTTAGGTATGTGAGATTCTGTACGAAAGAGAGAAGGTGTGTATAAGGAAGAGAGATAAGTGAGTGAATAGAGAATAGTAGTAAATGTGTAAGGGAAGAAAAGGAAAAAGTTAGTTCTTGTTTCGAGGTTATTGAGAGGAAGGGGAAAAAAGAGACGGTATACGAAAGAAAAATGATGGGAGAAGATAGAGAGGTGGGAGGGTTTGTGAGCATATGGTACTATCATTAAGGAAAATAATAATAATAATAATAATAATAGAAAATAAAAGTAATAATAATTTTTGGGTTGCTTGTTTCGTTTAGACGGCCATAACAAGGTTCTTGACGCCCTTGGGAGTCGTGTCATCATTCAGATGCTTCGAGTTGTATCGCAAGGCAGACATGAGGTTGCTTGCGCTTGATTCTTCGGGGATGTTGAAAACACTCGTATTGGCGTTCTGGATGATCTTGACCGAGTTTTTGATCTAATTTATCATAAAAGGAGAGGTTAATGTTTTTTTTTTTGATGGAAAACACATCAAGCCTTCACACGTACATTGATGGGCGAGCTTTTGGAAAAGACACCGTTGGGATCAATGTGATCATATAGAATGATCGACACAACCATGACCTTTAAGCAAAAGCCAACCAATTCGGCCGACAGCGTCCGTTTCTTGCTGACAGTCTGGAAACAAGCAGCCCATAATGCGGTCAAGCAATCACCGACACTGCGCTGCAGACGGTTGTGGGTGACATACTCGGTGGTGGTGTCGATCACACACTTGAGCATCGGTGTAGGATAGGCAATGAACAACGAGATTCGGTTCGCTTGGTCATCCTCGACCATGGCACTTTTTAGATCCGACATGCTCTCGCCATCGTCCGCCATGGATTGTCGACCCGTATAGCGACCGCGTTGTAACATTCGACGATAGTAGGAGAAATCGTTTTGCAGGGTTGGATTGCGCATCTAAGATGATCACTTTTTTTTTTAGTGCTGGTGTCAGACTAGAACCGTCCATCGAGTAGCAAGTAGTAGCAAGTAGTAGTGTGGTGGTGGTGGTGGTGGCAGAATAATTAATTAAACCCTGGTGTTACCCCAAATTATTCTCTGTTTGATTTACCTTGAGATGGTCGAATTCAAACACAAAGTCGAGAATATCGGCAAACAGCTTGGTCAAGCCCTGATGTTTTTCGAGATTCTTGCTCACTTCACCTTGACAGAGTACATTCAATAGCCGTGGCACACCTTCACCTGTATCACATACCACATCGTTGCCGTTAATTAAATTATTTGGAGGGGGGAGTGACACAAGATAGTCCCTCTCCCCCCAAGTCTTTTTAGAGCACTCCCCACACCACCACCAATCAACCCCCCCAATTTAGTAAATCTTACGCAGATCTGAGGAATAGCCGTAAATCTCGCGCAACATGTCCACAATGGGTAGAACAGCTCGCCAGGCAATGTCTTCGTTCTCTTGGGTGGGTGAAGCGATGGCTGTGCGCACCTCCGTGGAGGCCGATGTGTAGTTGCGCAAAGAGGTCAACAGGCTTGGCCCTGGCTGGACCAGCAGCGCAGAGAGTTCCTCGTACAGTTGGCTTTCTTCGGTGGATACGGTCGTGTCTATTGTTGTTGTTGTTTGATATAGGCTGTGTTGTCAGATCGGTATATGCATCGTCATCCTCTTTCACTCCAGTAAAACCAACCGTCCTTCTCCTCCTCCTACTACAGACTCCCTTCTCTCTCTCTCTCTCTCTCTCTCTCCCTTAAAAAAAATAATGTCTTCTTCTCCACACCATATTATCACAAACATATCATCCATCCATCTTGAATATATGAAAAAAAGATCATCCAACATCCTTGAATAACGAACAGCCCCCCCCCCCTGAAAAACACAAAAAACCTTGCTTACTTTCAATGTCAAAACTAATCTCAGGAACCATCATTTCGCCTCCGCGTAGACTCAAGCTCGATAATATTTGTCCCATTTTTTTTTCTTTGGTTGCTCTCTCTCTCTCTTTTTTTTAAAGCTCGAAATAACAAAAATAACGTTGACGGTGTACTAAAAAGATATCAAAAAACGTATTCATACACGCCAAGCAAAATAGATTAGATTGTTGTGCAAAAAGTCACCATTGCTGTAACGTACATTTGTTTCAGTTGTTCCTGATTCGAGAGGGTTTGATGGCGGGGAAAGACTTGTTGTGTGCGGAGAGGAATTACTTTGAAGAGAAAGGTTAAGTGAAAATAAAAAGGAAAGGAAAGACGAGAAAAAAATAACAAGTTATATTTTTTTCAATGTGTGGGGGAAGAGGAGGAAGAGGAGGAGGGGGAATGGAGATTAGCCCACGAGCCAAGATGGAGAGTAAAAGGAAGAAGAAAAAAAAAAAAAAAATCAAACAAAAAGGCGGGTGTTCGGCTCATAAGCGCTTGTGCAACCGAAGCAAAAACACATCTTCTCTCTCTCTCTCCTTTTTTCTCCTTTGCGAAGCGCGGGCCCAAAGAAGAAGCAACAGCTATTATGCTACATACTACACTGCTACAGTAGTGTACCAAGGTCAGATCACTACGTGCACCTGTCGCAGAATACCCAATATACTGGACGCTGATGTGATATGTAGTTCTTGTTTATTATTAGTGTTATTAGTGTTGTTATTGTTGATATAATTAAGCAGCAACCTCGGCCTTGATCTTGATGCCATCGTACTGAGGCTGGTCTGGGTTATCCGAACCTTGCTCAAAGTTAGGGGGCTTGGGAACAAGTCCTAAAATGATACGTGGTGGGGGGTGGAGGGGGAGAGAAAGGGTTAATACGTCTGTAGCCCCAAAAGCAGTAGTCATAGCAACAAATGAGATGAAAAGCTATCAAAAAGAGGAAGAGAGAGTGTGTGTGTGTGTTACCCAGGAGCTGGAACATCTTTTGGTCATCGGTAAACTCATTGTTAGGGGTGGTCAACAACTTGTCGCCTGTAAAGATCGAGTTGGCACCGGCCATGAAGCACATGGCTTGCTCGGCGACAGAGAAGCGGACACGGCCAGCGGACAGACGGACCATGGACTGGGGCATGATGATGCGGGCAGTGGCGATCATGCGAACCATATCAAACACAGAGACCGGCTCTTGGTTTTCTAATGGCGTGCCCGGGACAGCCAACAAGGCATTGACAGGCACACTTTCCGGGTGCTTTGGCAGGTTCGACAGCGTGTACAGCAGGCCCACACGGTCCTCCTCTTGCTCGCCAAGGCCAATGATACCGCCAGAGCATACCGAGATGCCTGCATCCTGTGCATTGCCAATCGTCTCCAGCCGTTCGTCATAGGAACGGGTCGAGATGATCTAAGGGGTACTCGCGTGTTTTAGCATCCATGTGTTGTTATCTCAAAAGTCTACTGATAAGATGAGATCTCTCTTTTTACCTTGGGATAGAATTCACGCGATGTGTCGAGATTGTGGTTGTATGCGGTCAAGCCTGCCTCTTTCAACTGCTTGGCTTGTACTTGGTCCAACATGCCCAAAGTGCAGCACACTTCCATGCCCATGCCACTAAACAATAACAGTCGCCCCCATTGTCAGACCCAACCATTTCTCTCTTTTCCCTTCCTTGGCATTGGCTGCTACATACCGAATGGCCTTGACATAGCCTACGATCTTTTTAAAGTTTGATTTACGACCTGCAAGATCTCTCCATGCAGCACCCATACAGAATCTATACAAGAGTCAACATGAGTGAAGCGGTTTCGAGTAAAAAGATAGTGTCGAACAGAATACTTCTTCTTACCGTGTGCTTCCTGCATCCTTGGCACGCTGAGCAGCATCCAAGACCTCACCGGTGTCCAGCATCTTTTGTGCCTTGACGACAGTGTTGTATCGCGACGACTGCGGGCAGTACTTGCAGTCTTCTGTGCAGCCACCGGTCTTGATCGACAAGAGTGTGCATTGTTGTACCTCACGGCCGTTAAAGTTCTCGCGATGCACCTTGGCCTACATGGGAAAATGACACACACACGCGCGCGCGTACGTACGTACGTAGATCCAACATGAACACAACCGGAGTTGAGTGCTGGGAAATGATAAAATAGATAAGATGAACCCACACTTACACCATAGTACATCAGATCCATAAAGGGCGAGTCAAAGATGGCTTGGATTTCTTCACGCGTCCAGTCGTTTCTCAAGGGACTACCGGCATGGATGGCGGCAGCCGAAAGGGCTGGGGCTGCTACTGCTGCTGCTGCTGCTGCTGTTGCTGCTGTTGCTGCTGTTGCTGCTGTTGTGTTTGCGGTAGAAGCTGGAGCAACGGCAGCTAGTCGCGTTGGCGTGGCAGTGCCATAGAAGCGACGTGCTGAACGGAGTGGCTGTGTGGCGAGGCGAAAGGCAGACATGCTATCAAGGTCAGGAGGAGAGGGGAGGTGTTGAAAGAAGAAGAAGGAAAAAAAAGAAAAAGGGAAAAAAAGTCGATGATGACGGGTTTTTTCTTTTTTTTTGGGGAGCAAAGCAAAGGGCCCAGGACCCACAGTTGCGTATTCGTTTATTATCTCTTATGCGGTCACCCAAAAAAAAAACCGACAACAAAGGTTGGGTGGGTGGCCCTTTTCCCCTTTTCCATATCAGGGCATCTCCGAATCAGCACGGCCTGATTGGACAATGCCCTGGGAATAACAGAGAGATAACCTATCCCCCCCCAAAAGGCAGCATCCATCATCACAGTTTAGATTAAAGATCGAAGAGAGTGTGCGCGAAAACCTGACAAATCGCTACTACTACTCTGCTGAAAGAGAAAGAAACACCACCCCCCCCCACCCTTTTCTTCTTCTTTTACTTCTTTTACCTTTTCCCTTTTCCCCACCCGCACCCTTTTCAAAAGTCGATTTGGCAATGCCTGCTCCATTCCACCCTACGCGTGCATTCCAGGCATACCAGATCTTTGCGGCCAACACGGACGTCGGCAAGACCATTCTGGCCACCGGTCTGTGTCGAGCAGCGGCACTCACGGCGAAGCAAAAGAATCGCGACGTGTTCTACCTGAAGCCTGTGCAGACGGGTTATCCTGTTGACAGTGACGAAAGGTAAACGGATCCTAATCCATTTCCCGCCCGCGCTCCCCCTTTCCACCGTTCTTCTTCACATGCAGGATAGGAAAATACCCGTCACTATTTTTTTTTTCATTTGAATTGAACGTGAAGGCACATGGAAACAAATCTGCTCATTTTTTTCTTTTAAATTCTCAGGCACGTCAAAACATATTCTTCCGGTGTCGTTCAGACAGAGACCTTGTACAAGTATGCCGACCCAGTCAGCCCTCACATTGCCACAGATAAGGTTTGTGTATATATATATATATCTCTCTCTCCTTCCATGTGTGGGTGTGGGAAAAAAAAGAAAAGAGGTCCAAAATGATACAAATGAGGAAGAATTAGAAGTTCACTCTAAATTCACCAGCCTCCGCACGATGACGAGTTGATGTCAAAGACAAAGCAAAGTCTCCTCAACTGTGTGCGGCAAAGCAGGACAAAGAATGGGGCGTACGCATTCGTTGAGACGGCTGGGGGGATCCATAGCCCCGTCATGTCTGGTAAGCACTCCCAATCCAAATTGTACAAGGTTTAGCCGAACAGTGCGACCCCCGGGGAAAACGCGTTTCTCCCGCATAACCCGACTTGAAGAAACTGAAAAATCCATTTTTAGGAACACCGCAAGCTGATTTCTATCGACCTCTCCGTCTGCCATCCGTGCTGATCGGCGACAGCAAACTGGGTGGCATTTCCACCACCCTATCCACCTATGAATCATTGGCACTGCGCGGCTACGACATTCCCTCGATCCTGCTGTTCCACAACGGCCGATACCGCAACCACGAAATGCTTGCAACCCAACTCGATGGCCGAACCCTCGTCAGCGCCGTCCCTGCCCCACCCACGAAACTCGACGATCCAATCAAAGAAGCCGAGTCCATGATGACATACTATGCCCAGCTCGACGAACACATGGCACCGGTCATCAAACACTTGGACAAAGTCCACGAAGCCCGCTTCGAACGGCTGGCACAGATGGAAGAAAAGGCCAAGGACATCCTCTGGTGGCCATTCACACAGCATCAAAACGTCAAGCAAACGACCGTCGTCGACTCGGCCTACAAGGATTACTTTTTGACGTATCAAAAGTCCACCGAGACAAACGAAATGGAGCCCAAGGAAATGTTTGACAGCTGTGCCAGTTGGTGGACCCAAGGCTTGGGCCACGCGAACCCGCAATTGACATTGGCAGCCGCACGTGCTGCAGGCCGCTATGGCCACGTCATGTTCCCCGAAACCGCCAACGAGCCCGCCATGTCCTTGGCCGAACGCATCTTGGCCAAGGACACTTGGGCCTCCCGTGTATTCTTCTCGGACAATGGCAGCACCGCGATTGAGGTCGCAATCAAGATGGCTTTGCGTGCTACGGCCATACGCTATGGCTGGTCAGATAGCAAGCCCGTCGACGTACTTGGTCTGGAGGGCGGATACCATGGAGACACCATCGGTGCCATGGACGCCTGCTCACCCAATGTGTTTAACAAGAATGTGCAATGGTACAAGCCCAAGGGTCATTGGCTCCAGGCTCCCTCGATCCATATCTCCAAGGGTAAGGTCCATGTCCGTGTTCCTGATGCCATTGCTTCGAAGGGTGGCGGTACTTCTTCCGCGGCCTATGCGTCACTTGATGCAGTCTATGCTACGGACAAGCGTGGCGCAGACCCATTGGCCAATGTGTATAAAACATACATTCGCTCGCAACTCCAGGGTTTGCGCGACCAGGGTCGACACATTGGCGCTCTGTTGATGGAACCCGTGATCATGGGCTCGGGCGGCATGATCTTTGTCGATCCCTTGTTCCAGCGTGTGTTGGTTGACACTGTCCGTGCCGAGGGTGCAGATCTGCTGGGCTACAAAGCGCAGGAGCAGGCCAAGGGCTGGCAAGGCGTGCCTGTCATTTTCGATGAGATCTTTGCTGGCTGGTACAGACTGGGTCGTCGATCCGCCTCGGACTTTTTGGGAGTGGTAAAGTCTTTCTTTTTTCTCTGTGTGAGAGAAACATCATCATGCTAAAACTATGTCCTTTAATCATCGTAGAAACCCGATATTGTTGGCTATGCCAAGACGTTGACAGGGGGTCTGGTGCCACTGGCATTGACTGTCACCAAAGAATCGTTGTTTGACATTTTCTTGTCCGACAAAAAGGAAGAATGTCTGTTGCACGGTCACTCGTACACGGCCCATCCAATCGGTTGTTCAGTTGCGGGCGAAACCATTGACACGTTGGAACGCATGGCGCGTGTCGACAAGCCTACCGAATGGACATCGTACCGTGACAACTGGAGCAGCAACGACACGTGGTCCATGTGGAGCCCTGCCACCGTCGATCGCTTGTCCCACATGGATAAAGTCGAAAGTGTCATGAGTTTGGGATCGATCTTGGCGGTGGAACTCAAGGATACAGAGGGCGGTTATAACTCTATGATTTCCAAAAACATAATTCAAAAGATGCGTCACGGTGACTTTGATGAAGGCAATGGTGCTGGTATCAACTTGTTTGCTCGGCCGTTGGGCAACGTTATCTATTTGATGACATCGCAGATAACGACGCCCGACCGTGTTCGCAAGTGTGAAGATATTCTGTTCGAATGTCTCGAGCAGAAGCTGTAGAAGAACTGTTGAACATCACCTAGAACAAGTTGTAGATAGTACAATTGTACAAAAACCCCATTTCTCTTTGTAACATTACCACTAATCATTTGAGCCCCCCTCTATACTCCTCATCCACTAAACTTTCACTTTTATTACATATGTAACTGTGCATATTTCTTTTATTATCGTTATGCATGTCATTTCAGCTCAATCACTTGAAAGCCGTCCTCGTCCGTCATATGTTTTTGTTGCTGCTGGCTATTGGGATACTGCTGTGATATCAGAGGATGATGGTATGAAGGTGGCGTAAGTACCCTCCGCTGTGAAGGATGTGGATGGATAGATGCAGTTGAATACAATCGCTGCTGCGATTTGACGCGATAGAGCATATAGGCAAATGCGATCTATGAAAACGAAAAGTATATTAAGAGGGTGGCTACGTATGTCTATTCTGCCATCAAGAAAGAAAGTCTTACATTTAAAAGTAGTGTGGCCATCGATCCAACAGCAGCCCATACCACTGTTGCCTCCCACAACCGAACGCATCCTGAAATGGCCGACATTACTTCACTCGTTGTTATTCCATCTCTTTGTTCTCCTTGTTGTTGTTGTTGTTGTTGTTCTTGTTCTTGTCGCTGCATGAAACATCCTGCAACGAACCGATCTTTGCTGATACACATGATGGACAGGTTGGCACAGCTGTTGATAAACCCGAGTACGGTCAAGACATAGTAGATCCACCAATTGATATTGAGAGAGAGTGTGTGGCCCTTGTACGACGCGAGTGTTGCAGATGCACTGACGATCATCATACACACGCTCAGTAAGCATGACGCGTAAATTGTAGGTGTGATCCAAGTATCGATCAATGCTATTGTATCGTTTGTTGAGTATTGATTAAGCTTGTACACAGACACGCGGATAGAGATATTACACTTACGAGGCCATTTGTTATCGACACAACCCCATATTTCCCAAAGTGCTCTGATCTAAGGTAATACATGGATAACGTAGCCAGTGTCAGCCTTCTTTGCCCCTCTTAGCGATTAATATCATTTTGCTGAAATAATACAGTAGATATTGTAACGAATGTTCGTACCATTTGAATGCCTGTCAAAAATGCTACAATCCGGTGGGGTTTTACTTCAAATCGACCACAACAACGATGCTGCTCTTTTCTGAATCCCATTGCTCTATTACTACTATTATGTATGGGTTGTTCCCTCGTTCTTGTTGTTGTTCTTTTTGTTTCCAGTAAAGATATAGGATATGAGGGAGAGGACGATAAGGATAAGGATGATAATGATGATGATGGAAGAACAGAGAAAGAAAGAAAGAAAGAGAGAGAGAGGCAAGGGGTCTGTTGTGTGTATGTTTTTTTTACGTGGTGGCAATTATTTATATGCTGTCGAAAAAGCATTCCTTGGGCATGTAAAGTAGGCGGTTTGCAATTTACATCTCGACGAGCCCAGCCTAAAATTTATATAGCACTGTACACGGTACATATAGTATCTCCTCATCATGTAGCTCATATCTTTCTATTGGCTTCTTCTCTTTTCGCTGTCAAACATATATAGTGGATATAGACTTGTTTTATACTCTGGGGAAAAGGAATGGATATTCGTTGCACAAAAAAACGCAAACATGTTGTTTTGGATGCATATTCTTGGAGATGTATGCGTACGTGCATAAGCTATATTCATATCTATTCGAAAATTAGCTACGGGACACAAAAATGGTAGGTATTGGTACTACAATGACAAGTAGGATGTTATAGTTCAATTTTAGAGTGCCATTTTGACAACAACAAAACAATATATGGTTACAGATGTGATGTGGGATAGACCTGTCCAACTCAACAACTATAAAGAACTTTCTTTTGAAATAGCTTGCACGGAAAGGGCGATTGTCTTTTTACAATTACAATTTCCCCTTGATGTCTTTCAACGCAACCACAACAGGGCATCATGCTACACTATTGTGACCCTCTTATTAATGATGATCAGAACTGACAGGAGAAGGCTTAAAAAACGTACCTTTGTAAAAAGGCTGCCTAAACATACTTACACGAGGTCTCTATACGTAGTCGTTTAAACATCTATCAGTAAAAAGACGTATCATAACAGGGTTTCGTACACAAGTGATGACAGCAGGATTCTCTTGAAAGCATAGCCAATGGGACGACGGTTAGAGAGAGAGGATCCCATCGATTTTGACATGGTTACACACGAGGCTGGTGCCAAATGAAGGCGCAGTCACGATTTTTTGCTTTCGTCATTTTTGAGAAATGGAGGGCAATAGAATCAAAGAAACGTGCCTGGTGGGTAAAGCTACCAAAAAAAATAAGAAAAAAGAACTCTTCTCTATATGCGGAGGCAAGCGACGCATCTTAAGGATGCGTCCAGCATTTTATTTCCTTCGAAACTAGCCAGTACTCGAGCCAAGACCATACGAGATATACCTTCATGCTGCTGGAATTCTCATATACAAGCCATGTTGCGCGCCATTGACATGCCGCGGTCGTCGGTAACAACAACAACAACACAACAGCAGCAATCCTGTCGTCGACGATCTGTACCTTTACGGAGGCAGTACTATAACCAAACAATAACAACACAACAGACGCGTCGATTCGCGACGGCCGCTCTTTCTACACGCGAATTACAGCAACAACAACAAAGAGTATGTAGTACAACAACGTCAGGAGGAGAAAAAGGTGGTCGTCGACGAGATTTAGCACCACAACCAGCCGACCTTCAAGGTCCATTTTCAGTATTCAATCTGAGCCATCATGTCGATTTCGCTGATCTTGAACGGACAATACGATCAAAACAAGCCGAAAGCGCGTGGTCACTGTTTACAACACTGGCGTCACGACGACAAGACAACAAGGAAGAAGATGACAACCCGCAATCCCCTCGCTACATTCCACTCCCACTCTGTTCGGCGCTCTACTCACTACTCACGTTTGCAAAGACGCTATCCGTTTCAAGTAAATCCGCTGCATACCGACAAAAACAGATTGACCAACTGTTACGGTACGTTGAAGAAGAATTCGAAATGCCACGGTCACAATTCATGACAGGCGCGCAAGTGATACCCGTCCCAGGATACAAATTGTTATTGCGCGCCTTACGGCGGAACAATCGACGGACGGCATGGGGAATTTTCAGCGACATGTCGGCTGGTGAGGCGGCCGAGATACCCCGGACATATATATTGAAGCTCATGGCATTGGTGCAGGATGATTTCAAGGTGGATAGTCAGGAACGCAGTCGGCGACTCGAGTTTATTGCTGGATTACATGAGGGTCAGCTGGATAGTCAAGGACGGGCATTGACGGGTTTGGAGATGTTGCAAGTGGCCAAGGTGTACTATTTGTTTTCGACGGACGATCCAAGAGCAGCGCATGGCATGATGATGCAGCTGGCCAATGACAATGGTGGCATGTCCTCAAGTATGCTTGCAGAACTTGTTTGGCGAGCTATTGAATTTAATGCATTGGGTCCGGCTTGGGAACTTTTGCATAGTGTGTCGAAACGACGAAAAGAGAAAGCACGCGATAATGCGGTGGCGGTGGCTACTACTGCTTCTACGGACTGGAACGACGAGCAAGCCTATGTCAGCTTGATCCATGCATACAGGAACAGGAAGCAGTACAACAGGGCGTTGGAGATGTTTGAGCGGATACTGCAGGACGGAAAACCGCCGAGTACATGGGCCTTCAATGCGGCATTACAAGTGTTTGCAGAACAAGGCGAAACCGACAAGGCCGTGTTCATGTACAACTCCATGATCCAACTAGGCGTGATGCCGGACGTGGCGACGCTGTCGGAAATCATCAAAGTGCACACCGTGGCCGGTGATCTCCGGACAGCCCTGGACTACTACCACACCATGCGCGAAAAATTCTCGATCCAGCCCAACGCATACACATACAGCTTGATCATTGAAGCCTTTTCAAACCGAAACGATGTGCGCAGCGTCATCCGATGGTTCCAGTCCATGGTACGCCATGGCGTTGCACCAAACCGTGTTGTGATTGGCAATGTCATGAAAGCGTTTAAGCAGCAATCGAGACGTCATCCAAACCTAGGCGAAGCGGTCATGCGGATAGCAGCACATGCTTCAGCTGCTGGCATTTCGGCCGACGCAAATTTGTACACACTGCTGCTCCAAGCTCAGGCACAGCTCAATGGTCTTGGTGGTGCATTGGCCACGCATCGCGAAATGGTCGATCGGCTCGTGGAACCCAATGTGTACACTTACACGGTGCTTATATCTGTATGTGGGAAATATGATGCGCCGGATGCGGCGCAGCGGATTTTCGAATTGATGAAGCAAAGTCGCGTATATCTCCCGAATACCTATACCTATTGTGTCATGATGGACGTGTGGTCAAGAGCTCGGCGTTATGACTTGTTAAATGATCTGGTGCGTGAATTCGTGACTGAAAGCAATGCCAACGAGGACGGTAGACTTATAATAGATGCAAAAGTAAAAGGATATATCCAATTATATACTTAATATATGTTCTTTATTTCTTGTTAACATCTCCATGTAACTGTAAATATAATTTCATCCGCTTTCATATTCTATTTGAATATGGCTCTAAATTGCTTAATTGCATAGCACCTTACTTGTAATCGCTGTTTATTTCGTATGTAGGAAGATGTCGCATAGGTATGCATTATTATATAGAGTAGAACATAATGGGTTATTATATCTAGTCCACGTTATGATAATGGAGGAAAATGATAGTGCTGTATGTACGACGATCGGATTGATAATAGGCGCAAAGAAGTAAAAGGAAGAACATTCTTCCTTTTTGATCCTGTGAAAACGTGACAGCATAGAGACATTCTAAATATAAATAGTAGCGTGCATCATCACCAAGAATTGAAAAAGTTAGTTTTGCTTTCACAATAAAACAACTACAGTTAACGCTAATTTACAAATATCACGTCTATTCAATAGATAAAGCTGTTACTGTATATAATATTATAGTCGACCCCCATTTCAAACCTGCTAAGTTTCAAACCTCGCTATTTCCAGATAATCAGAGTAACCTTACTAAAAATTCGGGAATCCGCGCTATGAAATTAACGAGGGTCTACTGTATATTGATCGTCAAAGCAATTGTTCTGGTGCGCATGCGTAGTAGAGCACAGATATAGAATACGTTAAGCAAGATCGATCGAGTTGTAAAAAATTCTGCACGAAGCATAGTTATCGCATGAATTAATGGATCGTGTGGTGGGTGTACTATGCTTATGTTTCCCACATCGATCCATTGTTGTAAATATATCGATCTTTACTAATCAGATCTCAGTACTTTTATGATGAGGTTTGAGAATAGGGGCCCGTTGATGTTGGTGATAATAAGAGTATAATAGGCACTCATCCCCATGATTTCTAATGTACATACTGGATTTTTCCTCCCACTTGACATCGTAGTAAATTTAGTTTGCGTCGCTGGGAAGGTAGATAGTGTGCCGAGTTTCAAACTAACTTGTGTACTTGCCAGCATCCGTTTTACGTTTCTGCACTTGCGCTGTTGTCTCTGCGCGCTGGTTGCTGCCATTGACAGACATGCTGCTATTGCAAGTGGTTTTTCAATGCGGAAACGGGTGGAACCACCGTGTCACACTGTGCATACAACCCTCTTTTTTTTTGCATTTTGGCTCAACCCCGTCACCAGCCCGCATGTGCTTATAGCATAATGGAGGTGCCAACACCAAGAAAGATAAATTTCACGCTTAGGCCATGATGTGTATGTATGCTTTACTTCCATCAAGCAGGTATCTATACATAAATCAAAGTATGCAAGCGAGATCTACCCATCATTAATGAATGACCTTAGCACTGCCGTTTCTTTGTTTCCCTCAAATGTTTTCGTACCACATTGACATAAGAATTACTAACTAAGATCAAACTACATGTATAGTACAGGCGTCATCATCGATCTACTCAAAAGACACAAATCCGAGCAGACCAAAGAGTTTACAACGCGGTCAACATGCATAGGAACTATTTGCACGCTTTAAAAAAAGGCGCAATTTTCTGCATCTGAATCAGGTGAATACCAAAATGACAAGAAAATCCTGTTGTGATAAGCTACGTGCAGGAAAAGAGAGAGAGGCGAGCAGCTGAAACAGACTTTCCGAATTTGAAGATCTGGCAGTTATCATATACATGTCTGTTGGCGTATGCTCTGGTGTTGCCTCTTATAAAATAACCCCTTTTCACAAGAAGGGTCGCACCATATCCGCGGTAACAAGCAATGTAGGCGAACACAGAAAGTGAAAAGGAGTGTCAAAGTGTGATAAAGCGCGTTGTGATCGTGTTACCGTCGTCTGTCATTGTTCCCCGCTTTGTTTAGCACGGAGCTGTGGGTGGGCAAAAAAAATAAGGAACTTGTCAAGCACATGAAAAAAAAGGCAAAGCAAAAAAAAATAATAAAGCGGCAAAACGTTTATGAGAAGAGTGCGAAAAGAAAAAGATTGTTTTATTTTGTTTATCATTTTGTTTATTTGTGTTTAATAAAAAATAAAAAGTTCGTTTTAATTATCCCACCACATACCCGAAGGTACGTGTCCACATTCCCACTGGTACATTGCAAAAGATTTCCTCCGAGCGGACCACTGAATCCAGCCAATCCTCAGAATCCTCTTGACAATCGCCAGCACAAGCATATGACCCGATCATGGCACCAAACAGTGCATCTGTACTACAGATCAAAGCTGTACCAAAACGAACTGAAGAGAAGAGAAAAAAGAAAGGCGAAATTGCTCGCTTTATATAGACATTTTTTCTCGTTCGGGACTTCAAATCCCCGTGGACTCTCATTGGCCCAGATAACGGATTGCGAATCAACTTGTGGGTTGCCTACTATGACATAACAAAACATACAGCACCAAAGGAAAGGAAAGGAGTGGTACTTGATGGTCAAGTAGACAAGCGTGCTTCGGCGGTAGTGGTACGTGTCTCTCACCATGCGGAGCTGTACCCTCCGACGATGTCGCCGCTTGTTTGTGAGTGGGGCCGTGCACGGCACCGTGTCAGACAAAGAACAAAGACACGAATGCGAATGAGCATGTAGATTCACGGAAGAAGCGCTTTTCTGTGAGCAGTCAATGACAGAAGTAGGAGTGACTGACAAGGTAGACAATTCACTATCAGTGAATGTTGAGAATACATTCCACCCAGCAGCCAGTTTACAGTCCTTCACCCAACAAGACAAACAGCGTGTGTATATAGCGTAGTTCACAGTACTTTGATATTATCTTTTGACTGTGTGTGTGGTACGTAATGTTATGTGTGTGCGGAAAAAGATGCCCCCATCGCTGCAGTATATAATAAAGACCCGTTATCTTCTATGTTCAACCGTGCTCGTCAACTGCTGCTTTATCATTTTCGCTATCCGCCAACAGTTCTCTGAACCACGCCGTGTTACCTCCTCCCTCCATCCTCCATCCCAGTTTATGCATTGCTAAAGATCTATCCTCCATTCCAAGCATGTGCTGCTGCAGATAAGTTGGCCCGCTCATAATAAGTATCTGCTGCCGCTAGTGAATTCGACTCATTCCTTCATTGTTTTTCATTGCTGCCGATAAAGTAAATCGGTTTGTTTGTTTTTGTGCTACGTTCTTTTAAAGCAGCGTTCAAGATCCAAGGGGATGATCAGAAGAATAACACTACAAACGATGACTTTTTCCAACTTTTGACACTTTTGCGTGCGTAATTCGTTGCCCCATTTATTACCTTGTTCACTCGCCATCCCTTTGTGCATTTCGAGTGCAAAGTCAATTGGCCAAATCGTTGCGTCACAATGCGCTTTCAGTCTACATAGTTTTCGTTTCAGGGGGAAAGCTGTTGGAACGTTCAAGGTTTGACACACGCGTAACTTCGTCACTATCCAAAAAAGAAAGATCTGTGTTGTGCTCTTCCTGATTTTCCTCATTCCTAGACTACCTTTGCTTCCTGCTGATTTACTTCCGTTATGCTTGTCGTTAGTGTGGGTTTGTGCGTACGCGTTCATAGCCTTCCTTATGTTAAAAAAAAGAGAGACGTAACGAATTTACCCCTATTGTTGCCTATTTCCACAGCAAAATACACATTGTGTTTCTGATCGTCTCTTTGCAGTCTACTTGTCGTTGCCGAATTAATGATGTTATAGTAAAGCCCGAGAGAAAAATCCTGCTCTTTTACTTTTGCTTTTTATATACGTTAAAAGCACCGTTTACTGTGCATTACGTCCCACTTAGCTTAACATATATAGTCCCTTTTGGTATAAAATTACGATCCACTTGATTTTTACCAAGCCTTGTCTTTAGATGCCACAGAAAAGTGTACTGGGGACGAGCAGCTTCTTCGCTACTAGACTTCTCCCAGCAGTAGTTCCATCCACGACTGGTGCATTGACTGGTGGCAAGGTGACATATCAATTAAAGTTGGCAGGGATAGTAATATGTGTTTGCTCTTGGACTACATGCGTTTGCTTTAAACCATGTAGGGTTTCCCGTATAATGAACGCTCCAAGGCTACGTTTTTGGTTTGAGCCACTGATCCGGTCAGTGTACGAAAATGTTCACCGAGCCATGTCACCTTTACCAATAGGTCAAGAAGGACTTAGTCTCTCGGTCGCTTTCAAAGGCATTGCACACCGTGGGCGACGGCTGATAATGAGCGCCGAAATGACTAGTCCCTCCAATAGGGATCGTCGCTTTACAGAAAAACTCATAAGTCCTGAAATTAGTTTTCCCAACAGTGGATTATGATGTTTAGGGAATCGTTTGGTCATATAAACGTGTGGACAGTAGCATGTCATCAGATACATAATCAAAGGAAACAAGATGGGCGGTGGAAATAAGGAAATCACAACGTGATCTGCCGACGTTGGCCAACATCCTAACTTGCGTTGAATCGCTTTTAAATATAATGAGGATAATCATGAAATATCTCCAACAACCATTGGAAAAGAAACGTCGTATATTTGGGCAAGAAAATCATGGCAACTATCATCTACATTTTAGATGCGGTGCTTCCCGTTTTTGCACCATCATCTCATTGATACAAAGGGCTCACAATGTTTTTTGGTATAAGTTCTATTTCGCCCTGTACGTCGTTGGACACGCTGATGATTACGCCTTGCGTTATCAATCGACGCTCAAGCGAGGCGTGCCCTTTCCCCATTATGTTATCGAACAATTGACGAAACACCTTGTAGCCGAACAGATTGCAGAGTAGATAGTCTGCAAGAGAGACATTACCGAAACTACAACGTTTATGTGCAATACAGTAAAGTGTATAACAACTCAATAGAATCTGTACAAACGACCAATCTGGACGCATAACCAAAACAAGGAGACCCTCGATATGTGTACAAGCAATGATGTATGGCGTGGAGGTGGACTACGATGCCCTTGTGCAAACAAAGCCTGGGCCAAAAGGAACCAAAACTGGAACACTAAAAAACATGAACAAAGAGATAGCAGGGGTGAGTGGTATTCAGCATTGTATCCGAGAAAAGATAGCTGTAAAAGATAACGAACAACAACAGCGCAAAGCATGTGTTATTCCCATTGCTTAAAATGAAAGACGTAAATTTTATGCATCAATTTGGGCCACAAGAGTCTTTCTACCAAGTGATATAAAAGAATCTAGAGATGAATAGTCTAATGTAAACGAACAGTAACGCAGCAAAGCTACTCTGACATAGTTGTACATACTGCATAAATACCGTTCTGTTCGTACTAGATAGTACTTTTTTTTTCTTCCCCGTGCATGGGTATCTTTTAAAAGAGATTTGGTAGGAGCAGCGCGGGCTAAACACAGGTGATTGATGGACATCTTCCGGGCTTGTAGCAACACATGGAGACACAAGCATTGAATCTATACCAGACAACAATAGTATTACCGTGCTTGCACAGAACAATCTGTCGCTCTCTAGTTGAAAACGTGAGCCAGTAAGAACGGTTGCATGAAGCTGATAAATACGCTTGTCACGCATAAGCACTCTGGGATCTTACTCTTCTTTATTCCACAGAAATATCGGTTCTATTGGAAAAGGTGTGAAACTATTAGTTCAAAAAGAATATCTAAAGTAAAAGCGAACCGATTTTGTGCAAATTAGTTAATGCACTTTGAGGCAAACAGTAGATTTATGGAAGATCAAGGCGCAGCCTCTGACGGGCGCGTTTTGGGTGTCAAAATGTCAATCAACCACATTGGCTGGAACGAGGAGTTACTTGAACGACTGGAAATTTACGTGCGTACCGTCAACACGCTCACCACTCGAACGTACCAGCTATCAAAACTTATATTCCTTCATGAGCTTCGCCGGCAACATCAAGCTGAAGAACAATTACACAGAGAACAACGCCATGCAGACGACGATCCTCAGACAGCTTAAGATAGCGGACGATTCAATCTTCAGGATTATGGCCAACCCTTACTTTTTACCGAAGTATTCAAATCATTGACACAACGCGCAACTAGAGCCGCACAGAGCCCGGACGTACGACGATTTCGCAGCTGAATCGACCAAAATACCAACGACTACCTTCGAGTCACCGGCTACCAGCGTATGGAGTCTCCCCGTGGTCCGCAGCAGACTGCATTGCACGAGAGCACAAAAGTGTCCTACGCATATTCAGTCTCTGTCAAAAACCAGTTTGGTAATCGGCTGCGGATGGTCCCCAACAACCTGTTGGACATCAAATGTAGGAGTAGTGACAGATAGAACGAACTCAGGCATCAAGGCCATACTGAAGAAAACATCAAGCAGACCATCTACGAAGAGATCACACGGCCGGAAAACCGCATCAAGGAAGCTATTGCAAAGCGGCGTAACCCTGATGACTTGTCCGCCGAAGATTGTCCTGAAAATCTACGAGCGTTCTTTCGTATGATCTACAACGCGTATCCCGACAGCTACGATTATCAGAAGTACTCTATATTACTACGACGTCGAGGTGTATCCACCAAATCATTTGTATTGCTACTTCAAGATGACAGATTACTGTGAAAATACTGTACTCGCCTCAGGTCATTCCAATGCATGCCACTGCGTACTACTTGACCCCCCATGCCATGTAACTATCGATACGGTTATACTTCAAGGAAATATATTGCTTAAAAGGCAATTAAACCGGACAAAAGTAACCAAGAAAAAGAAGCGCGAGATCTGGAATAAAGCTGTCAACCTCGGTGCAAAAGCTTTCCATAATGAAGGTCCCACAAACAGCCGATTACTGATTCACACTGACGGCGTCGCCATATCGATTTCAAAAGAGAAGGATACCAGGGGAAGAAGAAGAACCGGTCGGAAGCGTGGCAAGAGGGCGAAAAAGGGTAGCAAGAAGAAGGATGAATTTGAATATATACACAAGTTGGATGCCGACGATCTACCCACGGAAAACTGTGTGTTGATTGACCGTGGGAGACGCGATCTTTTGTATTGTATGCATGAAGAGAGCACTGCGCAGAACACTGCCAAGCTACACATACACAAGAAATCAAAAATCGAAGGAGACGAAGAGAACCAAGTTTCGCAATATACTGCAAAATAGCAAACCGGCAGAGGTTCAGCACTGCGAGGATCGGCTTTCACAACAAGCAGCATCGACTGCGCAAGTCGATGGCTGCTTTGCCACTTGCAAGTCAGAGCTGAAGCAGAGCCCATCCTCACTCTCTGATACACTAATTGTGCCGGGATAGATCAAGAGCGATCACTACAAGGTAAGCTTCCGTTATTCAGAAAGCCCGTCTATCCAGCAAGATAAACCAACTGCAAGCAGACCAGCATCTCGCTAAGAACTTACGAGAACATTCGGCCCAGACCCTACTTTGATTATGGGCAGCTGGTCTGGTGCCCATCAGAAGTATCATGACTAAATCCGTGGCATTCGCATGCGTAGGATGCTGAGAAGAATGGGCTTCGCCGTATACTCAATTGACGAGTATTATACATCCACGTTTTGTCCTGCTTGTAGCTCGCGCATAGAAAATTTCAAAAGTGAATCCCAGACCATACCGACGTCAAAGAACACCAAATGTAACGTGCCATGGGCTCTTAAGGTACATATGCAGAATTGTCCGTAAATTATTTTTATTACTCTACACAAGAAACAAGCAAAGTGGAATAAGGAAGCTGTATGAACTTCTACCATTCGCATATGTTCTATAGATGCATCAATCAAAATTGTTTGGATCCCGCGGATACGTTAGCAGGCGGGCAGCAGCCACGACGAACGCTGTCATGACTTTCAGAATCATATTACGAGAGTTACGTGGAACAGGAACGATACCTGAACGTTTAAGAATCGTTGGAGACGCCACATCGTCCGACTCGAACGACGAGTCAAATCCTGATACAGATCAAAGTTCCAACAATTCTGAAGTAAATGAAGTATCGTCATAATCATCATCATCATCATCATCATTAGCACAGTCACTTTTACCGCTATCACGGCCTTCATCATCACGATCGCGACGCCAACAGGAGGAAGCGTCATCATCACCACAACTGCCACTTTTGCGACCGCCTAGACCGTCATCGTCACTTACGACGGCAAGCATCATCGTCTTCAGAAAGGAAGTCAGAGATACCATCGCGTTGATTATTGCTGTCGTCGTCGTCGTCGTCAGTGACTCGGGGAGCACAAAAATCACAACTACCTCCCAGATCTCAAGCGGTTGCTTCATCATCGCAAGTGTTAAGGCGCGGAACCCAAGCAAGTTTAAGTTCTGGTAAGGGCATAAAGTTTCGATCCGTATATTTAGCTATGCTGGTGCCGTATATATTTCTTATTCTAAAGTGTGGAATCTGATACAGCTCCATCATCATCGCAAGCACGATCATCAACTCAACCAGCCTCTTCTCCTGGACCAGAACACCACAGATACTCCACTCGGTCTAAAGCGGGTAAGAGATTTGTATATACAGTAAAACAGATGTTTGTGATAAGATGACGTTTTGACGGCTTTTTGTGCAATTAAAGTCAAAGGGAAAGGTCGGTGTACTGAAGCGAATCAAAAAGACGAGGGAGAGAAAAGGGAACAAGATGAAGATGCTTATAACAAAAGTGACAAAGACAGAAGAGATGACGATGATGGCACTGAAACGGACAGTGATCCTACTAGTAGCACCAGTAGCTATAGTGGTGATGGCCTTTATAGCTCTGAAGTAGGTAATAGTGGCGAAGACGCAGATGAAACAGAAGAGAAGAGCAAAACGAATAAAGTCAAACAAGAGGAAACGACGAGGTAAAAAAAAAAAAAGGAAGGCAACAACAACATGTGATGAGGACCGGACAGTACAAAAACGAAGACATAATCCAAGCCCTCCGCAAGGATCAAGAAGCCGGTCAATAGGACGTCGCATAAGACGGTCAAGAGGGTATAAGATTATAATTTTCTCGTATTAGGATCTATGATTGCTTTCAAATGTAGCTACTCATTATTGACTTCTTCGGACATAGGTGTTAGCGTAGCAAGAACCACTATAAAGGTGAAATTATATATCCCTTTTCTTTCGAGCTAGCGAGTGTTTATGCAATACATGAGGAACCTTGACAACTGAAACCAGCAGTAGATCCCATTGTGTAATAAGGATTTTCTCAACTATATCTGGCATGGTATATCGCTATGCCAATCATATGATAGTAATTGACTTCATGATGAGTGTGTAATTGCTGAATTCCCTTTTGCTAAGTAATGTCTCTTACTACATATTCCTTTTTATGATCATCATCAGCTTCCCCGCGAGCAGGTATGTTACCACCTTCATTTCTTTTACCATGACAACGCTAAATCTCTCTCCGCTAACGCAAATGTCTAATTTAGAACAGTGTAGCAAATAAGGAGAGTAGATATTACAAAAGACGTGCAAAAAGAAAGTTCAGGAGAGCACACGCACACACCGACAGCAGTAAAATCATTAATAGACGATGCTGTTGTGTCATATATCTTTGCATGTGCTTTTTTGAAGGAGGAGGAAGAAGGAGCAAGAAAATCGACGAAAGAAACAGAAAAAGGGAGGGGCTAGTGCTCGAGTATATATATTAACAAGCAAGCAAAAATACATTGATATTCTCCATATATCTTTTTTCTTTCAAATTTCTCGTATACAGAGAAACAAAGACAAGCAGTAGCATTTAGCTATTCCACCCTTTCCCGAGCGTCCTCCCACCACTATCCTTTTATAATATCTCCCCATTCCACTCACTGCAAGAAGAACGATATAATGCGTTTGATAATCTGCTTCATGGTCGCAATTTTTGCACTATGTGTCGGTGCATCTGATCCACAAGGCACTCGAAGCTTTGTCAACCGATTGGTTCCCAGCGTTGGTCCAGTCAATGGTGGTCGTAAAGGACTCCAAAACCAGAAAATCGAGCAAATAGATGATGGGAACCACCAACAGACGACTCGGCATCACCATACCGGCCACCACCAAAACAAAGTTACCAAGATAAACGATTCTACTACTCAACCACCCGTCAAATTCTTGGATGCTGTCGGCGGTGGTGGCAGTTCGTCGGCGCCTTCAACCGGAGGAAGCGCTACTCTGATTGGTCTTGCGAAACGGGCACATTTGTTGCGTCGAGGTGGTGGTAAAAAGAAGTCTTCCTCGTCGACTCTTCCTGTCCAGGATCTTGCAAATAAGGATTTGATCCACCTCAAACTTGCCCGTCAGGTAATGTATTACTTTAAAAGGAACAGTATTCGCTTCAATATGCATTTTTCGCTAACTCGCGCCTCTATTCTTGTTTCTTTTATATGTTTTAATAGAAGGATGCGAATCCACAAGGTAGTCATAACAAAGCCGCTGCCTCTGGCAGTTCAGGTTCTAGCCTCATGTCCAAAAAGCTCGTGGGCCTTTCTGATGGAAAAACAGTTGCCGCGCAAAAGGCAGCTGGACAAAAGCCGGCGTTAATTAACATGGCCCCCGGTAGCCAAACTATTACTGAAGTCAACCCTCCAAACATTGCCAGTGGTCCACTCCAAGTCACAAACAAGTCGCCAAAGCATGAAGCTTAAAAGAGCCCGACTTATATCAACGAAATAATTGTATCCGGTGTTATTTTTTTTGCTTTTTTGTTCTTTGATTGTTTCATTTTACCTACAGTCCCCCTAGACAGGAGGCCCCTTCAATAAAGTAGTGTCCTATGATAGGATGCTGATGATACGATAATACATATTTGTTAGAAAAGAGGGCGAAATGCATTGTGAGGCTAGGTTATCTTTATGCCAGGCATATCAAAGTGAAACTCCGGCATGCACGTTTGCTTATATGTGTATGTGCCATTTACTACAGGGATCAGACTGAAGGGACTCAAGAACAACAGTCAGCTAATCAGTAGGTATGAGCTATTCAAACATGCTGTACTTGGTTACGCCATAGTGAGAGCTAGTAGCAACCACATACTCGCGCCGTCCCACGGAAATTGAAGCCATGACCCTGGAAAATGAAAAAAGAGCACCATCCTCTCTCTGTGTCACACACACACGCACACCAACTCTCATCACACATCAAAACGGTGTAATCCGTGGAGCTATTTTTGAGCATCCGCCGCAAACGTTTTTACTCGCTTTTTGTTTCCATAGGTAACACCATCTCCCGGAACTGTCCACTCGCTCCGCCCACCTTCCTTCCGCATCCGCTTGCCGCTAGTTCCATGGTATGCTCTACTTGGACGATTCTATAAGCAAACAGAAGCAGCACAGGATTATCATCTTTCGCCTTGGAATTCTTCTTTTTGCAGCAATATTATGCATGGAATATCACTAACCAAGTTTTCATCAGACATCTTTGTTTACTACTCACACTGAACTGCCAACTTTTTTGGGCAAAAACGAAAGAGAGTCGGAGGGTGTACGAAAAGTCACGTCGTACATGCTTTTTTCTCTCCAAGGCAATAGAGAAAGAGAGAAGTAGAAGAGAGAACTGTCGCCTTTTTTTTTCGTACGTGGGTTCGTACAAAGTTTGTGTGTGTGTTTTTCTCTTTTTCCACCGTCTTTTTCCCGTTTCTTTGCCCTTTTCCTCTCAACACAAACAGTCATGACAAGCCCTGAATTCAGCAGCCCTCTGCGAAAGTACAAGCTCGTTTTCCTTGGCGAGCAAAGTGGTAAAGTAGCCTTTTGGCCCTGGCAATTCAGTCATTCTGTGAATATTAAAGAAATAGTGTGAGATAGTTGGCAAAACTTCGCTCATTACGAGATTCATGTATGACTCGTTTGATAACACGTATCAGGTAAACAATATAGAGAGAACTAGCCATAGCATACATCGAGGGAAACTAATGAGAGATGAAAAAAAAACCCCCACAACAATAGGCCACTATCGGCATTGATTTCTTGTCAAAGACCATGTATTTGGAAGACAAGACTGTTCGTTTGCAACTGTGGGATACTGCGGGTCAGGTAATGAATGAAATGATGATTTTGCTTCTCCAGCTGTTCTGCCTTACGTACTTTACTTACTCAAAGAATGATGTGCGATTTGACCCGCTGCAGGAACGATTCCGGAGCTTGATTCCCAGCTATATCCGAGATTCTTCTGTTGCCGTGATTGTATATGACATTTCCAGTTAAGTCATAAACATCATTAAAACATCCTTCTGGTCCTTTTGCTTTCTGACACTCTATTTTAGACCGCGAATCGTTCATGAACACATCCAAATGGATTGACGATGTCAGAGCAGAGCGAGGCAATCAAGTGATCATTGTCCTTGTCGGCAACAAGACGGACTTGAATGAAAAGAGGTATATAGTTGAAAACGCGAAAGGGCCAAGATCAATGATGCAGGACTAGAAATGTGTGGATGAACTAAACCTTTCTTCCTTCGTATGTATTCTACAGAGAAGTAACACCGGATGAAGGCGAAAAGCGTGCCAAAGAGTTAAATGTGATGTTTATAGAAACTAGTGCCAAAGCCGGCCACAACGTACGTGTACACGCAACATTGGGCGATGACGGATGATCTGGGGTGGGAAGCAGCAAGCGGACCTTGCAGCAGCAGCAGCAGCAGCAGCAGCAACTGATAATGATCTTGTGCTCTATCTATAGGTAAAAACGCTTTTCAGGAAGATTGCTCAAAACCTGCCTGGTATCGACTCCAATGGCAACGACACCAAAGAACAGAGTAAGTTCTTCCTTTCAGTATGGACAACCTCAAGCCGACAATACTCATATGCCTCTTCTCTTCTTTTTGTGGACTTTAGTGCAAAAGGTTAATCTCAGCACAAGCAACGCCGATGCCGCAGGCTGTGCATGCTAAGCAACTCAAAACAACAACAGTACTACAGCAAGAATCTTGGCTATTTTTTTCACACTCGTACAACGCTTCTTTCCAACACCTTTGTTTTCAGTAGCAAAGTTCTAATTTACTGTTTTATTTATATTTGCCATATACACATACATATATACATTATTATACCCTATATTACAAGCTGCCCTCCCCACCTTTTCTCCGTTGCTCTTTGTCATTATATCCACAATTTTCTGTTCGTGGTATGTAGATACAAGGCTATGGCTTTTTTGATCAATGGATCGACACATACCTAAATATTACGTTTGGAGCAATCTATCTCAATGGGAAAATTGGGCATTGCTTTGGGGTAGGCTTACTTGATAACATCTGTCAATTTGAGTATTGTATTGCATCTTAGTCATTGTGTAATGATTATATATCCGCGGAAGCTTGTTTTTTATTTGTTTCGTAAAGCCAGAACGCCTTGGTTCATTTAATATACACACATATTTTCTTTTTTGTTACCATGACTGAGCGACCTCTCAAAGTTTTGATTTCCAATGACGATGGTATAATTAACCTTTCCATATGTTACCAAGAGTGAGCAACCGCAAACTCAAACTGAAGCTAGCGCTGGAAACTCACTCTCAACTTTCCTGACTCAGGTCCTCCAAGTAGAGAGGAGTCACCCTTCATTCTGCCCTTCATTGAGCACTTGGAAGGTTTGGGATGGGATGTCAAGTGAGTAAGGGGGACTTTTATCTAAAACTACTCCACTCACATCGAGCAAGCTAACAAAAACACACACGATAGAGTGTGTCTTCCAAACGCGCAAAAGTCATGGATATCCAAGTCGTTTATGATCAAGGATCACATTGACGTGTCCTATTACCATAGAGACACTGGAGAAATCAGTTATCATAGACGCAATCCGTCCGATTTTGTCTTGGTAAATATATATGACTACGTTTATGCAGAAAAAAACATACAACGCGTCGCGGCGTGTAAGAAGGGCGATCCCTCCATAATACACACACTAGTGTCATGGCAACTGTTACTATGATATAGGGTCAATTTGGCAGCCCATGCTACTACTTTTACCATTACTGACCATGGTAACAACATGTACTCTAAATAGCTAAACAGCACTCCAGCGACTTGTGTCAATATTGCTTTGAACTACATATTTAAAGACGAGCAGTTTGATCTTGTTCTTGGTGGACCCAACTTTGGCCGAAACACATCCACGTGAGTTTTTTTTATGTTTGTGATTTAGCATACATTCATTAACGGAATGCTGTTAATTGATACTATTATGAAAACTTGAAGGGTATATACGCTCTCTTCTGGTACGATTGGTGCTGCTCTGGAAGCAGTGATGTGTAAACAAAAGTCTATCGCACTGTCGTTTGCTATTTTCGAGCGGAACTTTGGCAAAAAGGAAATCCAAGGATCTATTGAAATGGGTAAGAAAATGGCCACGAGAGAGAAAAAGAGAGTCCTTCAATAAGAAAAGGCCGATTTCTGACATTACATACATATTATGTAGCTGTCGATATAATACGACAACTGTACAAGGTCAACCAGTGGCCAGAAGACGGATTATTTAATGTCAATATACCATTATCAGCCGAGAAACGGCCTGTCTATCTGACCACTTTTAACAAGATGCACTATGGCAACTTGTTCAAGCCCTTACCGGCCGACAAAATTCGATCGGCGGATCCAAGTAAACCTGCCAGTACTGAAGAACCAGCAGAACAAGCTGTTCGTAAAACAGCAGAAGGACAAGAATCTGGACGTCTTGTTTTCCATTTTGCACCGGATTTCACGGGCATCGTTTTTCCAACGAATGCTCCCGAAGGAACAGATGCGTGGGCTATGAATTTACGTTATTGCTCTGGTAAGGAAAACAATGTAGTGACTTTACTTATCGTTGTTGTTTGACGAGCAAGCGGATCGATGCTGATGATTATATTAGTTACACCCATGGTCGCATCTTATGAAATGGCAAAGACCAATGTAGACTATGGATTTAAAGTTATAAACAAGCTTTAATTAGTGTATTGTATTATCTCAAAGTATATCTATTGCATTGTACGCAAAGTAAGTCCATATAGAAATTCTTTTTGAAATCCATCAGTACAGTACTACATCTAACTTTATTTTATCTTTGATCCCAGCAAAAACTGAAAGCACCTGCTTTACTGAGCAGCAACCACAATTGCTAGTAGCTATACGATAGTTAACAATAGAACCATTGACCCATTTCTCACAGTTTACATAAAAGGGCACACTGTGATATATACCAAAGATTGGATTCCCTTATTCGCTTCTTGACGCGTTGCGAAAAATTCGGCCCGATCGGGTGGCAAAAAAAACCGCTGGAATTAGATAACCCAAATTGGTTCTATTGGGGACGGCACACTCTCTCTTTGTAGCCTTCACCTCCTGTAACTTATAGGCCTCTTATTTTTTGTGTGTCGCTGCTGCAGGATGGGTAACCCTGAAGAATGGTTAGAAACCGTCCGCAAATGCGAGTACCTTCCCGAACACGACATTAAGAAACTTTGTGAAATGGTTTGTTTCTTTTTTCTTTCCCTTTTTGCATCTCGTCCTTTCTTTTTTACACACAAAATTTCCGTTCTCTGTGAGAGAGAGAAGTATTTGGATAAACTTATATGTTTGGATATAGGTAAAGGAATTGCTCATGGAGGAATCAAATATACAGCCAGTTCAATCGCCCGTTACGGTGTGTGGCGACATTCATGGTAAAAAGAAAAAAACCCCCTTTGTAATAACTCCCTTTTCTTTGCAAAGGACAAAGGAGAGAGCGTCAATGACTAAAAAGAGATGAGGGTTGAATAAAACCGATTAGGGCAATTCTACGATCTGCTCGAACTGTTTCGTGTGGGTGGCGATGTTGAAGACACCAATTATATTTTTATGGTAAAGTATGAAGCAAAAAAAAAAAGTGAAGGAAACGCATGGATAGAAGGGCTAACGATGTTGTATGCAGGGAGATTTTGTGGACCGTGGCTACTTTAGTTTGGAAACATTCACATTATTAATGGTGTTGAAAGCACGGTAAGTTCCCTGGGGGGGGGGTTTGTACTGCAAAATATAAAGGGGATGCAGGGACGATGATGATGATTTGAGTTGGAAACAATGAGTTGCTAACGTTATTATTTGAATGGGAAACCAGGTACCCGCACAAGATCACGCTGTTGCGTGGCAACCACGAGAGCAGACAGATCACCCAGGTGTATGGCTTTTATGGTAAATCTACTAAAACACGGAGGGAAGACGGATCAGATAGGATTCGTATGTACTAATAAGTAATAACGATTGAATATGGTTGGTAACACAACAGATGAGTGTCAAGCGAAATATGGCAATGCGAATGTTTGGAAATACTGTTGCTCAGTTTTTGATTATTTGACGGTAGCTGCTGTAAGTACCTTTTGAAAAGCTGTTTTATGGCAGGAAGAGATTCAGTGGAGACAACAGTTCGCTTTGGATTGAGATGTAGTGAGGTAACTGATAAGTTGGCAACATTACATCTGGGGTTGTGTAGATCATTGATGGATCTATCCTTTGCGTTCACGGTGGTCTGTCTCCTGATGTGAAGGCGTTGGATCAGATTCGAACGATTCACCGTGCGCAAGAAATCCCGCACGAGGGATCCTTTTGCGATTTGATGTGGTCGGATCCGGAAGACATTGATACATGGGCAGTAAGTCCACGCGGCGCAGGATGGCTATTTGGAGGCAAGGTCACGAGCGAGGTAAAAAAAATTGCTGCTTTTTTCATCTGTACAAAAAGTGGGGATGGGGACGGAAAGAGAGGTATTAAACGGTCTCTCGTATGCCATATTGTATAGTTCAATCATATCAACGGCCTATCGCTTGTGGCACGCGCCCACCAGCTTGTGCAGGAAGGCTACAAGTATATGTTTCCGAATGATGAGCTGGTTACTGTATGGTCTGCGCCCAATTACTGCTACCGGTGCGGCAACGTCGCATCTATCATGGAAGTCAGGGACACGCAGGATATTTCCGAACGCAACTTCAAGATATTCAATGCCGTGCCGGACCAGGATAGACTTGCACCCGGACGACCAGGTCTGGGAGGATTAGGCGGTGGTTCGGGTGGTCAATACTTTATATAAGAGAGACAGAGGCAGAGACAGACAAAAAAGAGGCTGTGAAAACGCTGGTTTCGTTTTTCTTTTTCTGTGCTATATTTTCTATTCTTTTTTCTTGTTCTTTTTTTTTTCGATACTACTTCCTTACTACTACACATAGCACACACGCACACACGCAATCACCTTAACCTTTGTAATCTATATTTCTACATCCAACTCTTCCTTCTCTTATCCCCTCAGGTTTTTTTCTTTTTCCTTCTCTCCCGATTCTTCCCTCTCCCAACTTATTATTACTGCCATCATATCACGGTTTGTAGATATAAAAAAACACATGTTTCTAGACAATGTACAGAGAAAACCAGGTCCCACTTTTTCCTCCAACCTCTCCAGGTAGCGCATAAACAAAGGAGATCAGAGAGAGTTATGCAGTATCACGCCTTGTTTGAACCAAAAAAAAAACGATGTCATTTTTTGAGGATAAGAGAAAAATAGCGAATATGTACACAAGGGCATACGTTGTGTTTGTTGTATACAGAGAAGGGAAAAAAGAAGAATAAAGAAAGGGGTGGCTTTTGAATTTTTTTAAAGAGCTGTCGTTGGACTCCATAAGAAGTGGATTCGTAAGTTCGTGTGTGCGTTTTTGTATGTGCGTGAGTGCGTGGGCTGTGTGTGCGTGTGACTAATAGTAAGTGTGTGTGCGTGTGTGTGTATGTTTGCAGATGTTGTTAATTAAAAAGAAATCTAAAGCTTTTAAAGAAATGTGTGTCAGTATATACGTCCATGATATAATTGATGGATGATCATTAACACTTCTTCCGCCACCAAAGAAACGCTTAACTTACTTGAGGCATTACGGGTTTATTCTGTTCGGCAGTCCATCTCGAGATGGCAATACCGATACCTTCGATGAGAGCAAGCAAACCACCACCGACAACTGCCGATACAGTGGCAGCCTTTGCACCTCCTCGGGCTGCCAGGACACCACCAGTCAAAGCACCCGACAGGATCGAGTTCCAAGGATCCTCCTTTTGTCTAATTCCCTTCAAACCACAGTCGAACGTCGAGAACAAACCACCCCACACTGCAAAGTTGCCACCAAGTACTGGTGCGCGTGCCTTCATCGCTGATACAGCACCGACCATGCGCTCACCCTGGTTGTAAATAATCCCCTTTGTTAACAAACGCAACCTAGTCTGATAGGCATCAGCGAAAACCGGTATTTATGAACATACCCGTGGAGAGTTCTTTGCGCCTTTTACAGAGTGCCAAATACCACCACCAACAGCGCCCATGACGAACGCACCTCCAAGGTCATTAAGAATTACCCAGGGACTAAATAATACATATATGCCACAATCAGGCGTCTTTTTAGTTTTCAAAGCCCTTTGACATAGCATGACCAAGGAAAAATATATTTCCTATATTTTATAGACACATTTGAATTGTGTTTAAACATACCAGGGATCTCTGGAGTGATCTGCTGAACCGTGACCCATTTTGTAGTGTTATGTTTTTTTTTTCGAGGAGAGAAACTAAGAAGGTGTGTACGATGAACCCGATTCGAGATTGGTTGCGGGGGTGAGGCGGTGTTGTTTTGTTTCTTGAACTTTTTTTTCAACGCTCGGTAAAAGCGGAGGTCGACAATACCTTGGGAAGGTATATAAAAAACATGGCAAAAAGCATGTCAGTCACAACGGCGTCACAATTGCCAAATGTGGGAACACTCATGCTGACATACGGATGTTCCATTAAATGGATACCATCCTGTAGGTAGGTAGTTTGTTTGTTGTTTTTTCATGCCCTTGGTAATTAACAGTACCATATGTTATTCAACCGCCGGTTTATCAATCTGGAAAGCATAACTCACAGGCGATCAATTCTAACTCGATCTATATCTCAGGCGATTCGGGGGGCCCCTATCGGCTGTCAGATACGATAGTTCCTAGATCGTATCTCATATTATTGGAGGCGGCATATGCCATACTACAGTTATTAAAGGCATACATTAAAACCAAGTACGTTGGTGATATAATAAGATAGAGAGAGATCTAAATACAAGAGGAACATCTTTCCTGTCCAGAAGCAATCGTTCATGAAGATACTGTGGACTTTATAAGAAGATGAAAAGAAAGATCGAGTAGTGTTGTCAGTATGATGCTAGCCTGCTAGTATTGCAATTTTTGAGTATATAGACTTCATCTCTTCATTTGCTGTCCTTACGCAAAAGAAATTGACAACTTTTTTTCTCTTATCGGCTCCAAGTCTCGGGTCATATATTGAAGCAGTTGGGGGCTGAGTAACTATGTAGTACTTACTACACTGCTACGCTCTCGTATTAATAACGGAAAGTCTCATGGATCATAGAGCATGTCCAATATGTAAAATACCTTTTGAGCAGTCATTGAGGTAGACGAATGGTACATGTTTATTCTTTTATCGAAATCATGCCAAGCATTTTCTTCCTCAAGAAATGTATTACCGGAGTTGTGCCCTCCCACCATAAACCCCGTAAACGTATTTACGCAGAAGTCTGGTGGAATTAGTTCGCATGAGCGCTATATATGTAAACAAACCAATATGTTGTCACTGCTTCCCGTGCAACGTGGTATTTCTGAAAGAAGTGCGACTATAAATGTGTATGTGCTATACGATGTATATATGACATGTCGCAGTTACTGAGATACATTACGAGCTACGAGAATAGATCCTACATGGTAACTTTCCCTCAACCTATTTAGTAAAAAATGTTGCTGTGTCTGGTAATATGACATAGGTGAGTCTGTGCCGCATCTATCACTTCGTGTGAAATAAGCATCAGCCGAATGCGAAGCACGAAAAGATCAAGATAGATCCATACACAGAACATAGCATTTTCAGAGAAAGACTGTGCGAGGAACTTCCTCGGAGTCAGCCGATACAACACGCAACTTTTCAAATCAAGGTCCTCTTCCCACTTGGATTAAGGTAATACCTACTACTACTAGCCATCTCCCGTTTATCCTTGATACCATCATCACTTCTCCTTTGTTTTTTTTACACACACGTTATACGCAACACCTTTCTCGGAAACACAACCGAGGTCATTGTGTTACAAAGGAAGGCTGCAACGGATGAGGAATGGGAATATGAGGCATTTAATTCGTCCTGACTTGTATTCCCATTTCCGCTCCTGCGCAACAACAACAACAACAGCAGCAGTAACAACAGCCAGACTCTCTTGGCATTTCAAAGAGAGCCACGGGCACGCACACATATAAAAGGGACACGGTGCTAACAAGTAAACTTTGTATTTCCCACCTCTTTGATTTTCTTCTTCTAAACTTTAACACATAATAATAACAATAATGCCTTGTGGACGTTTGACAGTGAATGCAGGTACGTTTATCGTGTACGATAAGAACGACAATAATACCATCAACAGTCAGTAGACTGTCTCTTGATACACATGGCTAACCATTCATATATGCAGTCGCTATGCGTGGTTTGGACGAGGCCGGCTTTGGAGGTTTGTTACATATATTTTACTAGCAACAAATGCGACGCCTTTTTCTATCCGATCCATTAAACATGCTACGTACACACGCTGCCATTTTTAGAGTGCCCAACTTTTCTCGGCTGTTACGTTGTCCCTCAGGAAAAGCACCGAACACGCACTGCTAGTGGCCCTGAGCCCCAGTGGAACCATCCTTTGTACTGGTAAGTTCTCGAGCCCCGGGATGAACGGCTAAAGAGCAGCGAGGAAGTTGAAGAAAAAACTTTTAAGAGGTGAAAAGGCGGGAAGAAGTAGCATAGACCATGTTAATCAACAAAAAAATATTTCATATGCATATCAGTGATGTTCCTGAAGGCTGGAATAACTTGCAAATCGAAGTTGTGAGCGAAGACCCAGAACGTGCCGGTGTTATTGGCGGTGCCCGCGTCAATTTGAACCAAGTGTTTGCCGAAGGCCGTTGCGAAGACTGGGTTTCTGTTATGGGTCGCGAGTTTGAATCTATCGGCCAGGCATTGCTTGTTCTTGAATTCCAGAGCTTTGGTGAAGGCGAAGGCAGTGCTGGTGCTGCACCCTATAGTGATGAGAAGCCGATGCCCGCACCACCTGCAGAGCGCAGCGTTGAGGAAGAAGAACAAGAAGAAAAGAAGGTGCCTGACTGGGTTAAATATGGTGCTATGGCCGTTGGTGGTATTGCTGCTGTCGGATTGGCTGCCTGGGGCGCACATGAGCTCAAGGAGCACTTTGAAGAGAAGGCCGCCGCGGAAGAAGAAGCTGCTGCTCTTGAAGTCGGAGAAGGAGAAGCTAAAGAGGATGATGGTTCATCAAGCAGCAGTAGCAGCAGCAGTAGCAGTGACGAAGAGTAAAACGGAAGCTTGTATAATATTCGATAATAGAACAAATAATAATAATGTTGCGCTTTGTTTAACGTTGAATCTATCAAATATATTATATGATGGTTGATATGTTAACTCTGTATATGATACTATGATCATTTAAAGTAAAAGAAAAGCTAGCCGTTTATACAGTGTGATGGCTTTTCGTGTCCTTTCCCAAAGAATCTCCAGGCCTTCCTTCTCGTCGTGAAACATACAATGTGTACAAGAGTACTGATTCCTTGAAGCCGATTGTGAACATAAGTGAATACTCCACTGCCTTTGCTGCTATTATCGTCATCACTGTACTCAAACAAGAAGAAAGAACTTATGATCCTTTTTCCCCTGACGATCTTCTCAAAATCGAATCATTACGTACATTCGTTAAACTACTACTTTTCATCTTCGCGTCCAGTATTATACAGCATGCTAGCCATTATGTGCACTGATAGCATGCGCTTTCAAATTTTTAGCGTATAACTGCTAAAATTCGCTTGTACTGTCGCATGTCATCACTTCATCCTAGCAACTTTGATATATCGTATTACCCTAAAAGAATTCTTTTGATCTCTACAATACGTCTTATTATACTTGATTGTGTATATGGATTGGCAGCGATGAAGCCATCGTAAAAGAGGTTCCGTGGTTATGATAGTTTTTAAGCAAGATAATTGACATGGAAATAAATGAACTTTCATTGGTATATTTCAGTATCGATGGATGTCATCTGGATTTACTCTGCTCGGTGACTTGTGGTTTCAATTCGTCCAAGGCTGCAATTGCCTTTTTGTCCTTCTTTTCACTATATCGTTTGCGAAACGAAAACCCGTACAGCCAACCCTTCCTTCCTCTAAATCGCAACTAATCCATCGACGACACAGCGCGAAGATAAAAACAAAAAAAGGAGGAGTAGGGTGTCCTTTTTTTTCCGCCACACACTTACATACACACGCACCACTACCGTATTCTACATTCCCAATCCGTTTTCTTTTTCTTGTTCGTATCTCTTAATTTATATTTCTTTTTTAGATAAACTCCACAATACGCACACACGCACGTCAACGTTAAAAACGCAAAGGCATTTGATTAAATGTCGTATCAGCAAGAAGAAAACGGACATGGATTACCTCCTTGGCCGCAACTTTCATTCGTCCTGTCCAAGGAGATCATCAAGAACGATCTGCACAGCACATTCTTGACGTCTACAGAATCACAGCATTTCGAATCAGCCGTCGAGACGTATAGTCAATGGTCCGCATTTATCAATGCCACGCACGAAAATCTACGGTCATATCCGGTTTCTGAACGCGCTATCGCGGCCATGCGTGTACGTGCCATGTTGGCAGAACAATTTATACCCCACGTCTACCATTCCAATCATCCTTGCTGTCAACACGCGCAACTTGACCTGGATCGAATATGTCAAGAAACGCGGTCGTTGCAGCTACCTGATAATATTATCTCGGATAGTCCGGTTGCAGTAGCCGCAGCAGCGAAACCACAGCAGGATGTCTCTCCTCCAGGTCAAGAAGCGCCCCAACTCCAACAGCAAGATACGTCGTTAACAGCAACTCCTGCAGATGCATCATCACCGTCAGCACCGCTTGTGCCAATAAAAAAGGAAGAGAACAATATGAACGCAGCGCCAGATGTACAATTACAACCTCCAGCACCGTCGTCGGTATCATCATCATCCAAAGAAAACGAAGATTTAGGTACATTCGAACATATTACAAACGATGAAATTGAAGCAGTAAAAAGATTGCTCATACAAATTCTGTTGCCTGACTTGAATAGCGACAAAAACGGATGCAATAGCTCCCACATATAGTGCTAATATACCATTGCTCGACGTATATCATACACTGGATCAGGATTATGCAGCAATGATTGAATTGCAAAAGCTGGAGGTAACAGAAGGAGAAAAGGCGACGGCTTGTGTGAATTATCGAATTGGGAGTAAAGCAGATAATAGACATGCGTGTGGGCAGGGAAAGCTAACTGGATGATATCGTCGTATGCATCAGGAATCCGAGGCTCAAGAAGAATTGAATGAAGAAGAAGATAAGGATCAAGTAGAGGAACACTCGGTAAATTTATAAAAATGAGGAATGCTTTGCATACACTGACAAGGTGACAATTAACACTATATCTGTATCACCGTAAAACATGTTATTTAGCTTTCCATACTGAATACAGCTGGCAATTTCAATCTCAAGGTAGAAATAGACCAGTTGTAGTAGAATAATATATATTGGACACTGCTCTGGATTAGGAAGCTAAACCCATACAACGATTCTTGTAGTATCTCCTTCAAGGGATTGCGGCAAACCGGCAAAAAACCACACTTTCTGATCGTGATATCAGGAATCTTTTGTCCGATTTCAAACCACATCGAACGAAATGGGTAACCTTTTAGATACAGTGTCTTGTCCTCGCGTCGTTCAAGAAAATAAGTAGAGTCTAATCCTGGTCATCTATAGGCAAGCGACGATAAAATTGGCCAAGAAGAACTCTATGAAGCATGCGAAAAAGTGCTGACGGATTTGAAGAATTTTACGGTAGGTGTCTCTAATAACAATACATGTCTAGAAATTAGACATCATAAATCTTGGGTTGGCTAACGAAAAGCTGTCTATATCTGTATGACTAGGAGCACTCAACGCCATTTCTTAACAAAGTCAGTAAACGTGAGGCACCGGATTACTTTGATGGTAGGACATAAAAGATTTAAAAAATGAGTACTAAAGAGACTATGTAAGAGTGTACTGATATGGTTTACTAAAATGAATCCTATCCTCTTCTAGTGATTAAACGGCCTATGGATCTTGGAACTGTCACGAAGAAAATGAAGGCTCTACAATACAAATCTAAAAAGGAATTTTCTGATGATTTGTACCTTATATACGAAAATTGTTTATTGTATAATACGAATCCTGTAAGTTATAGGATGGATTTATAAACTTGTTACATTGTTACTAATAGCGCGTGGCGTGTGGTACATTTTCATTATGTAGGCAAGTGAATATCGGAAACATGCTGTTGCTATGAGGCGGAAAACGGATCGATTGATGGCAAAAGTGCCAGATGTTACTGTCAAGGATCGCGTAGAAGCGGAGACTGAAGAGTTTGGGGATGAAGCGAGCGAAGATGGGGATTCGGATATTCAACGTGTATCTCGAAAGGTATGTAAAACAAAGAATGTGTAGAATTCAAAAAGGAAAGAGAGCGAGAATAGAGTTGATAACAACATGCTATAATTGTAACAGGCTCCTGGAAGTCACAAGCATTCTGCAGCCTCCCGAGCAAAGGATGGAGAACTACCACGAGGTTCGCGCGAACGGTCGTTGACACGAGAGTCAAGTGCAGCACCATCCACATCCGATATTTTCGATAATGACAGCAGCATGACACCAAACGGACACGCGCCGCATAAAGCATATGGCGGGAAACAGGTTAGAGGCCAGGGCGGCGATGTCGATCCAGAAGAAGAAAAGGTTGTGGATGTAGAACTTGCAGAGTTCAGCGAGTTGCAAGATCAGATATGGCATGATCTGACCAAGAAATCAAGAGCAAGAATGGCGGTAAGGAGAAGTCTATACTGCTGAGGATTATTTTGTACATGAAGTATCCGGGAACACAGGAGCTAATTGTTTCCTTTGCTTGTTTTATATTGGGGATGGAAAAACACAGAGCGATATCGAAAAACAATATCAATTTCCATTTGGTGACCGAGCGGCAATTACTCGTTCATCTCTTGAGATGGAGCGATTTGCTATGATGGAGCATATGCACCGAAAACCAGAAACTGTTCAAAAACTGATCAAATGTCCAAGCGATCGATTCACAAAATGGGCGGAACGGAATGGACCCGCAATCAGCTTGTACGACGATGTGGAGTTCGATTCAAGCGATGATGAAAATTTGGACGTGTTCTTTTCTCGCAAAATCGCGAAGCCTACCAAAACGGAGCAAGATGATGCCATGCGGTCAGATCTGTTTCTTCCCGAGTATATGCTTATGAGTGGCATACCTGAGATCTATAGCATGCGAGACGAGATATTAGATGTTAATCACGACCCAGGGCAGGTGGTGCGCAGAGGATCAATAGATACCACTTTTGAAACAGTCCAAACGAAACAGTAAGTTTGGCTTCCGCAGTATTTCAAGGACGGACATGAACGTTTAGGGCAAAATGATCTAAAAATTATTACCATCATCTTTTGCTAGATATACGGATGTACCGCTGGACGTGTATCCATCCGTTAGGTTTCCTAATCACGGATTGGGCAGTATGATCGACAAGAATTTAAGGCAGTTACAGAAGGTTCGCGTCGTTTACGCCAAATGCAACGCTATTCGAAACAACATTCCAGTAAGTGTATATAGCCAAGGGTTCCGGAGATCATAATTGTATGCAGCAGTTCTTCTTACGATTTTACATTTCTTTTTCTGCAGATATCTGCCCTTGCTTCATCAATATCCCTTGCCGATCCTTTAATAGACGCTTCTAATAACGCCATAATTCCCTTACCACCGAAAAACAAGCCGCTTCCACCACTTATTATCGATCAAAACTCTGGTTTACAGCTTTTACAACGGACACTATCAAAGTTACTCGGCCACGCTGGGTTTGAGGGAGCACAGACAAGCGCACTGAATGTGTTGACTGAATTAGCCATCGATTATATGTTGAACGTTGGCAGAACCATACGGTCTTATTGGGATGATTATGGACGACAAATGTCAAACGAGGTAAATTTAAACTCTATTGGAATGGGGTCTGACCAACAGGCTTACACAGTAAACTTATACTCACACATCTTGCTTCCTAAATTTGAAGGAAATATTAATGCATGTATTATACGAAAATGGGGTATCGGATATTTCGGAACTGGAGTCCTATATACGCGACGATGTGGAACGATATGGACATCGATTGGATGAACTACATCGGAGACTAGAATCATCCTATCAGGACATCCTTACTGTAAGTGGTGATTCGTTAGGGACAAGTACAATGATGAAGGAGAGGTATCATTTCAAAGTATGTCAATTGAGACGTTTTGAAAACTTGTAGGGTCCTGTCGAGAAATCCGATGACGAAGGTTTCCTACAGGATGAAGAAACATTTGTTACGTAAGTTTTGCCTTTTTATCTATCTGCCTCATTGTGAGCTTTTAATCAATTGGTCTATCTCTAACTTGTATACATATTGATTGCTTTCCCATCAAGTGGTTTGTTTGGCGAAGATTTTGGAGAAGACTATTTCGGTTTCAAGGAACTTGGTTTGGATCGAGAATTAAATATTGATGCATTTTCGGTATGGCCAAAGGGACAAAGAAATTTAGAGACTAGAAAACAAAAATTGCGGTGCTGACTTTCGGATTTGCCAGATTCCCCCACGACTATGGTTTGGAGGAAACAAGGAGAAGGCTCAAAGCTCGAAATCGTAAGTGATAGGATTATACTTCATAGATGGTGTATACTTAATAATCGATTTCTACTTACTAAAACGAATTTTGTGTTCCTTATCAATCAAATAGATCAAGCAAAGGTAAGTTGGCTAGCAAAAGAAAAGAGACGAGGTTATTATTCTAACAAAAGTACCTATGAATGTGTATAGAACCTGTTCTAAAATATCCACCGCCGCCACCTTTCTCGGCTATCACTTCCGAAAAGCAGCTAATTGGCTTATTACAACCCGTGTTCCAGAAGAAACTTAGTGAAAGCACGGGCTCGCTAGTCGAGGATGAATACGTGCCCAATCGACACCGCAACCGGCCTCGATACCCGCCAACAAACAAGACAATGAGTAATCGCAAAAAACCATTGAAGGACAGCGGTATAAACAGTGCGTCATCAGGAGCAGCAGGGGCTGGTGGTGAGAACCGCAAGACCAAGCGGAAACGGCCCCCAGAAGAAATCATGGCGATCAAGGCTGAAAGAGCTGAGAAAAAGCGACAAAAACTAGAAGAAAAGGCGCAGCGAACGGCAGAGAAGGAGCAGAAGCGGAAATTACGAGAAGAGTTAAAAGAGCAGGAACGACTAGCTAAACAAGAAGCAAAAGAGAAAAAGGTAAAAGTGCGATAATTGTCAATAGGTATTATGATTCTCGGGTTGTTTGTGTGTGCGGGGGCGGAGGGAAAAGGAAAGAAGCAAAGAAAAAGTAACATGCTTGTTTTTCAACCATCAGGCCCAGGCCAAAAAGGCAGCAGCTTCTGCCACTTCCTCCACCAACAACGGCAACACTGGTAGCAACAGTAACAACGACTCATGACCCTAAACTCACTTTATTCGCCCATCTTACCCACATAAACAAACTCGCACATTTACAACTCAACCCTTTCCCATGCATATTGTTCTAGCGTGTACCATTTCTTGTATGATACGTTTTTATTTCGGTTATTCATTTTTTACTATACTAGCTATTAAAAAACATCTGGGGTTCCTTGGTAATAATACATTTAGATCAGGATTGTGGGAAACAGTGAGAGGCGTTGCATACGACAAACATGCTATCATAAGGATCGAGAAGGGGGATAAGAATGGTACTGGTTGCCGCCACCATTGCCTTCGTCGTGACGCCCGTTGCCGTTCCCGTTGCCACTTCCATGGCCGCTACCACTGTGACCATTTCCATTGCCATTACCACCAGCATATGATGAATGGGACGAAAACCCTCCTACTGTCGCTGCTGTCGTAACGGCTGGTGCTTCCTCCTCATCAGCTCCACCTTTGTCAGCCCCGCCGCCTCCACCGCTGCCGCTTGGTTTGTTGTAAAAGTATTGCCATCCAAAAGAAATCAAGCAAATGACACCAGTCATCACCAACAAAACATAAACATGGGTTGACAGGTAGTATGGTGCGTCATGGGTCTGATCCAGCATTCTTTTGATGCCTGATAAGTATCCGGTATGTGCCAAAAAGTCAATGCCGACAATAAATGCATAGCTGCCTGCAAACGCCGTAGAAAACAGTAGCAAGTAATGTTGAGCCATAAAGCTGATGGCAGCCATGAATATAGGTAATACAGCTAGAAAACATGCACGAGCCACTTGCTGCGCCCCACGCCATCACCAAAAATAAAACAAAAACAAAAACATTCGAATTAGTAAGTCTAGAATTCGAGCGATCACGGTGCAATGTTTTGAAAGCATAGCAATAAGGGATAATGTGCGTGCTGACATGATACCTGAGTAATGACATTATCTTCTTGCCAAGAACATATATAGAGAGCCAGAGCTAATCCTCCAAGAGCTACATTCGTTATTCTCTTTAGCAGTGCGAGAGGAGTGTAATATACATAGAATAATGACATGTTACAAACGAACATGTAAAACGTACCACTAATCAAGTAAACAGTGATTCGCTCCAGAATAGTGTAAACAACAGCGCCAAGAATGCCCAGACCAGCAGGAACGGTAATCATAGTTATAGGATCGTTAGAGTACCCTCCACTGGGTCGACTATTGGCGAGGCCAACCCATGTCAATGTACCTAGTTATAGAAGAAGATTATCAGCTAAGATATAGCACGACGTTGTAGCTTACTATCTCTAGCCTTTACCGAATGTAAGGAAGCCGACAATCCCTAAAGTTGGCCGAAGTGCACGGACGCCCAAGGTCATCAAGTACAGCCCAAGAATGATGAGGATGCTGCCCGCGACCCCAATTTGCGGCGATATGTCGTTACTGCCATACGTTTCAACTGTGCAAGAAGTGTTCAATTGTGTATGCGTGAGAAGAAAGAAACCTAAGACGAATCACTTTAAAGTAAAGCACAACAACGACGACACCTGCATTCTATTTCTGATATTTATATATTTTACAAAATCAATCGTGTTTATGTCGTTGTCAAAAATAATGTAATGCACGGTCGGTTAACAACCAGAAAACTTGGATCAACGACATCTTCTTATGCATACCTTCATCAAGACTTCGTGAAAAGAGCATTATGTTTGTTATTGTTTTTGTGTCCATGGTAGCGAAAGAAATAAAGAAGGAGAGAGGAGAAAAGAAAACAACATGGCACAGCAATGAGTTAAAAAAGTATATATACGGATGTGGTGGTGATGAATCGGGGGGGATGATTTGCGGGAGTTGTCCCTGCGGTACGGGGACCGTTTCACTTTTTTTTTTGTTCTACTCTCCTCTTTACGGATTTGCCATTAATGGTGTACCCTAACACGAAATGACGAGAGATGAGGGGATAGGGCGAGCTGGCCTTTGTCGTCGGCTATAAATCCGGAAAACAATGCAAAGTCATCGGAATGAATACGGTACATCACGTGTTCCCTTTCTGTTACCCGACTTTTCTTGGCCAGACCGTCGTCGACGTTCAAAAAGTCCTTTTGTATAGTACGTCTTCTTTTGATAGAGTCCGTCGATGCCTGCTATACGTACCTAATAAGTTTTCTCTCTGCCCTTATCACATGACACATGTATTAAAAAGCCGCAATGCATATCGATCCCATCGTCTTTTTCTTTTCTAGACTAACGTGCTTTTTTTCTATTCGGATCTACCTCATTAGGTATGTGTCATTCACTTTTTTATTGTCAATAAAACTATGCCACAACAACATCCGTACTTGTCACGGATCACATTCCTTCCTTTTTGTAGACACTTCTGGCCAGTGTCGTGAGTTAGCTCTAAGAGATTATCAGACGCTCTATTTGGTTATCTCGGTTATCCAGTAAGTCATCGGGCCTTCTCAGTACACTGCATTGTGCTGGAACTACATCCGCTGCTACTCTTGTTGTCGCCTCGGTCTCGTCGGATGACAGTCATCTATTAACTGATGCGGCGCGTATGTTGAAAACCCAGGCACCCTGGCGTAGCGCTCGTGTAACGTTGCATCAGCATTGCTTTAAAAAAATTCTGTAGAGTCTTTCTTTAATGCTGTGCTAGGTAGGAATCTAAATAGTAACGTAAATGTTGTAAATATATTTAAAAGGGCTTCGCAGTAATTCAATACATGTAATGCTTGTCTCTGTTCTACGTAATAATGGTATGTAATAACAGCTACAACAGATATATATTTTTTATATGCGTTCTCAAAGACATATCAACAGGAGATTGCTTCAGTGCGATCGTAATAACGTTTTTGCAGTCCAATGAGTCCAGAATGTGTGATCAATTATTGCATATGGTATTACAAGAAGAGCATGATCAACAACGTAATGTCGTAGCTGCGGCACGCACCTGTTGTTCTGCTACTGTTACTGTACCATTATGCTCCCGTGAACAGTCATGTAATTCAAAACTGGCAGCATGATTCCACACAATTATAGTACCGTTGTTACCATAATGATTCCCCATAAGATATGTTGGATCTCTATGTACACAATTATTTTAGTTACATCAAGAGTATACTTTTTATTTAATAATGCAAATATTACAGAAAAAGAATAACAGAAAAGAAAAGGAAACAGAAAGAAAACAGCCCAATTATGCAAAGTTATCATCAATGTCAGCTTCAGTGACCGCCTCGATTTCACTGCTGAAATTCATAAAGTGGGAGGCACGATGTGATTCGTGATAGAATTCCTTGGGAACATCAAGTACCAGGCGATAATTCATGTTGGCATTGAACTGTGCTCCCATAAAGTTGTAATTCCAAATTTCGGTCGGTACCATGAAGTAACCGAGGAAGCGATCCGACAAAAGCACTTGGACCTTTTCGGCGTGTGTTGGCAGATAACCTTGAGGGTTGTTGCCAGTGTCCATGTTGTTCTTGCCCCACTCGAAACCACCAGGAGTCAACTTGTAGGCTGTTAATGAACACGAACCAGGCGTGAACGAGCAGGTCAATGTGATGGTCTTTTCGCCATCCCATGATCGGTTGTTGGCGAGCACCTTGGCGTGCGTCGATACGTCTTGTGGTGAAATGTTCATTAATTCTTGTGGTTGCGTGTGGATCCAACCTAGTGGCTCCATATCAGCAAGGTATTCGTGGTCAGGGAGGGTGTTTGGTAAGTGGACGGTTTGGTGTGTGCCCCACTGTGGTGGAATCACGACACATCGAATTTCTTTGACGTTGGGTGCATCCGGCGGGCTGACACCATACATGAAACCTGCTACCTGTGTTCGCAGATCAGAAATTGTAATGAAGCGCTTGAGCACATTCTTGGGCATGACATATGTGTAAGTGTTTTCCTTGATATCATCCGAGTTGACATAGATATGGTTGGTACGCAAGGGCAAGTTGGTAGCCGAAATGGCGCGGATGCGCCACTCGGTCTTGGAAGAGAACGTGGCCGTCTCGTAGTTACTGGTTGTCGTGACAATCATTTCATCGCCATGGATATTGCGCGTCTTGGTAGTGACAGCAGTAAGCTGCGACTGCTCCTTGGTCTGCTTTTCAATCTCGGCAATCTGTTGTCGCTGGAGTGAAGGTGCCTGGATTTCCATACCAAGAATGATATCACGGATTTCGGATTGTGTGAGCGAAGCAACATTGACGTTGTTCTTCTTGCCATAATCTGCCAAGATCAAATCCTTGAGCTGCACTTCAACACGGGCCCATTCTTCGTCCGTCAATGTGGGCCAGATGTGATGAGGTTCGGTGATAGTGTTTCGGTCAGGTCGCAAGATCATCTTCGTTTTGTCGTTGTTGACATGAAGAGCACGAAGAATCAAGACGAGACGCGAGAATGCTGTGTAAGAGGAGAAGGTTCGTAGCCAGTCATCATACAAGTTGAACTAGAAGTAAGCGAGGATTAGCGTTTGTTATGCAAAATTCTTCTCTTTTTTATAGAAACACTTACCAGACACATCTGTGGCTCAGTGGCCTTGAGGATAAGATCACCAAACTTCTCAACCTTCAAACACGCTTGGAATGGCAGCTGCAACTCTGAACCCTTGATGACAATGTTGGGGAAATCTAATCATGGAGAAACATCAGTACTATGTTATATATCTATTATCTTCCGCATCCCCTTCTCCAAAGAGAACATCACTTACCAAGCAAATGGACTTCAAGAGGATCCAACATGCCCTTTCGGGTGACAATAATCTGCTTGGGCTGTTCTTCTACAGGCAATGATCGAATCAAAGCAGCAACTTCTTCGGCAGTCTTCCACTTGGCCAACTGACCGAGACGCTTCTGACCAGCCCAGACGGATGTGTGAATGATCTTCAAGAAGAGCTGACCGGTACGCGGGTTGAAAATGAAAATGGCACCGTTGATGGGCTTGGTTGTCAAATTGCCTTCGAATGTCTTATGGATAGTGACACGATAGACATTGGTATCATCGACGAACCAGATGATCTGGTTGCTGAACAGCTCGCCATAGTTGGTGGACGACAAGTAGGGTTCGGTGGGTTCCGAAGAGTACAGCTGCAATGCCTTTCGAATACGCTCACGCAAAACGTACAAGGCAGGGTTGGCCTTCATGATCTTACCCATAGCTTGTTGAATCAAAGGCTTCATACCAGGAATCCAGTTACCATAGGCAGAGTACAAGTTGTAGGCGAGATCAACACCCATCATAAGACCCGTCGGTGAAGGGTAGATACTCATGTTATCGGTCGTGTAGTCCAAGAACTTAGCACGAGTGTATCGTTCGATATCGTGAGAGTCAAAGTCACCCCATCGAAGCTGAACATCCAACCAGTACTTGGTCGTTGTTGGTCCTTCCATGACGTCCTTCGGGTCGTTCAGCAAAGATGGGCGGGAGACAGGCCACTTGTATGCAGCAAACAAAAGAACATCCTATACACATCACATACTTGTTAAAATATAGATCTCACATACATCCGCTTTCAAAATATATATAGAGCAATACTTACACTTGCGGATGAGTTCATCTTGTACGATTTACGTGGATGGATAGTTTCCTTCTGCACAGTTTCGATCTGAAGCGCTTCCAATTCACGATCAAAAATCTGACAACAATCCATGACAATACTTTCGTGGATCTTCTGCCACAAATGTGCTAGAAGAAAATTAGTTGGCAAAATGCTACCATCGCTGGACAAGGAAACACAAGAAAACTACATGAAAAATAGTTACCTCTGAAAATCTGAATCAAGGAAATCTTCAGCGTTGGAATTTTACCGTGCATAAAGATACCCGTCAAATCCAATTGTACTTGGAAACCAACGTATACATTAGCACGACTAGAGAGTGACAAAACAGGTAGTCAATTAGCACAACTGAATCGAAAAATTGTATATCACAAAACAAGGCTTGATAATAGCAATTCACGTACTTGATGGTTGGCGACCACCACAAGGTAAAACGACGGTTAGGAATTTGATTCAAACCACTTCGCTGGGCATTGGTCAACTTCTTGTAACGCTGTAGCGGTTAAAACGTTTAGAAAGTTGTATGATTAGCGCTAAGTTTGTCCATTTGCCAAACACCTAAACGACCGTACGCCTTTGCTGGATGTGTTTCCAACTTACCATGCTCTCTTCGAAACCGCTAGCCTTTTCCCAGAAAAGACCCAACCAGGAGGTGAAGTATGTACCCTTGAACAAGGTGTGTTCCAGAATACCTTCGACACCACCCAAAGCCTGGATCATATCCGTACGGTAATTGTTGAGGTTCCACAGTTTACCATCATGGCGACTGTGGGTCCAATAGAATGGATTGTTCTTCAGAACCTGGTACTGCTTAAAGTCTGTGCGCACACGCCAGCCTTTATCGTAAGCCAAAGTGTGTCGATCCTTTTGGAACAAGGTGTTGATTCTTGGTATACCACGGTCCCATGAGTCTTCCAAATCTTCCAGTGTCAAACGACGGTTCTGTGCGTTTGCTTCTTGACGCTTGAGCGCATATTCAGCCCATACACGCTGCGAATCGATAAACTCTGACTCCCATGACTGGATGTAACGATACAAGTTGGGAATCAGCTGGTCCTCGTCGTGGCTCATACCAGAACGGAAATGAGTGATGCCCGTCTCAGTTTGTTGAGACCAACGCAGATCGGATTGGGGAATCAAGACGTGACCCATGGACAACATACCGAGACCACCCAGTTCCTTGGGACAGTACTAAAGATATAATAAACAAAAATTATCAATTTTACCATTCTTTATGTATGTTTCCATTAGACAGATAATACTTACGAAAACAACGGGCGGGAATCTTGAAGGCATCTTGGAGTTGAGACCGATCTTGATACGCGTCTGGATCTTGTTCTCACACTTGACCAAGAGATCAAGCAACTCGCGTGTATGCACCACGGCTTCACGATAGTAGGTCATCAAACCAATCAAGGCAGTGTTGTACTTGTTGGCGATCTTACTGAACGTTGTGCTACCAGAGGCCATCAGAATCTGACGGATACGGTTGTGGAAACGATCCATGGACTCTTGATCAACACGCAAGTAGGCCTGGGCTGTTCGCTCTTTGGTTTGTTCGTTGATCAGATTCCACACGCCATCCTTGAGCGTAAATTCTTCGTTCATGCTGCGGATCTTGGGCAAGATACGCACTTCGAAACCGGCCATCGAGAACAGCAGATTTGGGTTGTCCTTGGAGTAGACGCTCACAAAGCTGTCTTCCCATTCGATCGTGGTCAAAGAACGTGGCAAACGATTCTTGATATCCCAAAAGACTGCACGACCGAGGTTGACATCGTGCTTCATCAAACGCATACGGCAGTCGCGAGGCCAGCATTTCTTGTTGTTATATCCCACAATGTTCTCAAAGTTAGGATCAGGATGCTCCGTCAGGTATCGCTGAATCAAGTCACGAGCTTCATCAGCAGTGAACCGGAAGAACATGTGGATACGATCGATGTAACGCGAGTATAGGCGGATTGGATGGCGTGTTTCAGTGCTGACATCGCGATATTGCAAGAAGTCGTTGGGCAGCTGTGGCGGGCCAGCCATTTCACTGGCACGGTGAAGACCAAGCACAAGCAAATCGAGCACCAAACCGTAGTATTGGAAAATGAACGAAGCAAATTGCAAACCACGAATCAAACCGTATGCGTTAACATGGTTCATATCCTTGTAGTTAAGCACAACGTTGTTCTTTGCAGTTGCATAATCGGCCAAATTGTGATCCAAAATAAGGCGCAGCAGACGGCCGAGCAGAGTCAAATCAATCTTTTCATATACACGGCTGAACTTGGTTTCCACCATAATGTTGCACTGGCCTTCGGACGTGTCCCAAACATCAGTCAAGTTGTTGATACCCTGACACCACTTGTACACGAGGAGCGGTGGTGGTTCGGAGTCAGAGGGCTTGATCCAAGCAGGGAACAAGTGGCGTTTGTCGGCTTCGTACCACAGGTATTGATCGAGATAAGCGTCAGTGATCTTCTCAATAGGTTCGACATCGTAGACTGGCACAAGATGAGAGTAGAGATCCATAAACTCAATGCCAACTTCCTTGAAGGCACGCTGAGTCAACAGCAACCGCTTAATTCGAGAAAGTGCTTCGTGTGGGTTATCGTACGCCTGTTCAATCAAACCAAGTTCTTCACGCTGACTCTGGTTCAAACGGCCTTGGACACTGTATGCTTCACGCAATCTTTCCAATGCAAGAATCAGAAGCTTGGTATCGTGCTTGTATGACAGAGGAGGGAAGGGAATGGGAGAGAACTTTCGGCTTTCGAGCCAGTGGACTGTGGATGTGTAGATGGCAACAGCTTCTTCAGCAGTAATGTAAGGACCGTCCTTGAGATAGTTGTGCTGGCGTTCTTGTTCTGCCTTGAGCCACAGACGCGTAAGACGGCCCAAGTTCTTACGGCAAACGGTCTTGTCGACAGTGGCACCACGTCGAATACGTTCACGGTTGTAATGTGCAACGCTAGTCCACCAATCGGCCTTGGCCTTGACGTAGCGAAGAATCATATTCTCAACGGGAGTGGGAAGACCAGGCACCTTCCATGGAATGTTGGCCTTCCAAGCTCTCCATGCTTCTGACAAATGTTGTAAGATCGTTCTAGACTTGTTACCCTTGATACCTTCGGGCATGGCATCAGTGATGTCGTGGAGCACAGCAGCTCTTAATTCAAGATCGTAGTGAGAATCAATACGCTGTTTCGTGACAGTTTTGGCAATGCCCTTCGAGTGTCTAAAAAGTATAATCTCCTGGTTAAGACCACCCCATATACTTTACGCGTTTTGACTACAAACTATGTACAAATACGAACCTGCCCTCGAACTGACGCGCAAGCAAGTTACCCAACCAGCGCTCCAAAAGTGGGACGATACCGCGCATGAAGAATAGCCATACTCTCCATCCAGGAGCCCAGAAACCGACACCAGGACCCTTGCCAACAGGGCCAGTATTGAAGCGGTAGTCTAGAATAACAATAAGCCAAGATTAGTGAAACAACCAACACTAATCGTTTAACAAGAAAGAAAATTTAAAGTAAAACTTACAAATCAAATGCTTCAAATCCTTGCACATACGAATTTGTCGCATCAAGCGGTACTTGTAACGGTACATACCGGTCAGTTGACCGACGTGAGCAAAGATATACTGGAGACCATCTGCAAGCTGGAAGGCATCGACGTTGCCAAGACGGTACTGGACATGCGAGTCGACGATGAGCTTTGTAAGGCGCAGGATTTCTCGACACAAGTGGAAGGCGTTACCAAATCTAGACTTTTTACGTTCCTTGGTCGTCAAAGTCTTGACAGGCTTCAAGTTGAAATTGTAATCCAAATGCAAATAGTTGAGGTTCTTTCGATGAATCAATAAATTCAACATGTTATAACCCTGGCGACACACTTGTAAACCGACTTCAACCCAATCCAATTGTGTGGTCTGGAAGAACTTGGTCTGCTTCAAGCTTCGGAACAGGTATTTCTTGTTAAGCGATTTGGGAGGACGGTGCTTCAAAGCATTGTGAACATAGCACTTAAGCAGCTTTTGGTATGACACGCGAACCTTGACGGGTTGGCCAGGTGGACAGTGTTCCAAGTACCAGTTCTTAACGAGAGGAATGTCTTGAGCACGACGGGTGCGTCCAGAACGCTTATCGAATGGATGTGGTGCCCAATACAATGCAATGGCATTGGCTGTGTTATCGTTGTAGAGATCTTTATCCTCCAAGAACGGGGTTACTTCTTCAGGCAAACTGAATGATGTGTCTTCATCCTCGTCACCGAAAATCGAATCCTCGTGCTCTGAGCCTGCACCTTCCATTGTTCGCGACGAGATGGGGTTGATGAGAGGGTCAAAGTAGAATGCTGGAAGGTCAGGATCCTCAGCGCGGACGTAGACGACTGTGGGGTGGTGATACCATGATACGCGCACGCTGCGTGGCAACGAGTTATACAAAAACGGGAATGCAATCTTGTACTCTGTGCGAACGGGCTGTCGAATAATGATCTTGTTGATATCGTTAAACTCGTTCCAATCTTCATCGGCGGTGTCCATGTCGCGATACAGCGGTTCGAATTTGGGACCACCAGGAATGGCCATGTTAAGTGCCTTGGCGGTAAAAAACGATGGCAAGTCAAACAAGTAAAAGTAGTTTTGATCGTTCAAATCGGTCAAGAGCTGATGTGCTAATCGATACAATGTAGACATGATTGGTAGGTCCAATCGCCATTTCCGATAACTCGAACCGTTGATGTGCTTGGTATCCAATAATGGCTTTGGATCATAGAGCCAGTCGTATACTGCTGCATCTTCCTCTTCGTCCAAATCCATCTGGATTGCCTCCAAGGGCTCGACGTCCATAATATTGTCACCGTAATCGAGCGGCGGTTCTTCGTCATCAAATGGCGGGAATCGCATACGCTTGAAATGCCGTCGATCTCGCTTTTCACGTCGCATCATGATCCACATGGTGCCCCACTGGGCAATGTAGATGGGTTCGGCCACCCATGGGATTTCGTTGACAAACGTGATGGCACCCGTAATATGATACAGAACAGACACTTCACGTACTTGCTCCCAGGGCATTGGCATGTTTTCCAAAAGCTTCAGTACGGCGTGAGGAACATACTTGAGCGCACCGAGATAGATTCGCTTGTCGTGTCTGAATTTTTTCGCTGACATGTCACCGTGATCCTTGACGATTTTACGCAAATGTTCTGGGGGCATGTCTGCTTTCTCGTGTTCGATGAAACCTATAGTAATATGAACCAAAGAGTGATTAAGGAATTGCGAGTAAGTAACAATTCACACGTGCATCCAACATTGATGGCGTTTAATCCTGATGTGATGAAAGATACACGTTACCAAACTTGCGCTTTTCACCATAACGCTTGCTTTGTAACTGTTGCCATTTCCTTGATTTTTCAAGAATCTTTTCTTCTTGTGTCTTTTCTCGAGAAGGTTGTTGCTGTTGATTGTATGATTGGTATGGATCGACATAGCCACCGCCCATGGCTGCAGACGATTCGCCTTGATTATAATCGGACATGCTGAAAAGAACGCCTGATTGATCGGTCGAAAAAACAGCCAAAAGCAATCAGTCGTAAAGTGTCGCAGCAAGGCAAAACGTGAGTCCAAGTGCTTCAAGTGTTGAACGTCATTTTAGTCCAATTGTTGAGTGTGACTTGGGATAGCCTAACTTGGCAATGAAAAGTAGCGAATCAAAATTTACTTTAAAATAAAAAGGTGTGTGCGTCTATGAACTTATACGCTAACAGCATGTTATTCCGCTGTCAACATACTACTACTACCCTTTCAGTATCTAGTACACAACAGCCACCTCTTTCAATTAAGTAGCAATAGTGTTACGTGATACTATGAGAACTATCCCATCGTATAACAACCAGCCTCCTTTCCTTGACTCATACAATGGCTAGTTACATTTAATGCATGATATTTTATTGAAGCTACCAACTTCTCTTATATCCACCTAGATAAAGAGATCGCGAAGAGTAACTCGTATTTAAGGTACCAACTATGAGCATACTTAGATTTTGTTGTAGGCTTGGCACTCAAAGTAGTCAACAAAGATAATACAGTTCAACATCATCACAAACACCACACAATGTTACTGCATATAGAATGACAGATGGAATCGCAGGAGCAGCAAAGAGCGAATGTTCGGCAAAGAACGATAGACAAGATTGTAAAGAAGCTCAAGAATCGGCAAAAGCCGGAGAATAGTACCAAGAAAATTATATAACCTTCAAAACATGTCTGTACTAACATTACTGTGAGCTTCATCAAATATTAAACATTAGAAGCAGCAGCATAAACATCTCTCTAATGACACACGAACAGACTCGCAATATAGTCCATATATATAAATTCTGATTTTAAATTAATAATGACCTGCTCTTACGATCGATTTCAGGACACGGCGATGGTGGCTGTAGCGTTTAGTCTACACACCATAATAATAATTCTGATGAGCAAAACTTTGTTATTTTGGCCTCAGGTACTCATTGTTTTCGATCCAGTATATCAGTTTTGCAATGTGGTTTTCTCTCCTAACGCATCCGCCTTCCGCCGTCACTCCCCCATTCTTTAATGATACAGCCACATTGACAACATACAGCATATGAAATGATGAGCGAAGTAATTGTTGCTTCAAAGCTATTTAGCTTTTTAAAGCTTCTTCTCGTTGCTTCAGCGATTGCTTCCTTCGTTAAAAGCACTATTCTATGGAGTAGATAAACACTTACAAGAAGTTTGTTATCCATTTCTCCCTATGATGCAGCACATCAACGTAAGCCTTACAAAACGCGTCTTGTTACATATTTTCACTTTCAACATGATCAAAGAAGTGTAAGTTTGTCGTCTGCCTTTGGTAAAGAAGACGCCAGTCGTGTTGCTAAAAAACGAGAATGAGATACGTTTGTCAAGCAAGAAGAACATGCGCATTTAGATACTCATACTATGTTGCTATTGATTGTTAACCCAGAACTGATTTTTCAGGTCGTCTCGTGGATGTATGCTCCAGCGTGTTGCCGCATAAGTACTAATTTTATCGCTGACACGTCGTGAATCTTACTATATAAAATATATCTTATTGATGGCAGAACCACAGTTTTATGACAAGCACATCATCATCTCAAGAGATGGTAGCACTAGGCTCGATAGCTATGTTTTGAAGCTCTACAGTCACTGAGCATGTACATGCTTAATCATATGTATGACAGACAATCAAACTACTGCAGCCAGGTTGGCATCGTGAAGCATTGAGTATACTAACTCTCATCTGCTCAAAAATCAGGCTTGATGTATATCTGCTTGTTATTCTTCAAGTATCATTGGGAAACAAACATTGTCACTTGTTTCAAAGAGATGATTGAGCCCTTTTTACTTGGCGCATCTTCTTTATTGCGCTTCGTGCGTTCTCATATTGTCCCGCACTTTGTTCTTGCGCGTAACTTGGCTTCTGTCGCTACACGACCCGGAGACTCTATAATTTAAGAATCCAAATCCCGCAGTTGCTTTTCTTCTTGACTACACCCACAACATGCCCAGATCACCAGACAGGAGACGCCATCGCAGCCCAATTCCAGATAAACACGGAGATAGAGACAGAGACGACCGTAAAAGAGAGAAAAAACGCAAGTAAGTGTCTGTGGGAGAGAGAGATCCCTTGCAAAATTGCTTCCCTTCCAGAAAAGTCGTGTACGAATAATACTGTGGTTTTGATTAGGCATAAGCATCGTTCACGTTCACCGGACGACGACGACGATCGTAAACGACGACGACGCAAAGAAAAGAAACACAAAAAGGAACGCTATCGCGATTACAGCGATGACGAATTCGAAGACGATCATGACCAGCAACAAGACGATTCGTCTTCTTCACGACTGCAACATCTCGGCTACTCTAACGTAAATAATCCTTTCAACGACGTAAATCTGGAATCCAAGTTTGTTTGGTCAAAAAAGAAAGATAGCGACCGCAAAAAATTTGGCAAGGACAGAGAAGAGATTCGACGTAACGAGATTGAACGTAGACGCGAAGCAGAGGAAGAACTGGCCAAATTGAACAAGCGTCGAGCCGAGCGTGAGATTGAAATGCAACTACGTGAAGAAGAAGCGATGCGTATGCAACGAGAGGCAGAGTTGGCTCAGATGGGTGATTGGGAAGCCAAGGAAGAAGAGTTTCATTTGGAACAGGCGAAACGACGGGCTGAAATCCGGATAAAGGAAGGAAGAGCCAAGCCGATTGATATTCTTGCCATGAATTTGCGGTTAGCAAATGAGCCCGATAAAGTAGAGGAGGATGTCGAGCTTGAGATTGATTTGGAGGAGCCTTATACCATATTTGACGTAAGTTGAAAATATATATCTTTAGAAGGGGACGAAAACGGTTTATATATAAAAGCACTCACATCTTTCGCTTTGTGTATGACTACATATATGTAGAATTTGACTCTGGAAGAAACAGACGAACTACACAAGGATATCCAAATGCACTTGAATCTCGAAAAGAACGAAAAAACACTCGAATTTTGGCGCGCATTGATTGTCGTAGCAGAAGATCGTTTGACCAAGTTACGCAAAGACGAAAACCAGCGTGCTGCTACAGGTGTTTCCGAAGGCGTGCAGCACGACATTGACCGCGTTCTCTCTGGCAAGTCCCATGCCCAACTTATTGTACTACAAAACCAAATTATGCAGAAATTACGCTCCAACGAGCCGGTCGATGTTGAATATTGGGAAAACTTGCTAAGCGAGTTGGTTGTCTACAAGGCCAAGGCCAAATTGACAGACATGCATCAAGAGCTTTTGGCCCAGCGATTACAGCAATTGAGATCGAAGCAACAAGAAGAAGCTATGAAGGTTCAAGAAGAATTACAACGCGTGCTTGAACAAGAAGGTGTCGAAGTACATGGTCGTGGTGTTGAATCAGGTGAAGGTATCCAAGTCGAGCCTGTGGATCAGTCCTTGATGGAAGAACAAGATCGGGTATTCGAAGAACAGATCGAGGAAGAGGAGGAAGAAGCTGATCAGGATGGACTTATGCTTGAGAAGTATGAGCGTGCCATGAGCCCTGAACCGTACGAGCACTTGACCCGAGAAGATCGCGATTATCCAGTTGTAGATCCGAAGGATGACTTGAAAGACTTGGTAAGTGCAATTGTTATCTTTAAACTTTCGGCAAAATATGAAAGTTATATTCAAAATTCCAATTTCTGCTTGTACAAACTAGGTGGAACAACGACGCAAAGTTCTGGCCACAAAGATTATTCCCGTCAGGCACAAGCCTAAGCCTGTCCAGACTTCCAACGAACCACAAGACGATTCAATTGCTTCTGCGGTTCTATTCGAACAAGAAGCCGCTAAAGGCGTTGATGAAGACGAAGCCATTTTCAATATTGAAGCAGAACTCGCTAAACAAACGTACATGTGGCAAGACAAATATCGACCTCGTAAGCCACGGTACTTTAATCGTGTTCATACTGGTTACGAATGGAACAAATACAATCAGACCCACTATGATCACGATAACCCACCACCCAAAGGTATTTGTTATGGCCATATTGGAAGCCGAAGACTGGATATGACCGTATATACTGACTTTACTACTGTTAATTTATATAGTGGTGCAGGGATATAAGTTTAATATTTTCTATCCGGATCTGATCAACAAGTCGGCTGCCCCCACATATTATATCGAGAAAGATCCAGAATCTCCGGAGACTGTGTTGATTCGTTTCAAGGCTGGACCACCTTATGAGGATCTTGCTTTCCGTATCGTCAATCGTGAATGGGAATACTCGCACAAAAAAGGATTTAAATGTAGTTTCGACAGAGGTGTACTTAGTTTGTGGTTCCATTTCAAGCGTCAATTCTACAGAAAGTAATAAAAAAGAGTACGTTTATGCGTGGTTTGCTTCTTTGCATACCAAAAGTACTGCCCTTGGGTTCTTAAATGTGTTTCTCCCTCCGCTGTATTATCATATTTTTTTTGACATTTCCAAAATCATATTCACATAATGTTAAGGTCGCTATTAGCAAGACCCCACTTTCTCCAAGGTTCTTAATTTCTATATTTCTTTGAATGTTAAGTTGTGTTTTGTGGAGCGATTCTTGTCGGTGTAGCCCATGAAAACGTGACGTTGTTTGTTGACATGAAGTGTACCCTACCTATCATTTTAGTATCGTCGCATTCGATTGTTCGGCAATGTAGTTCGCGCTTTGCTTCCTCTCAAACGGCATTTGATCGCAAGTCGATTCAATATGCTGGCAAGCATATTAAGCAAGCACTCCAAGGCCGAGACGTAGTATTCTACCAAGCACCTGACGGTGTTAAACGCATGTTTATGTTTATGTATATTTCGGCTGGTGTTCAGCTCTTATTCTGGTAAGCGCGAAAATTTATTGCTGTCATGGTAAAGGACTCGGGTAACTCACGTTGTATATGCGCGCACGCCTGTAGGGGAAATCTCGCTAGTTTGGCGTATGTCAGCTATAGTAAAAAAGAAAGGTATGCATATATAAACAAACAAGACTATTTACATGATGTATTGAATAAAAAGCTCTAAAGACGTGCAATATAAATAGCAACGCCGAAGACGCCCCCATTGTCTTGGCACCGAAAGGACAGCGTATGGCCATTGCGGGTGGACTGGTCTCCATTGGCGTTGGCATAGCTACCTTCATGTGCATTTATCCTTGGAGGTGAGAATTCTCATAGCGCAATCGAAACTAGACCAAGTATGCCAACTTGTCTAACGCGATGGATATCACCTTCGAATTTAATAGATATATTGATAAACTCATTCTCCTCCGAGGTGCAAACAGGGTAAGGCTGGTCACGCATGCACGCTTTATGGACTCTCACAAGTATAAAGAGTATCCTATCGACCAACTTTACTGCAAACAAAAGGTCTTTACGGGTTTAGGTATAGTTATGCTACACCTCTATGATTATAGAGTGTCATGCGAGCGCATATCTGCAGACGATCTGATCTTGTTTTGTATAAAAACACGTTTTCTACTAGGCACTAAGGGTGTCGATCCGTTGGGTAAGACTAATTCATCGCACATATTTTTGCGTGCGCAGGGCGAACGCATTGCATACATGTTGGATCGAAAAGGCAAATTCACAGACGTTAAGCTGTTTGACGGTTTATGGTATAACCCCTCAGCACGATAAAAATGGAAGAGATGTGTTTTTCAAGATGCACTGATTGTGTGTTTTATTTTATACAAATGGTGAAGATACGATATATAAAAGCTAAAAAGGAAGAGAGAAGGGGGAAGCTACTCCATATATATACACAAGATTTGAATCTTTGGGAAAGGTGTCAAGTACAGGAAAATGTTGATGATGATGATAGATGATGATGATGACGATATGATATGATGTACGCTATATCTGGAGAAGTATGGTTACTGCTTACTCCATAGGATTGGTTTTGCCGTCTTGCGGACGCTTCGCACGACGCTCTTCTTTTTCTTGTTTATGGATTGCGTATGACTCCCTGGCATCTTCTTTGAGGTTATGCAACGTTTCATGGATTTGGTGCAAATGAGGGTGCTTGGCCGAGTCCGTCACACTGAACTTTCTTGGAGCCTTACGGGCACTGTTAGAGCGGTGGGGTTCTTGAACGTTGCTTGTCATCATGATTGCAGTTGTGTTTGTTTGTAAAATTTCTTGTAACTGGTTTGATTAAGCGGATTGTATATGGGGATTGTTGGAGTCTGAGTAGGTTGGTCTCCTTTTATACTTTTTTTGCTTCCACCATCCTAGGTGCACATCATATACCTTGTGTGTAACTGGGACCATTACGTCATGTGCAACTCATCCGGGGGGTAGTGATGTGCCTTTGACGGGAAAAATGGGAAGCTCGTCGATCTTTGCGCTGAGCGGAGCACTATTTACGGTAAATTCATTTCTTTTCTCTCCTGTTCGTTTTTCATATGCCAAGCAAAAAAAACCTTAAAAGGTAAACGGGTAACCTGTATATCGTTTGGCGTCATTAAACCGCCGGAGTTATACGTAAGATTTCCGCCAAACATATCCTGTCGTTTAACTTCATCACACAAATCATTGCTGCTACTGACGACATTCCTCACTGGCAATACAGTGGTCCCCCGCTTTTTGCAGCAGCGGTTTTTGGTGGAAGAAACTGCAAAAAGTGGGGAACTGCAAAAAGTGAGGATGAGTATGAGATGTTACACAGACTGAGTCTATTATGTTAATCAAGTGTCAATGATAGTAAACCAATTAAAAGATATCGGTGTTGTACTGAGGCTACTTATTATAAATCAACTCTTATATAAAAGGCTGTCGTCTCATTCTTGATGTTTATATACTGCACTATCGACACCTCCACACCACTATGGTAAAAGCAAAATACCCAAAGCTTACTGACGAGCAAAAGGACGCTATCTATTAACATTACATGTAGATGTCACTGGTTCAAGACTCTGTGTCCCAGGCTTTCGAGTTAATAGCGGAAAATTGCAGGTCCCTATTTTTGGCCTGCAAATTGCAAAAAGTGAGGAAACTGCAATTTTATTAAGTGATGAGCGGGTATGCTCCAAAAAAATCTGCAAAAACTGAGGATCTGCAAAAAGTGGGGCTGCAAAAAGCGGGGGACCACTGTAGAATGTTTGTGCCTGGTAGTTAAGCATTTCGTTACTCTTATGAGCATCAAACAAAAGACAAATCGCCGAGTCAAACAATGCAGCTGCTGAAACGTAGGTACCCAATACCATTCCTCTGATGAATACTTTACACGTGTATTGATGTTAAGAGCCTTATCGTTACACTCATCACGCCGCCGAGACAAACATTGCATTAAAGCTTTGGCCCCTTGCCAGCATCCATTTGGCTCAACCACCAGTACTATATTAAGATATTAGATACAATAAAAATAGATTGCTCGATACCCTTCTTTTTATTACTACATACCGTGTTTTATCATGCTTATACGTGCTATGCAGTAGTGAAACTTAAAGGTGGGCAATACAACATCATCTGCCATTGCTTTTTATAGGCAGTAGGATTGAATAACCGTTAGTAGTGTACAACCGTCTGCCGAACCATAGCCGGCGAACCTATCTTTTATTTTTTTAAATTAATGCAGCGCTGGTTTTGTTGATGCAAGGCAAACGCGGAATCAACGGGCCGTCATCTCCTTGTACAACCTCTTTCTTGGCATCTTCTTCTTACGAGAACTTGCATATTGCACCGCTTATATTTTTTCGGCGCATTGCACGATGTTGATAGAGGATAATTTGCCTAGTAGTTTCACCAGAGAACTGGCAATGTAATGTAGTATGTGAAATGAGCTGTGTATGGCGCATACAACTTAAGATGTGCTTGTCGTTGCCATTGATCATATTTTTACGGGAGGGTAATAAATAATATAGGGTGTACAGCATATACGTAGTTTCTAATTTACACTAGAAGCAGCGCAACAATATTCATCCGTCCGCAAGAATTCCGGTCCGGGCCAGCACCTGTTTGTGTACGCTTGACATCCACAGCACTTTCTCATGTGTGCAAGACGGAAAAACAAAGGGGCGAAATTAAACATTAGAGTTTCTAAGCAAAAATATTATTTCTATTCAATTCTGAAGGCAAACTGTTCACACAGATAGACAATAGCTCCTGAGTTTTACAATGATGATATATGCCAAGCGTCACATCATTTATTGATTTACTGCTGAGAGAAGAACTAATGAAGATACACTAGTGAGGACATGGGCAAGAAAGAAAGAATAATTGCAAGTGAATAATTAAGACGTATTTTATTGAGGCTACCTCCACATTGCTGCTTAGAAAAATGCTATCATATTTACGACATCACTCTTCCATCCGTGAGAGACAACAAGCAGTAACACGACCGAGCCTATAGCTGATTAAGAGGGGTACATAGTTATCTTCTCCAGAACAACATCCTACAAACTCAGTTTATACTATCTATGGTTGATATATACAATTCTACTTGATCTTGGTATAATATGCATAGGCGATGTGTTGGGACAAGCAACAATCCATTTGCGCAGAAAATATAACTCACCTTGTGATTATTATTCGATCTGACTGTTGATATACAGCACTCATCCTTTTGAATATATCTACTATCAAAATGTGGTGCGATGGCAGTGTAGCAGTGGGGACAACAAATGAGTTTTAAATGTCGAGGACTGGAAATAAGATATAATGCACCCATGAGCGAAAGCTGAACCAAGACCAGCTGCGCATAATAAATTTCATCGAAGCATATAACCAGCAATCTTCTCTCAATAAATGCAACGAGCAGGCTTTATGGTGAGGAACCGTAAACTGTTTCTTCAGAGCTGGTGTAAGTGGAGCATAGTGTTTTCGTTGCTATATACACTATATATCTAAATCGGTCAAAGTGCTGTATAAATTGCATTCTGTCCAACCTTATTCTGTAATACTAAAGCACTTGGCAGGCAGAGCCCGATTATTGTATTCATACTGGGCAGCTCTTACGGATACTACAACATTTAAGAGCGGTACAAACGGCTTCGAACAATCCATAAAACTGCTATCGTTTATTCGAATCATACTTACAAAACGTTTATAGTTAGGAGTTGAAAGATAGATTCATATCCAATAAGTAAACAATTTGTTCTGTGGGAAAGCGTAGAAGGGTTATCGAAAAAGTCGCCAATGGGTCATCGAGTTACTGCGGCGATGTGCAGTCTTGTACACGACAAAAATTTCTCCTGTATATCAGGGCATCGAGGATGGGTGCTAAAAAAACGATAGAACCACACTACACTTTATTGCATAAACAGATATATCTTTCCCCTTTATATCACTTTTTCTCTTCTACTGATGCATAGCATGGTTTACTCACTCAATCACTCCCTCGCTCGCTCGTTCGACACACGACCAAACAAGACGAGAGCAATACACATATACATTATTATATATACAACAACTTTTGAGATTTGTCTTCTCTTTATTCCAAAAGAGTCAGTTTACCCATATTGAGAAGCGTAATACCCTTTACAGGATCGCAATTAAAGTTCCAGTCTTTCCAATGATTGACCTTGCCCTGGCAAGGATAACACATGGCACAAAACTTGGTACGGAACCCAGCGCACATCTTTCGTCCACTTCTAATATTGTCTAGCATATCGAACATTGTTCCGCCTATTGCTTCGGGATCGTCAAAGTTACCAAAGTGCTTTGCAATCATATCCTCTTCGCATACATCAATCTGCTGTATCCGTGGGTCAAAGATGGGCTCGATCTGGTAAGGAAACAGCCACACACCCAGGTTTTGATCTTCGTTCTTGACAAAAATGCGTGGTCCTCGGGCAATCAAGTGAATAATATCGCGTGACAAGATATACAACGCACCGGCCGTGTAGCGCGGAAACAATGGAAGTGGGTATTCCAATTCACTGTTCTTGTTGGAGTTGTCTCGGATAGGCGGGATGTCCCTATATAAAACACATCATTTAGCGCCATTTTCATGTGCCATTCCCACTTTCTTTACAATGAATTGATTTACCAGTAGCTTAAACCTTGCCAATACCGGTTCCTGAGACCCAACGCAAGCAATTCATTACTGATTGTATCCCAACGTGCGAAAATGTCGTCATCCGTTTTGATGAAATAATCAAACTCGTATTGCTCGGCCCATTCCATCGAGCTAAATACTTTTTTGCTGAGATCTTCATACGTATCTGAGCATGGTAGTACTAACAAGTCGCCTCCATGCTGTGCAATCTCAGTTTCAATCTTGGGTCCCATTGACTGCCTGACTTTATCCGAAGGCGGCTGGCCAATGACAAACCGGTACATGAACGAGATATCCTTCGAATTGGGCGGCATCAGTTGCAATGTAGTTTCACGGAACGTTTGACGATTCACGATGCTTCGCGGTGTCCATGCTGACAATACAATCACCATGACGCGTATGCCTGCATCTGCCATAGCTGGATGTTTTTGTACCGTCGTCGATAGCTGTGTAGTGGAAGATGAAATTGATTCTGCCACCATTGAGGTGCCATTGCTTCGCAACAAACTCACTTGATGTAATGTTGCAAACATTGTCATGACAACGACAATGAACAATGGTAAAACGAGGACGCGTACAAGTGTGGATCTGTGGTTGATGGAGCTAGTGAAATTCGATAACGTCGACGTTGTCGATGTGGTAGACGATGCTATTGATGCTGGGGAAGAGGAGGACGCTGACGTCGAGGATGATTTTTTGGCGTACTTTGGATTGGATGCAAGCAAGAGCTTGAGAATGTTGGATACGAGCAGGATAAAGCATACAGTCATCCAATTCCATAATGGTTGGTCGGCGCCATAGTACGATCCAATGAATGCTGACAGAGACCAATTGATCACGGTAAGCGTGACAAGACGAACCAGAGCATTTTTAAGCTCATAGTGATACAGCCACCGTCGAAGCATACTCGTCGTTAATATCCAACTCCAATATCCAGCAAGAATACACTTTAGCAAATGGTAATAGAATAAATCAATAAGCAAAGAGTAATCAATAGATGAGTTGTACAGTCAATTTCTCTACTTACCCATAGCAATGCAACGCTATAGATTAACGGAGTGGTTTTGTTTTCGAAAATGCCAGTTTCATCGAACAATGGCTGTGCCCATGCACGTCGTGTGTTCCGTACGAGACCGAATCCTGCGGGTATCAGACATAAGAGCCGTAATAAAATTATGGGTAAATGGAATCGTCGTGGTACATTGAGTGATGATAGTGACAATGAGCGCTGTCGAAAGGAAGGGAGGGGCTAAAAGGTCTCAGTATTTTTTTGTGTGCATCTCGCGTTTCTTTATAATCCATGTCTCAAGTAGATGCTTTACCGTAGACATTGGCAGATCAAGGCCCTGCCTAGGCAAATAATAGTCTTGGGTTTTGCGGGTTTTTCGTGAAAAAAAGAAACAAGGAAGAAAAGACCGTGCTAACTTAGCACGTTGTGATCCCCAGAGAGAACCAGCACTTCTTCCGACAACTCGGTTTTTTTTGCCAGCCGACCCTGTTGTTTCAAGTTATTTCTTCCACCTTCTACTTGTAGCCCTAGGTTGAAAGATTTGTTTTTAGCTTTTTCCCGTTCGAATTCATCAGGTCTAGACCGCCATTCACTGTATACTTATATGCTAGAAGAACAAGAAGAAATACAACGCTACTGCTGCTGCTTCTTTACTTGTTGTAGTAGCATATACACTCTTTCCGGAAATGATTTGCTCAGATGGCATAAGCAGCCAAAGAAAGAGAAAGTAACCGACATTAGTGGCGGAGAAGAGGATATTATAGTGATTCTTTAATAGCTAATTACTGGTCAATAAAGTACTTTTCTGAAATCAAGAAGCCGTCTTGCTAGTATGTATTTCATGATTACCATATTCTATTTTTCAAGTGAGAAACATCCAGCATCGCAAACACTGGGTCACTCCATATGCTTCTGCGGTATTTTAACAGACCCATTTCGGCATTGATCCCAGCAAAAGGCTGCACCCGTCCTTAACTCATTTCTCCTGGTTAATGCGTGCTTCGACGGTTAAATGGTAGCACAGGGCTAGGCCGTGTATTCGATACGAAACTGGAGAGCGGTATGTAAGTGCATACCATAAAGACAAAATCCAAATGTACATTTTTACATATGTTATCAGCTGATCGATTGCTATTGTTGACAGAACAAATGAGCAAGAACATACTACCTGTCAGGAAATTGCTTAGCTTTCCAGCAGGGAAGTGTAGACTGTGATGAGTTCTTCTACGTCGATACTATTAGTTGTGAATCATTAATGCTACTTTATACGTTCCCCTGTTTAATTTTGAGCTAACAACATCGTATATTCTAATATGTGTCGTGCCGGCTTACTATGCATGTTTCAGTTATACTGAGCTGAAGTTTATGTATAAGTCCAGTTAAAGCCTACTCACACCTTTACCTCTGAGCGCGCGGCTTCGGAGTCGCGGCTTTTCGCCTGTAAATCTCAAGTTGTGATTTTTCCTATTTATGCTCTAGTGCATTATTGCGACATATGACACAACAAGGGGAAACACGCTGTGTCTGTATGATATCACAGTAAGAGAAAAATACATGTTATTAAAAAACGCGTAATAGATACAGAGTTATTAACAGTGTAAGTCTAAGTTTATGTAGTTTTTAAGGGATTTTTAAGATTAAAAGAAGCCTACTGAGTACATACTATATGCATCGCCACCGTTATTGACATGATCATCTGAAGGCAGGCAGGGGAAACGAGCGCAGATTAAATTGTCATTGCTCAAATGAGTACCCTTCGGGCCTACTTGTTCCGAAACTCAAACTTTCTTTTAGCTAGATCAATACACCAGAAAGAAATAATATAAAAAGAAGCCCCTTCAACCGTCTTCCCTTCGTTTTTTATTATCTTAAATTAGCTATTTTACATCTGACAGCGACAACGACATGGCACCACTTCAAATCATTGGCGCAGGTTTCGGCCGAACGGGAACCGATAGCCTACGAAACGCCTTGAATCAGTTAGGGTATGGTTTGCTCTTCAATACCTCACCGTCATCGTTGACCTTACATATAGAAGAAAAACCCAATAATATATGTCTTCAATACCATGATTACTCCTACCCTTTGCCTACACAGTAACTAACAATGCTCCCCTAATATACAACGATAACTAGTTATAGCACCCATCACATGTATGCAATGGCTCATGGCGGTGATGAACGATACCCAGAAGTTTTTCAAGAAGCCTATGAACATCCGGAGCGTGATTATGATTGGGAGAAGGTTTATGATGGCTTCGACGCTGCAGTGGATTGGTATGCATCCCTTTCTCCCTTTCAATACTACTACCATGAGTACCTTCCACTCTCTTTCTTTCTGTTCCTATAGCGGAAAGCCACAAGCTAATTTATTGAGGTAAATCATACATTATAGGCCAACTGCGGCAGTTGTCGAACCACTGCTGAAAAAGTATCCAAATGCCAAAATTATCCTTACAGTCCGTGACCCTGACGACTGGTACAGATCGGTCAAGAACACCATTTTCCGCATGTCACAGAAAGGGTTCTCTGCAGAGAGTGCTCCTCCTGGCATCGATCTTGCATACTACAAGCGTTTGGTGAGCATGATCCATACCCTTGTACTGGACGGTGCTTTTGGCAACCCGGAAAAGTTTTTGGATGAGGAGGCCATGAAAGCTAAGTTCGTAGCTCACAACAAGTGGGTTCAAGAGCATATTCCTGCGGATCAGTTGTTGGTGATGCAACTCGGTGAAGGATGGGACCGTCTCTGCCAATTTTTGGGCAAGTCTGTACCTGATACACCTTATCCAAACACCAATTCGTCCAAGGATATCAACAAGATGGCGAAGGAGCTTTTTGAAGACGTCAATCCAAAGGGGGAGGATGTTAAGGCTTAATCATACTATATATCACACATCCCTTGCATTTACTCTATTTTTTTTTCTTTCACTTTCGTATATCCTATTATCCTAGTCTATTTTATGCCGTCCGCAACATACACGCCCTCTTAACCACTCCCCGCCCATATCTATGCATCGAACGTACATAAAATAGCTTGTGCTTTTACAGTTCTCCACGACAGGACAAAAAATAAATACCAACCGCGATAAATGTTATACACTGATACTTATGGGTCATTTTTAGCGTACACTCTCTAAAATGCCGCGCCCAATCTTTGAAAGGAACCTTTTTGACCATAGCATCAGTATTGCCATGGGCGTGTCGATGTTGCAATTGCCTTTAACTGCTCTATATGTGTATCTTGTGAAACATAAAGCATCAACGAAGAAGTAGCGACAAAAGGAGGGTATACTTTGATTAAAAGGTGCGAAGAGCGAATAATTTAATAAAAAGGTCCTAAGCGCGAGGAAGTACAAATGCAAGTTCGCCTGTCAGCAACATTGTCGCGACCATTTAGGTTTGATGATGACTAAGAGCAGTCATCGTCAGAGTTGTCGTTAAGGTAAAGACCATACATGTATTAGCAGCGGGTTGAGTCTTGAACAATAAATCTATGTATCATTATAGAAGGTCCTCAGAGCATGGTTAAGCAACGCGATTGCGCAGCGTCCGAGCATGTTTGACTCAAGGCCAAATAGTAGTCGAGGTTTTAGTTTACTCGCGAAATGGAGAAACGAGAACTTCAACGAGATACCTTTCTTTGTAAAGTAGATAATGTAAAGATCTATAGTGAGCATGCCATCGGCCACAGAGTTTTCTTGTCCCTGAGGTGTAACATACAACTGCAGAAGAGACCAGACTCAAGAGACCGTTCTAGCCCACAGTCAGCAACTCTCAGCACAAAGGGGAATCTTACAACAGCACCGCTAGATACCGTGAGAAAACCGAATATAATTATTTTACTTTGCGCAGGAATTGCCGACAATAAACTAGCAAACCTGCACATGGCTCATGATGAAGTAAATGACAAGAGATTCGCTGATGGGCTCCTCTCATAAAGACGTTTTCGACTGTCACGCTCGGATATTTAAAAGGTTTCGCGGACCCTCATGGAGCATCATTAGCTCTTCCTAAGGGTTGCTTTTCATTTGACACAAGAAAAGGCACGAGAGGAACGGAACAGGGGTGTGCAGTGAGTAGTCAAGAAGACATTTATATGCTGCGGCGGCAGTGATCGGCATGGATTACGATATGACATAATTAATCATGCCGGGTGTGTCCTCCAAATCCTGTCGCCGCTTGTTTTTGTTGTCCGTGCACGACAAAAAATTCGAATGCCTGTACCTTTGAATAAGCATGTCCCCTGCAAAAGAAAAAACAAGACCTTGCTTTTATAAAGCGATTGGCGATGACAAATTTAAGAAAGATAGTAACGAATGGAAGTATTTGTATAATCTTAGAAGCAGTACCATAAGCAGACACTGGGTGCGAGCCAGCAACTGCTGTCGTCCTGGTAGCAAGAGAGTGGTAAGTGATCACTGATGCAGTGGCGTACCCAGCCAGCCGATTATCAAGCCATTTTTTACAAAAAAAAACATGCGACCCTAAACAGCTGTGCTTTCTCCGCTATCTCTTGCCACTTTCCTAGTACCAATGACACTTCTTTTCACGTTGGCAAGGTTTTTTATTTCTTTGTGTAGAAAATAATTTGGCAAGAGCCCGGGTCGGGCCTACAGCAAGTATGGGGCTCAAAGTTTGACAATAAAAAACGCAGAAAAGGGTAAAAAAAAACACTTGACAATATAGGGCAACTACCAATGCGCTAGCCACGCATAGCCAGGCCTTCGTTGTCTGTGGTCTCCGACGTTGACGCTGAGGCACTGACGATCATGTTTTCCAATAACAAATTCATCATTGATTTGACTGTGTCAAATAGTTTTGCTCAAGAGGCACAGGCGAATTGTTAAGCGAAACATGAGAGCTCATAGGTCTATCGCTACCTAATAAAAGCTCCCGCCGATGGCCAGCACTGAAAGACTCTGCAAGAGCCAAAACCGCAAGGAGCTCCAACCCAACATCCCTCCGAGGAAAGTGTTGCTGAAACTGAGCACAAACACCTGATCATCCTGCTCCTCATTTCCTTACCGCACTATCGAGATGGATTCTTCCGTAAGCTCTCGTCGTAGCAAATTATTTCGAAACAGTAGCTACCGTATAGTTTAAACGTCACTGTCTGATCAATCGCAGTCTCTCCTTCCACTTGACACTGCCCGCAAACAGCAAAAGCCAGTATCTCCGCCGAAATCTGGTAGCTAGCCCCGTTTGTTGATCGAAAGTCGTCCCTGGATGACAAGAGATAACCCTTCCCGAACATCACCCACGTCAAAAGGTTTAAATCTGCAACAGAAGTCATATAGTATACGCGCCCATCGAGCGCCGGAAATGATGAAGGGCTTCAAACACTCTGTTTAGTAGCCAAGGAGATCCAAAAAATCCACAATAGTAAAGACTGTATACTTTGTACACACTGCGTCGAGCGGCAGCCTTAGGTAAACACGATTTCCAGCCCACGATCACCCTACTTTGTTTATAGTTAGACATGTAGAGAAGTATTTTAAAAAAAGTTTCGTAACTGAACATTGAGTTATCCGTGTACTATCACCTTTGGTAATACCTCGACATATACGCTTAAAGCATTACACTGTTTGATAATACACTGATTTCAGGATAAGTCCTCTTTTTCGCTGTCGCAAGCGTTCCTTCGGCTTTTGTATACAGTAGCTGGCTGACGATGGCCATTAAGATCTGGTATCTACTTCAGTTTGGGACGAGAAAATTGACAAGACGCCTTTAATATTAGCCTTGAAATGCCACGGACAAAGCGAGTGGGGGAGGGATACTCTGCGACACTGGTGTGTTTCCTTTGTGTACTCAGGCTGCGCTTCGATTGCCACACTAATGTAAGATATATACCATCTGTGGTATCAGTCAAATCATAGTTTGCTTATGCATTATTATATTATTGCTTATGTTGCTGTTGCAATGGCAACACAAAAATGCATATTGTACAATAGCAACTTCTACGGAAAGACATAGTCAAGTGAATTGCCTACGGAGAAAGATTGCCAAACGTTTATTAATGACGTTCTAGTAGTGCATGTAAGCACTAAGTATTTTCCAGACTCATAACGATAAAATAGCCTTTCCACAACAAGCTAGACAATGGCTGTGCTTAACGGCGTCTCCAATAACCCAAAGACCAGATGATCACGATGCTTTCCAATATTGGATCATTGCGTAAAAATAACTCAAATTGCATTTTATAAGCCATATTGTTTATTTGTTTGGTGCATGACATCCTGATGTATGAATGATGCAGACATTTAATACATCAGATATTTTCTCATATCAGCAAAAGCATGACACAACACTTACAAACACTTACAGATATTGTACACACAGCCTTCTCCTCCGTCTTTGGACATCTGAGCTGCAGAAACGCCTAAAACATGATGTACTTTCCATGCCATCAAAGTCATAAGTGGTACTTCTTCTCTTTAGGACTACACAGCATGGGCGTAGTTTGTTAATGATCTAGCAATGATCAAGTTCGATTGATCTGAGCTCCGTCGACGAAATTAACATAGGCAAACAAAACAAGTAAGAAGCCGGTAAATCGGCTTCTGGCGGGTTGATAAGTTTGTGTGTGTGAGAGTGTATGTGTCTTTTTTATGGGAGTTTTAAAGTTCCAGGGTTGCTGCCGATCTTCCTTCAATTGCCTTACACATTCACTCAGCCTTATATTGTCCTTGTTCGATAATGGTTTCAGAGTCTCTTTTTAGGGAGAACGACAATGATGGCAAAGTGCTGTCGCAGAGTGATGAATATAAATGCTCTCCCTGAATTACAGTCTCTTGTTCAGCAACTACGATTGTGCTTGTGTGTGTGTGCCACATATATGAACGTGAAGGCGAACACCAAATTGGTTAGGAAAAATTTCGCTTCCTTTGATTTGATGATTTAAGGTCGTTCTGTTGGGTTGTCAGTCATTGTCGCCGCACACGCGACTCGTGAAATCCCGCACATTGACACACACAGAGTATGCATGCCAGATTCGATGAAATGGATAATCGGCAACATACAGCAATAGCGCAAAAAAATACCGCGTACACACCACCATCAGCATCATCGTCTTGTCAGCAGAAGAAAGGCCACTTATCTCATCATAATGATTGATTGACTATGATGTAGGAGTACACGGCCTTTTTCACCGTGTGTAAAAAAAGTATAACGGAATAAGTGAAGATAATAGAAGAGTGGGATCTTTCCTGCAAAGCAAACCCAAAAGAAAAAAATCAGTCGAGAGCGAGAGCGAGAGTCCGAGAGCTACACAGATTGCTGTGGACATATTCCACGCTAATAGCACTCCATTTCTTTTGTTTCTTTCTCTTTTTCTTTTCCTTATTGCATATACACACACTCGGTTTTAACGCAAAAAAGCCCCTTCCAGCATAACCCTCCCCTTTTCCACTTTTCCAGGCCAATGTCGAATCCCATTGGAGACCCAGCAGATTATTACTTTGCTCGACAAAGAAGGAACGAGCAACAGCAACAACATCGCCATGGCATCAATACACCAGAGTTGACCATCGATCGGAACCAGCTGGACAATCAAAGAACAGGACGCCAAGATAGCGATTACCCTATGACGCCTGAATCCCCAGACAATCGACGCCATCCAGCCAGCGCTATACGACCTGGACTGCGTAAATCGCACAATAACAACAGCAATTCTTCACACCCGTCATTCGATGCTAAGTTACAGTGGAATCGAGTATTGGACAAGATATCAGGGCCACAGCAACCGACGTCTTCGTTACGGTACCATGACAACACAAACCATAGCCTTCCACGACTAGGAGGAGGAGAAAGAGGCGAAGACTCGTCAAATTCGGACGAAAGCGAATCATATGAAATGCAACCTACCAATAATAAAAACAAAAAAGTATACAATAGTACAATTGGTACCAGTACGGACGACGGCCATCATCATCATCGCCTTGACAGCAACGACCACGATGGCTATTACGAAAACGATGCACTGCCATCACCAGACGATATTGAAAGAAGTCGAGAACCATCTGTTTCAAATGAATACGATGGTCAGCCGAGTTATTTTGAACATCCATTTCATCGAGATACGGCAAAACATGCGCAGCAGGCTGAAGAACAGAGTCGACAAGATGAAGAATTAGCGACTTCGCCGCCTGCAGAGCCTGAGGAGGCGCATATTCCTGGCGGTAGCAGTGGTAGCGGAGCAGGACCATCCAACAGACGAGTCGCTCAAATGCATTGGGGTAAAACTTTGGACAAGATTCGTCTTATTTCCAACATCCATAGCTTACCGACCCATGCGCACGAGCCTGATATGGCGCCCACGAACTCATTAGCGCCGTATTTCCAGCCTGCATTTGAAGCACCATTCATTGCGCTGTCAACTGACGAGGATGGTCGGAAATTGGTAATGACGGATTGTGTAACATTTTGGCTTACTTGGAAAATTTTAACTAACTTGTGATGGTTTAGCCTCCTATTCTGTTTCCTCTTATGTCCGTAAGTGATCTCTTATTGTTGTGGTCAAGGAAGAGAGGGAGCGTGCGCTTGGGAAGCTTTAAGAACAGTTGAGAATTATATATATATATATATATATATATATATATGCCTTGTCTCTCCATAAGAACATCCTCACTAAATTAAAAGCAACTACCATAGATTGAAGTGACTGATTCCGAGTTAGTCAATATCTACGGTATCAATCAATATGTTTTTCGTATTGAACTTCAATATGGCGACGTCAAATGGGTGATCCGTAAAACCATGGCCGACTTTACTATTTTACATTTGAATCTCAAGCTAAAGTCGGCGATTGAACCTCCCAATTTCCCTAATCAGCTCCAAAACCTCATCCAATCGGCCAAGGAAACCATGGGCATTGATGACGACGAACGCGATACCGAAAAGGAACGCAAATCCGCATTGGCGCGTCGTAAAGCGCTCACCAAATACCTCACTGAATTATTACAGCGCGCTCACATCTTCGTCAGCTATAATCTTTGCGAGTTCCTCGAGATCTCCGCTATCAGTATCGTCCAGGATATGGGATGGAAGGGCAAAGAAGGCTATTTGGAGAATCGTGTCAATTTCGTCGATACGCGTATATGTCATCTTTTTAAACGGTCAAGTTGGACAAAAGAATGGGTGATTCTTCGTGATTCGTAAGTCTTCTTAAGTCAGACATACTCGTGTGTGCATAGTATCTTACCAACGATACGTGGTTGTTTTGCGTAGATATGTGGCGTTTTGTGAAGATATTGATTCACAAGCTCCGACGGATGTTCTCATGCTGGACAAAAGCTTTTCTGTATCTGATCGAACACCTGGCATTTTTGGCAAATACCATAATCACATCACATTAGAAAACAGGTTTCGTCGGATAACGATCAAGGGCAATAGACGCCAGGTGGACGAGTGGATGGAAAGCATCAAAAAGGTTCAACAAGAGAGTCCGTGGGTCAAAAATCATCGCTTTGGTTCATTCGCACCTGTCCGTCATCATGCCAAGGTCAAATACTTTGTGGACGGTGAAGGTAAACGATCCTCACTTTTTGTCGGTTCTCTAATGTCAATATGATATAAACTATAACCTGTTTGTTTCGCAGACCACTTTAACGCTGTTGCCGAAGCAATTCTCTCAGCAAAATCAGAAATTTATATCGCCGATTGGTGGCTTTCTCCGGAACTGGTAAGTGCTTGTACTGTCACCACTGGGATGACTGCTCTCCGCAGAAGCTGAATGCTTGAACTACATTGTCATGTATATATGCTAACTCTATCGCAATTTGTTATGCATCAAGTATCTGCGTCGCCCTCCAGCAACCAATGAGGAGTTCAGAATCGATCGATTACTGAAACGCAAGGCCGAGGAGGGAGTGATGGTGTACATTATCGTGTATAAAGAAGTAGAGGCAGCATTGACGATTGACTCTGCACATACCAAGAAACATTTACAAAAGCAACATGGCAACATTATCGGTAAGACCAAGAACATGAGAGATAGATAGGGTGGCATGAAATTTGCTAAATGGATGTAAACGGCAACAGTACAAAGACACCCGGACCATCGATCTATCGACAACAATGTCCTCTTCTGGTCACATCACGAGGTAACACATGATGATAATTATGATGGAATTCTGCATCAGTTTTGTTATGACGGACTTTTTCTTTATATTCTCACGTTACACTCACACACGTACTATTCTCTTCAGAAAATGGTGGTCGTCGATAATAGATTGGCGTTTATTGGTGGTCTTGATTTATGTTATGGCCGTTGGGATAGCCATGGACACAAATTGGCCGATTTGAAGGGAGACTTCCACAAGTTCGAGATGGTTCCTGGACAGGACTACAGCAATCCACGTGTCAAAGACTTTTTAAATGGTAGGTGTTGCTGCTCTTATTGTTTCCACATCAGTAGATAAGTGTCTCTAACTCACAAAACAAATTATAGTCGCACAACATGAACTAACATTAGTCGACCGCTCTATTTCACCGAGAATGGCTTGGCATGATGTGTCCATTGGTGTGGTAAGTAGTTGCCTAAAAAATCAGTATTCAATGGATTCCTTTTCGTCACTCTTTGTACTTACAAGCACCAAATAACGATGGTTGTGTTTCCGTCTACAGGTGGGGCCCATTGCACGAGACATTGCACGTCATTTCATCCAACGATGGAACTTTTTGAAAGCTTCCAAGGGCATGCATCGTCCGACGGTACCCTTCTTAATGCCCAAAGGGGAATACGTTGCTGCAAGAGACGAAACCAAATTCAAAGGCACGTGCCGTGTTCAGCTCTTGAGAAGCTCGGCTCAATGGAGCTCTGGTATCGAACGTGAACATTCAATCTACAATGCATATATGGAATGTATCAGCAAAGCCAAACATTATGTCTATATTGAAAACCAGTTCTTTAGTAAGTATATTTCGCATTCATCGAATTTTCCTTCTGATGAAAAGGAAGAGGAAGAAAAGAAGTAGCAGTAACAAATGCGATTTCGTTTTTTTAGTCAGCGCGACGACTCAAGACAAACTTTTACGAAACAAGATTGCTCAGGCTATGGTCGAGCGTATCAAACGAGCCCATGCAAAGAAAGAAAAATTCAAGATTTTTATCCTCATTCCTCTAATTCCGGCATTTGAAGGCGATCTAGCATCCAGTGAAGCTTATTCTGCAAGGTAGAAGAATTCTTCTGTATACTCTCTTCTGCCTAGCTTTTCTAAGGGACTAAATTTCAGGATGTGTTCTTTAGATCCGTCATGCATTTCGAATATATCTCTATTTCAAGAGGTGGCAACTCCATCATTGAAAAACTTCAAGAGGCCGGCATCAATCCTTCGGACTATATCGGCTGGTACAGTCTGCGTAACTGGGACAAGATTATTCCAAATGGGGCAAAGAAGCAACATCACCAGCAACAACCGGTGGCAACAGACTCAAAATATGATAGTGGTGCACATTTTGAAGAAGACAAGGATACCTTGACCAGCAAGTCACCAAGCAATCATAGCAATGGTGCCGGAAGTCCTCCGGTTTCTAGGGGCAGCAACGGCAGCGGCGGTAGTAGCAGCAGCAATAATAATGCCAACATTAATAATGAAAATGGTTCAACGCCGCCAAGTACCGAAGGAACAACGTTTGAGGATGAAACAGATTACTTTGTTAGTGAACTTATTTATATCCATGACAAACTACTGATTGTCGATGACAGACTGGTGGTAATCGGTTCAGGTAAACTATATACTATCCGAGGATCTACTCATTCACTTATTTCTCCCCAAGTAGTAGTATGACTAATGTAATCCTTCATAATTTTCACTTTTCCGCCTCAATTTAGCCAATGTAAACGATCGGTAAGTCTGGCCCGAGAAAAATAGTAGAGCGAGACGTCCAACGGCCAGGCTAACCCACTTATCTGTTTATCTTACTTTCAAAACGTAGATCTATGCTTGGCAATCGAGATTCTGAAGTAGCTATGCTGATTGAGGATACAGAGATGATCCCATCGTACATGGATGGCAAAGAGGTACTGAAAGAGGAAAGATACAATGGAAAACTTTCATAGTCATGGTCACATTGCTAATAATGTTTCTTCATCGACCCTTGACATATATAGTACAAAGCCGCCAAGTTTGCACATTCATTACGCATGCAATTATGGAAAGAACATCTTGGTCTCCTTGACTTCTCCGACTGGCCCACTTTACAACGATCAGACACAGGTGTTCGTGGAGCAAGTGAACGACCTGCAAACAGTCAAGAATGGATTCGACGGCCCTCTGAAGCATTTGGCGCGGGACGGACTAGTGAAGAAATTATACGCGACATTGAATCTCATCAACCTGACCAAGTCCTTGATTCTGCACGACGATCCAAGCGACCGGATCTTAAGCAAGAAGAGGCATTACAAGCAGCTGCTGCACTGGACCCCTTGACAGATCATTGCTACCATAACCTTTGGCGCAAGACGGCGGATTCAAACACGTTGATTTACCGAGAGATATTCCATTGTGTGCCAGATGATACCGTCCATACATTTGAACAGCATCGACAGTTCGTGCCTGATGTGACAAAAATTCCACATGCGCATGTGGCAGATCGCAGTCTTTCTAGTCAAGAAATCGAACAAAAGCTGTCGAATATCCGTGGCCACCTGGTCATGTTCCCAACGGAGTACCTGAAAAGTGAAAACATGTTGGGATCAGCCGTACGTGAAGCTGTTCTTCCTATGGTTCTTTTCACTTAGAAATAGTTTTGACCTTATATTATTCCATTCATTAATACACGCGTATTCCTCATCCCCCCCCCACCTCTCTCTCTCTCCCTCTTCGTGTTATATATTTCACGATTACGATTATAATTTTTATTTCATTTTCATCACATCCCTCATTTTTACCAACACATATACACACAACCATGGCATTGTCTGATCATCCAGCAAGAAGATTTAATTTTTTTTTCCTTTTCTTTCTTCAAATGAAATGTTTCGATACGGACTCGATCAATGATCTGATCGTGTCTCCGTGGTGTTGTCTAACGCTACTACTGCTTAAGCTAGCCGCCAAGCCCACCGCTGCCAAAGTTACCGACGCCGTTCCCAGCACAACATTTAACCAAAAATTCTGCTTATGCCACCGCTCAATGGCTTTTGAATACGGTAAAGTCGTAAAGCTAACCATGGTATATAATGGCACTACCAAGCGAGGCGCACATAAATGGATCCACCCTTCGATTTTCTTACGTGCCAAATAGCGATAGGATGTTACAGCCGACCGCATTTCATAATGGTTATACATAGCGAGATCGCAGATGGCATGTGCATCCTTGGCATGGGTATTCGAATACTCCTCCAATGCTTTGTCGATCCCTTTGAGGTTGTAAGCGGTGATGCCATGTGCGTCCAAAACTTGATGCAGTACTTCTATGTCCTGGAATCCACAGTTCATGCCTTGGCCGTAAAAGGGGACCATGGCATGGGCCGCATCACCGATAATGACGGCTTTGTCATTGAGATGATGGGGCGATGTCTTGATGGAAATCAACGAGCCGCGTGGATGGGCAAAGTAGTCGTGAATCAGCCGTCCTTGGCCAATCAGAGGGATGGCATCAGCGAAATAGGTCGTGAATAGGTCCATAAGCTTTTCTTGAGTGGTAATGCTGTCAAACATGTCAAATGGCATAAACAACGTGCACGTGAACGTTCGGTCCTACAATCACAGTGTTAGTAATAGCCTGAAGATGAGGCTCTGTTTATTGTTGTTATGCGTGGGTGTCACAAGGACTCGAAAATAAGATTTACCGGATTGGGCAATGCGATCAGCATGAATGTGTGGCGTGGCCAGATATGCAAATGGTTTGGATCCAGTGCGAAGTCTGGCTTGCCGTCCTTTCCAATACGCGGAGGCATTGACAGTTCGCAATACCCCGTGTCGATATATTCTTGCTCATAGTCCATTCTGTTTTGCATCAGATCCATTCCCAATAATAGCGAAACACAAACGGGTGAGCTAAGGGAATGCTGTAGAGAACGGGATTGCACATAGAAGCAAGGATGGCTTGGCTGATGACTCTCTCCATTCTGTGCGACCAAAAGATAAGTAACTTACCTCATTTTGCGCATCATCTGTCCCCGAGTCCTCGAGTACGCACCGTCCGCACCCACAATCAGGTCAGCATAGTGTTTTACCGTCACGTCGGATCTAATAAAGATGGTATCATTCCATCGGTCCGTCAATGTCGCCGCAAATCTTCTGCATAAGGTGTCCTTTCAAGGCTCTTCGCATCCACCATCACCACTTGCTAACTCGGATCTCTTCCTGTTTCCTTCGGACAACGCTTCTAGTTCTCTCCTCTTACCCCGTTTCCAGCATGAGCATATTCTTGTCAAAGTCAATCATCAAGAGTCGATGTTCGAAATATATAGTGACATTCTCCATCTTTTCAGCAGCATCGAGTAACAAATCGTTCAAGCGTGCACGATCCACTGCATTGATGTGCTGTATAGGTGATGAGATAATCAATCTTTCTTTCTCTTTTTTTTTCTAGTCCCGCAAACAATAATCCATAGCTAACAACGGCTTCATTCCTTCTCGGACTTACTTCTCCGTGTACAGAATATGCTTGCGACATCTGTTTACCATCGACATGAACCATCCGAGCATGCATTGGTACGGCAGCATCAAGACAGGTCTTGTCGAGTCCAAGATCTGTGGCTCTCAGGGCACTCAATCCACGCTCAGATAATGCCAAATTGATGGATTTGCCTCGTTCCTTGGCTTTATTTTCCGGAAGCCGCATGTCTTTATCATGAAAGGAGAACGTTTAATATATTATGAGTCATCGCTCTTTCCTTTTAAGAAAAATCACCATAAAACACCAAAATAGAAGATTTTACCGGGTCGTAACTCGAACAGAGCGACATTCCAACCACGTTGTGCAAAGTAAATGGCGTTGAGGGTGCCTACCAAACCACCACCCACAATGGCCACCGAGGCATTTTGTTTTGACATGAAGGGTAAACTTTAAAGTAAAAATAAACGGAAGGAAAGGAAAGAGAGAAAGAAAAGTAAGCAAATAAAGTCTTTCTCTCTTACACACAAAAAAAAAAATCCCGGCAGGCTTTTTATGGAAAGAGAGACCTGTCTATCAAAAAGAGATATATAACGTGGCTCGGTTGAACTTACTACCGCTTAAAGCCTTGGTATAGCAACAGCTGAGTTCATGCCGAGCTGGAACTATTCACTACCAATTTACACTTCTTTCTCGCTCCCCATCTTCTTTTCGTTTTGCAAAGGGTAGACTGATAGTCCTCTAAGAAAGAAAAAGATGTCCAACCCCGTCACGTACCAGATCTCTTCCACTCCCATTACTGCTCATTGCTTCAACCAGAACAGTATGTGTCCGTTTCTTTTGATACTGCACAAAGATTAAATTCTGCTCGCGCTACGCGTTCTCTCTATAACCATCTCATAAATCATGATCTTCAGAACTTATTGTGTGCCCAAACAACAACGAGGCTCTGCTGTATGAACAAGGCTCTGGGAACTGGAACATTGAGGCTACTTTGAAAGGCGTAAGTACTATGCCACAATCGCCGAGAAAAAGAAAGGATGAAAGATTTCTTATTGCCAAGACCGAAAACCTTAAACGCTCATTGCAAACAAATTTACTATTCTTATAGCACGACAAGGTTATTACGAGCATTGACATTGCACCCAATACCAATCGTATCGTAACCTGCTCGCAAGACCGCAATGCCTATGTTTGGACACAAGAGCAGGGTGTGTGGAAGCCGGGACTGGTCTTACTCCGCATTAACCGTGCCGCTACCTATGTTCGCTGGTCTCCCAAGGAAGACAAGTTTGCAGTTGCCAGTGGTGCTCGCTGCATTGCTGTCTGCTATTTCGAAGAAGACAATGACTGGTGGGCTAGCAAGCATCTCAAGAAGCCTATCCGCAGCACCGTCCTGTCCATCGACTGGCATCCCAACAATGTGTTGCTTGCTGCTGGCTCGGCTGATATGAAGGCACGCGTGTTCTCTTCTTTCATCAAGGGTCTTGACAAAAAGTAATTATTTATTATGTAAAAATGAGAAAGCGAAAGCTGGAAAAAAGAGAAATGACTGATGCATGGCAAACTGTTACCAGACCAGCACCTACCGTTTGGGGCGACAAGTTGCCATTCAACACCGTGTGTGGCGAATTCAGCGATGGCCGTGGTGGATGGGTCCACTCTGTGGCCTTCTCGCCTTCTGGCGATGCTCTTGCTTTTGCTGGTCATGACTCGGCCATCAATGTCGCCTATCCAAGCGCTGACGGTAACCACGCTGTGATTACTGTCCCAACCAACACCTTACCCTATCGCTCACTCATGTGGGCCAACGAGCAACAGATCGTGGCTGGTGGTTTCGATTGTGCTCCCTTGTTATTTGAGACTTCCAATGGTCAGGACTGGCGTTTGTCTGGCTCGTTGGACGTTGGCCGTAAGAAGGTCTCGACAACTGCCTCTGTGCTGAGCCGTTTCAAGTCAATGGATTCCCGTGGTCAGGCCGACAAGGATACGGATCTGGCTACTACTCACCAAAATACCATTGTGTAAGTCAGAGTAATGATTGAATGGTATGTCGACTTTGAGTCACTCATGTTAATATCTAATACGGAATATTAGTGAGATTCGCCCGTACGCTGGTCCACGCGATAATGTTACCCAGTTCTCGACGTGTGCTTTAGATGGCAAGGTTGCTATCTGGCAGTTCGATCCTAGCCATCTTTCTACTGAACTCGCAGGACTCAAGATCTAAATTTTGTAAGGTAGAATGTAAACCCTCGGCTTTCATATGATTAAAGTTTCTTTTATTGCTATGATTGTATATCAGAACAAAAAAAGCGCATTGTGTGTGTAACTCTACACACTTTAAAAGCTTCCATACAGAAAAAATGAGTAATAGTAAACAAAAACAAAAGCAACAAAAAGAGGGTGCATATAAGTGCGAGAAAGGGGGGTGAATAGTTAGTAAAGGAGAAGGAGGAGTGGGTTCGTAAAAATACATTCTATAAAGAGAGGACGAAGTAAGATAGAAAAAAGGACGATTGCGGAATGTGTGTGATGTATGCGTGTGCGTGTGCGTGTGTTAGCGTGTAAAGGAAGAGATGAGGAAGGAAAGCAAAATATAGAAAATATATGCGGTATATACATATAGTTTAGTAGAGTAGGTAGGTAGTAGGTACGGTGCAATTACCGTGCAACAATCATTGCATCCTTGCACCATTCATAGGTAAGGAAACTGACACCCATAGCAGGAGCGACCTTGAGATAATTTGGAATCATGCCCTTGTACAAGCCTCGGACACCTTCGTTGCGAACCATTGTCCTTACTGCATCCCAGGTGCCATTGTATTTGTAGTCGATCGTTGCCATGCCAGTAACCTGCATACGTCTCCGCAAAACGTCTAGTCATGGGTTATAGTGTGAGAGACATTCAAGTTTGACGTCGTACATGCATGACACAAGAGATAATGCATTTTTGACTTACCGAGAGGATAAGTGATCGTTTGCGCAATCGATCCTGCAAGAGCGCCACATATCAACTTGCGACTAGCAGAGGGTGTATCCTCTCCTGGTGCAACAAGCAGGAACTTAAGACCTTCATAGCATTGGAAATTCAATGCAACATATGGAGCAACGCCCTAACAGATCCATTTGTGTGCGTGTAAGATTCCCTTCTTCCTTGTCACAAATCCATCCATCAACAACTGCTTACCAAAGTTGTGGGCCATAGACCACGATATAACCCGACCATGCCACCTTCGGTCTTGTAGATATGAACTATGCTTGGAACAATACCAGGCAGTTTCTTTTGCGGTACACCGCCTGTTTTCCGGACATTACCATCGAGCGTGGCCGACAGGACAGACAATCGAGTCCGTACCATGTCCAAAGGATAAGTGCAAACAACCGAGATGACACCAGCAAACCCACCGGCTGTCAATCGTCTAGGAGTGTCCAATTCCGTCTTCCCAGGCTCCATGAGTAGCTTTTTACACCACTCGTAAGCAGCAAACTGACTTGCGCTATAGGGTATGATCCGAATGACGTTTGTGCCGTTGCCACGCATATAGCCCATCAGACCTTCTTCTCGCCACATTTTGGCCAATGTAGGGAATACACCCTGATAAGCTGCAGGTTCAGGCCCTTGCACCTAATTATTTATGCATGACCCAAGAATATGCAGCCAGGGTTTTTTTTTTTTGGTTGCAGTTAGCATATGTGTTGAAAATATAGAAAATACCACCGTACTGTTCCGAAAATTACATGTGACAGGAATGTGAATTACCTGAAATAAAATTTTCATACGCTCTACTGGCGAGACGACCGTGCGAGACACAGCACCTGCCATACCTATTTGGTGTGCACACTATAAGCGACCATTGGTTTTTTTTTTATGATGAAAATTAATAAACGACGAACTCTCTCCTCTGAATACATACCTCCGGCAACCAAATGAACCATGGTGTCCGAGAGCATCCATTGCCTCCATCGACTGCTTGGCTCCTCATTAACCTTTTGTTTCGTCGTTGTTGACGTCGTTAGTGGCAGCACTACCGGTTCTTGTGCAGCCGTCGCTGCCGTTGCTGCTGCTGCTGCTGCTGCCGTGGTGGTGGCTGTTGCTGTAATGGCATGCGATAACAAGCTGAAAATGTTTTCGAGATGGTCGGTGGTCAATTCTCGAGCAGGAATGGCATGGTGGTTTAGTAATTGGACGAATTCGGAATATGACATGCGGCCCTCGGCTTTGGTGATCACTGTCACTTTACTTCGGAGCTTGTTAAGGGTATCCTATAAATAATTGGTTGGTAAATTGGCTCGTTAGGCATACGCCGGTAGCTAGGTAGGTGGGTTTGTTGCAGACATGGTCGTTGGTTGAATCCCAAGTGATCAGGATACTGGGTGCGGGAGGGAGGGGAGGGGAGGGGAGGTGTTTGGTTGGGGTCGGGTCCAGGGGGGCCACGATTCGTCTTACCTCGTCCATGGGAGCATTGTCCTTTGAGGCACAAATGGCAGCGAGATCATGAGCATCGATATGGCCGTCTTTGTTGTGGTCGAGGAAGCCGAATAGTTTCTGGCTGCTCCACGGTTCCGAATCGTCCTGGAACATTTTCGTTTTGTGTTTTGCGAAAAGAAAGAGGGATAAGGGAAAGATAATTAAATCTGTTCTATATAAAATCAAAACAAAAAGGTACAACAACCAAAAAATGAGATCGATGCCGTATCCGCGGAGAGGGATTGAATTATTGAGTGGGGGAGGGGTGGGGGGCGGTTGAGGCGGGCGGGGTTGGTGCTTATCCTGGAGATATTGTGTTTTCAGGAAGATTTGAGTTCGTTCGTTCCGAGGGCCCGATGTTGCCGCAAATCATCATTTTCGCTCTCTTTCCGGCTAAACCCACAGAAAAAATCTGCACTTTTGCGATCTGCACATATTCGACGACAGCACAAGCCATCACTGCCTGTTTTACCAAGCTTCTGCATGACTTGTACATGACTCACCCCACAGTGTGCAGCTGAAAGCGTGAAGCTGTTGCTACGACGACTGCTTGGCGACATGCTTCGGTGCTGTATACCTTTTGATGATGATGGGACGTCTACCTTTTTCTGTTGCTTTCGCACGGAAACACGTGAGAGAGCAGTGCACGTGTGTACGTAATTTGAATGGGTTGACAATAGCAGTGACGCTTGATAGAGACAGGAGGATTATTGTCTCATAGCAGCAAAGGCATAAGTAGAAGAGCAACATCTGACTAGCAATTAACAACGAGAAACGAGTAAGCTACTTTTATTGATGCTGCTTTTTGCTACGCACAACATGCACGCACAAGAAGCACGGAGATATACCAAATAAGGACGAGGAGTGAAAGATATCAAATGTAGTAGTAAAGGCTACATTCTTCTCATTGGACCATCCAATGGGAGGAACGAAGCATCCTAGTAGTCATAGTCTGCGTTACAGTGCCACATCTCAAGTAAAACACGGCATGGATACAAGACTGCATCTTTTGTTTTGCCATGCTCCTGTGTCTCTGTTGATCCTAAGCAGCAGAGGAAACGTCTACAGCATACAATTGCAACAGCAATAGCCGGGACATGTACCTATCATCGCTGCCTTAATTAGACTTTATCTTTTACAGAACTGTAACTACATGAAGAGATATCTACTAATTATCAATAACTATGAGAATTTTCCCAAGAATCTAGTAGCAATAATATTGCGTGAATTGCATTTTACTCCTTAAAGAATCAATCAACCATCTTTTGTATATGTGGTACAACAGCGAGATCCATATCATTACTGATCGTGTAAACGGTATAAATATTATGACAACAGTAGTAGATGGTAAAGCAGCCTTTTTCCTATCTTTTTGTTATTGTTTACATGTCAGTCAATTGTAACGAATGATCTTTTTTTCTCACGTAGTAGTTGTGTGTTGTAGTATTAATCGATAGAACAGCACACGTTCTTTCTACTTAGAAAGATCATGCTACTCTTTTCCTCAACGATCGGGGTACAGCATTACCCACATTAAGAAAAGTAACTAAGATAGAGCGTCTCTTTACAGTCTGCAAGTAATAGGGATACTTTGTTACAATACCCAGGATTATATGTGTATTGGGTGTCATGCTTGTTACACTAAACTGCCAAAATGATCTGTGCTTCTTTCATCATCACACAGCATGAAGGCACAGGGACAGACAGACAGACAGGCCCGATGATTTATTACCCATTGAAGCAATAAGAAATGGTGTGTGCAAACTCTTATGATCAAATCTGTCAGGGCAATGTTGTCACTGTACATGAGCACTTTAAGCTTTGGTTCACAGAAAATAGAAGGGTCACATGATGAATGGTCGTCAGTGCATAATGAGACACTACCTTACGACGATCAATGTGATAATCCGTGTAGTACTACGGCGCTTTATATGTTGAAATACAATGTCCCATACGTACCCTGTTTTTGCTAAATATCTCAGATGAATGGGTCCTTTGCAGATACTTTAACATACTTGATTATTCTGGGCCGAATTCTGCGAGAAAAATGCGCGTGCAACGATGACAGCACGTAATTCGGTCGCAGTTAGCTACACATATATTTTCTTGGAGTAACTATAATCACAGGCGAATGATTATGGCGTCACTTTAAGATAATGATACAGAATGTAGGTTATATAGAGTTTACGCGACGGCAATATTGAGCATTTACTGAGAGGGGCAGTAGCAACGTTCGTTCAGCCACAAAATGCGTTTATCTTATTTAAGGCATACCATTGAGGGTGGTAATAAATATCACACCACCTAAACCATATGTTATTAATCGTGACATGAATACATAAATTTTAAGTATACAGCTTTATTGTTTGCTTTTATACATATCATATCTTGTTGCCAATCAATAACAATAAAAACGTATGGTATGCGCTGTCGCACGAGGGCTATATTACTGTTGCTGCTGTTAGGTAGAAACATTATGCAAACCCTTTTCAGCATTTTCCCAGTTTTTATATGTCGAATGTTATTGTTATTGCTCCTTCGGTAACAGTTAATGGGTTATTTGTCCGCTTACGAGGTACAGCAACAACAATGGCTTTCTCTTTGTGTGCCGGTATTACAGGGTAAAAATTTCCGGATACTGGCGAGGTGCTGGATAATTTCATTGAGAACTGCTGACCCCGTTATTTTTCTAGTTTGTTCTCTAAAACAAAAAGAAGGGAACAAGAGTTTTTCATATCTTACCTCTCTCTCTCTCTCTCTCTGTTGTAAAATGTATGCATAATGACAGTCAATGCTTACCCCGATCACTATTTGCATCATTCCCCACAACAGCCTTCTCAAGCGAAGAAGAAAAAGAAAGAACACCAGATCGCATCTCCTGATACATCATCAATGACCACCACGACCACCGACAATAGTCCTCGAGAAGCTGCTTCTTGTTCCCAACTTGCGGAGCATATCAAAGCTAATCACTATAATCCTTCACTTTTGGCATCCTCTTCACCGTTCTTGTCAGCTTTATTACGAGACATGTCGGCATCATCAACAACAACAGCACAAAAGCGACTATCAACATCATCGTCATCGCCCACCGTGTCCTCAAGTCGGACCATCTCATCTTTGACATTAACGCATCAACCATCACCGTCATCAAGTCAAAAAGAAGGCGACACTGCTGGTTGTTATAATTACGATGGCAATATAAGCGAGCATCATGATTGCCGCAGTAGTCAGCAACAACACCGAATAGCAGCAGTAAACAGCGTCGTCGATGACCGAGTATCGATCGAACAACTCCAACGAGTAGTCGAAAAACAAGAGCGAGAAATTGCACTACTTAAATCACGCCTTGCCTTTGCAAATCAAATACTCCAAGATGCAAACGCCAAGGCAGACAAGGCAATCCAAGCACGACGTCAGACTGAAAACGAGCTTGAAGAATTATCGGCACAACTTTTTGAGCAAGCGAACGAAATGGTAGCCAAGGAACGGCGTGCTGCCAAGGAACAAAAGGACTCGGCTAATCATGAATTAGAGCATGTACGGCAACTTTTGGATCGCGAGCGCTCGCTACGACGGCACTTGGTCTATCATAGCAGTGACACAAAAACAACGCTATCGTCGTCCTCTTCAGCAAATGAAGACAATGTGGATCACTATAGTAACGATGGTGATGCTTCGATGATTCAACCACTGATGGATACACACGGTCTTGCTCAATTCCGAGATTTTGTCCAGCGCGTCCGTTGCGTGTCTATAGATCACGTGCACCGACTACCCTTTGTCAAACAGTGTCTTGAGCATGATGTCTATCCATGCGTACAACGAATGAAAAAGCTATCGACTCGTAAACTGCTCAATTCACTTGTACGGCGGCCTTGTCGTGTTGTCAACAACAGCATCAAACCAGAAACTACAGTAATAACAACATCGACATCGTCACCATGCTGTTTCGGATGTGGTACACCTTTCCAGCGTCGTTCTCGGTCTCATCACCAGGAAGAAGAGTTCTTCCTATTCCGGCTAAACGACAATGATTCCAAATCACCATGGCACCGAATCGATCGTCCGTGCAAAGAGCGCCTGGTAGCTGTATCGAATTTTTACGAGTTTGTTCGTCATTTGCATCTGGGCCTTCAAGGTCAACAACGTTCCATTGAAAGCTTATTCCATGAAATGGTCTGGTTGCGACTGTACATGTTTTGGGCGCGCTCTGGCATAATTGCTATCAATAATAGCAGCAGCAGCACTGACAACGACAACGACAGTATTTCAGTAGAGTCTACTAATTTAGTCACGATATCCAAATTATTTGATGCACGTTGTTCGTACCATTTTTGATCATACGACCCTCCTCCAAAGCATGCCTGTAACTCTGCTACTAGTTCTTTCCATTTTTCTCACCCTGTACATACAAAATGTTTTTCCATACAGATATTACATTCTTCTTTTACACCTGTCAACTTCTCTTTCTCTTCCCATCTTGCAGTGTACTGTCTACTATCACGCCTAATGAATGAAACAGTTCTCCTTTTGATAATATTGTAGTAGAAAACACAAAAACTGATATTTCTGCACATACCCAATCATCGCAGTAGCTAGATCAGAAAATACTTTACTCTTTACTTGGCAGATTATTAAAAATATACATTCTATTACAACTGAGCAACAACAACGACAGAAAAGAGAAAGAGGAACAGAAACATGGAAAGGATATGATGGGCATTACACGGTTTCATCCCTTTTGTTAAAAGTTTTAACAAAGAGTGTTGCTATGTAGCTAGTGTTCGTTACAGATACCATCAGCTACCAAAGTGGTTGGTGATTGATTGCAGCATGCTTTGAACCTATCTTCGGCGTTTCCATTACTTGCTTTAAGATTGCAATAAACTCCTTTCATTGTTCCATGGTCGGTTTTGCAGCACTCGTAAGTGTTGGTTATTACGAGGGGAATATCTCTCAAACACCGGCAATTTGAGACGGCCCGTGCAGTCTTGTGTGAGACGAAAAACATCAGCATCACCGATAACAGTGGTAACGTTATTAATCCGATAGGCGACTTCATGGCTGATGGAAATATGATGCGTGAAAAGGTGAATTCTTGGCTGTAGTAGAATTTAAAAAGAATTATGATCGACGAGAGAATAGAGGAAAGGCAAGACATGGTCCAATTTATACTGAAAGCGAATCAACTTCAGATTAAGGAGAAGGTCGTGGCCCTTTGTCAATAACAGTAGTGCACATTACCGGCAAAATGTACACTCGAAGCTCAATGTGCTTTGTATCTATCTTTATTCTCATCGTAGTTAGGAGTAGCAGCAACAGCTTGCTGTATGGTTTAATAACAAGCTCCTTAAAGGGAGAGAATGGCAGGAAGAGAGAGTAAGAGAGAAAAGGGGTTCAATGAGTGTAATTTAGTTCCTACTACTGCTCTACTGCTACTACGTATATGCTGTGTTTTCTCCCCAAACGTCGGATACACATGTATATCTAAGATGTTGTCACTGCCGATCGTCATACAATGGGGGTATACATATATTATCATCAACAACACCTGGGAGGTGACTGACACAATCTAATGCTTGGATGCATTCTTTACTTGAGCAAAAGAAAGAAAGCATCAATTTTTTTTATTGTTTTCGGCTATACTTATAATGCTATACTTTTGGTCCTTCCCTGACATATCGATATGCAAGATTGATATCTCCACTTGTCTTCATTATATGTTGTTTGATTGCAGCTAGTGTCATTGTAGGTGCCAACACAGTATCGCAGCATAGCAGTTCGATTTGTTCTAGCGGTTCTGTCGATGATAATTCTAGTTTCTCGGCAACATATTGTACAAGTTTTCGCACTCTTAGTACTCTATTCGCTAATAAGCGATTGTTTGGTCTAGAAATGCACAAAACACAGGATTTTTACAAGTTTCAGTATATATAAAGAAATTACATATAATTTCCCCATTCTTTTTTTCTTACCCGCCGGGCAGGTCTGCCAGTTTGGATCCAGTGTATGGCTTCAGTGAAAACGTCAACTTGACAGTATCCTTGATCGGCACCTTGTTCTGATAGTTTAAGAATAATCACATTAGTTTTGAAGCATTTCCTGCATAGCAAAAGATGTTGAGCTTTAGAAGTTTAGTATAGGAAAAAAAACCCACATGATATAGGTAATCAAGCAGCCATGATGGAGCAGAACGTGCTATTACTTCTGCATCCACTCCTGCAGAACCGACTGTGCCACGATACAAATCCATGCCAGTCGATGCCTCTGCGCTTTCTTCGGCAATGATGATTGTCGTGGAGCGAGGAATAGGTAAAGGAGGAAAATCACTCAATGAAGGAGGAGTGTATGAGCTTTTTCCATTTTCATCTGTCTGCTTATTATACGTCTTAGAAACCTTCCCTGCTCCTGTTGTCGCTGATGATGATGATGCTCCACCCACTGAATCGTCTTCATTGGAATGTTGATGGTTTGGTATCTCGTGGTGGTTGGATGTCGACGACTTTTCACCATCATCGTGTGAAGCTTCATCTCCGGAAGACGGCCTTGATATCTTTGCTTTTACTGATAGATGCTTTAGCCTATTGATAAAGTTCGAGCTTGTCGGTGATGTGGGTGATGTGGGTGTGTGCGACAGTGCAGCGGGTGGGGGAGGCTGTACAGGTGAGTGTGGGGGTTGATGATGGTGATGATCACCCGCTGGTGCTGCTGTTGCTGTTGTTTGATGATGCGCTCCCGAGAAATAATCGTGCTGTGAATTAGTGGTAGGCGGTGCTGTAAATGGACCTTTATATAAATTGGTACTAGGTGAGCCTGGAGAATTTGGATGGAAAGGCGAACTATCTATGTTGGTAGTGATGGCGGTCAGTGGTGGTTTAGGAATATTACGATCAGGAGGAGATCTCCTGGCAGTAGCAGCAGCCTTTGCTGGTTGTTGTTGTTGCTGTTGCTGTTGTGGAGTTTCTACAGGACGAATGCTTTGTGATATAGGTGTGTCCAGAGCTTCATACTGGATTTTCTGTTCTTCTTTTTCGTGAAGCTCTGCTGCTCTTCCAAGAAACTCGGCAAATAGATGAACCAGCACCCATTTACCAAGATTAACTATAAATAAAAAAAATCAGTCATCGATGTTATTAACCACTTGCTCTCACTTGCATGAAAACTTACTCCTTTGATCCTCACGAACTTCATAAAACACTGGCAATTCTATCTCATCGGCGTACATTTCACAGTCAAAAAAAGTATATCCATCCAATTGCACCGTAATCGCCTACATGTACATAAGAATCCATATGTACAAACACATTAAAATATGCTCGTGAAACCATAATCCCTCTTTTTAAAACTTACACCAATCTTTGTATCCACAGTGCACCAAGCGGGAAAACTGTCCATCTTGGCCATATCTTGAGCAACTGAATCCAATTCCCGTTGTCCGAATTTTTTGACTTGTGCACACTATAGTTATAAAGGATTGGAATTAATTGATATAGAAAAAAGAGTTTGGTGCTTTTTAAAAAATGTACCTTTACAACATCCCAAAGTGAAACTTCGCCATTCGTGTCTTTCGTGAGGATATGCCGCCTGTTCTGTAGTACCAGATGGGTTGAGATACCAGGTTTTCCTTCAATTACACAATCAGGCGCACTTCTTAATGGCTGTATCGATTCATCGGATGCCTCATCGTCTTCGTGATAACTGATAGGGATCGACATAACGGATCGCGCATATAAGGTAAGGTTGTCGCTTCCTAAGAAAGGCTCTGCATATTGAGAATGGAAGCCTGGCATTGGAGGAGGTAGTTTCGCAGAGGCTGACAGCGGGATCTCTGCATTGTATGCAGAACGGGTCAACAGCTGTCTTGATCCTCGGGACGGAATTGAGAGCTGTTTAGAAGGTTATTCTTTAGCATAGATCTGTACAACCTCCTTATCACTAAATTTTCAGTTCATTAAGCATAGAAAATGTCTTTACCCAACGATTAATATCAGAGCTCGATGTCGCTGTCCATACATAGGTATCGTTGAACACTGCAATCTATTTTATATCGTTAATTAGAGACTCTAACTATCAGCCAAATACAAATTACTCACCTTTGCTACGCCAGATTTTTCCTTGAACAATCCAATACACTCGCTTTCATCAGGCGTATCCATATCACCATGACCAGATACTTCGGTTCTAGTAACCAAACCATCCCGCGAACCGGCATAAAAGGTACGCAATTCTGGATCATCTGAAAACAATGACCAGACAGAGTCGTTGTGAGTTTCGTATGTTGCCAAGCATCGCTGTGCTCGAGCAGACCAAAGCTTAATTGTGGAATCTGATGAACCAGATAAAATCTGCTTTGAGAATCAGTTACAGTTACAAGAGAGAGGAATGATAATACGAGAGAAAAAAAATGAATGTATCATTACAGTGAACTTCAACACTTACATGGGTACCGTCATGGCTTATCAAAAGAGCACGAATGTTATCCGTATGCCCCGTCAGTTTTCCGATTTGTTTAGCAGATCGAGGATCCCATAAGCGCACCACCTACGATAACAGTAGGAAAGAAGGATTGAGCTTTTGCACAGATGATTCGGTATAATCGGACATTCCAGCAAAGATATGAATGCCCAGATCGTACTTTACCTTATCTGGTGATCCCGTTGCCATCATCGTTCCCGAAGGATTGACAGCCATTGCATAAATAGAGGCCTTGGTAGCAGCATGACCAACTAAAAAACAATGTCAGACCTTCTTTCTTGATTTCGTTCCATAGCACAGAAAGAAGAAAGCGACCATGTCTCCCTTCCACCTTTTTCTTTGTTTTTGAGCTTACTTGTCGCTGCTTCATCGAGTGGGTCGTTACGGGCATGGGCAGTCAATGTTGCCTGGCAACGCTCAATATCCCAGATGTTGATTTTTTTATCCAATCCACCGCTGGCAACCCATCCAGCCTTCTGTGCCGATGCTAGGGATTTGACATAGTCTGTGTGCCACCCAATCGTGCGCGCATTGTTGAAAGTGCCGTTTTCGCGAGTGCTCCAGAGTTTGACGGTACGATCGGAAGATGCCGAGACAACTGAAATATCACATAGTAAGTATAAAGACTATTCTAATGCAAGAATTTTGGCTTATTAACACAGCTTCTTATTTAAACAAACATACCGAGCCTCCCACTGTCGCAAAGGGCAATATCATTCACCCAGTCCGTATGCATTTGTGAGAACGCTCTGCAAGTAGCTTTGGGTGCTGGTTGCTATACGAATTCATGTTTATGTGTAAATCGTCATGTACATACACACAGGAACTGATTAATAAAACAATCAAGGTTGGAAGGCGAGGGTTTCGTATGTGTAGCTACCATCACAAATTCAAAAGAAGAAACGATGCGCAACCTGAAATCCTTGATCGAACACCCATTCGTCTTTGCCAGAATCAGGCGTCGTATTCGAGCCATTTATAACATCGTGTGAACCGTCATGTTCAAGTTGCTGTTGTCGCTCATACTCTAGATGCAGGTCCCAACTCGCCACAACACCGTCTCTGCCAGCAGAGTAGAGAATTCCTCCAGTAGCTGCATCTCCATCAATGGTTTCTAGTTGGACACTGGGATCAATGGCTAGTGAATTGACGCCAAGACGGTGTGCTCGTTCCTCATCGCTTCCTTCTACAACATAGGATACGCTTCGTCGCGCCGGCGCCTTCATATTTTATTTCGAGAAAAGAAGAGCAATTGAAGGAGGAGAGGAGGAGGAGAAGAAGGAAGCGGCCAGGAAGGGGGAGAAAGAAAATAAGCTATCTGGCCGAGAAAGAAGGAAAGAGAAAAAGAGAACGATAAAGCGTTTATGTAAAACGTTGAAATGACGGTACGACTTCACCCCCACGTGCCACAAATTTGGCCTTTACCCCGACAGGCTTTGCTTTGCCCACGGTTCTTATTTGGTGTCTAGCAGAAATAGCCTCAGGACCCGACCTTACTAATGCAATTGTTTTGTTTTCCATTTCATCCGAGCATAGCTAAATACCTATTTCCATCTTTGCCCATGCCGTTCCTTGGAGATGGCCGGAAGTTATAGTTGGATATGAATCAGCTGTATTGATCACAAGCCTACAAGGGCATTTAGCTATACTGCTATAGTATGTAGAAAGTAGCAGTAGCACACTCGCTGTGTATGTCATAGTGTGTGTGATGATAGCTTGCTTATAAACATTTGGTGCCAGTTAGTATCCCAAGAGTCTAGCAGTAAAGAATTATGCCTGATTCTAGTCTTTTCTTTTCAGACTTCGCTATCGCTCGGATTTAATTGTGATGGTCACGAGGATGTTAAGCAGCAGCGCCGCGTTTTTCACTTCCCTAGCACATCTTTCTCCAGGTAATAAGGATAGTGCTATCGTAGCCATCCATTTTTTTATAGAAGAACTCACCCTATCTTTGAAAATACATATATATAATATAAGAAGCTTGCAGCGATCGAGGCTGTGGCGCTTGACCAGCTTCATTTAGCAACAACAACAATTGATAGTGACGATGGCATTAAATTCTTTGGGACTAGAAAGTAGCTAGTTACAGCATCAGTGATTGTGAAAATGATGCATTTGCTGTCTCTTAAGCTCTCATATTTTGCTATGCAAAGGAAGAAACTTTCTAAAACAACAATCCAATGACGAGAACACGGTGTCGCTTTGCCATAGTGTCACCTGCTTTCTGCAACGGCCCAATACAGTTGTTTCATAACAGCGCTCAAATCTTTTGCCATGCAATCCAACGAAAACACTTTAATGATATTTATATTGTCAAAGCTGCATTACATATCTACCTTTTTTGCTTGACTTTATATAGATAAGTCACAGTTTGTTGCTATTGTCATTGCCATTCACTTTTAAGCCAACAACAGAACTAGAATTTAAAAAAAATGTTGATTATAGCGTGATACTGAGCAAGATAGTGATGGTACCGTTTGATACATCGTGACGAACATTACAAAGCGCTCCTTAGGTATGAAAAGGAATATATAGCTGGGGGCATACAAGGTTTTTATATGGTGGTATGTAAAATGAAGAAGGGGAGAAACTACAGATATTCTGTTATATGCTGGTTGAAGCTCTGTCCTGGCCCCGTTAACGACCGCGACCACTGCAGTTACTTGCTCGACAGTACTTGTGAATGCTTCTACGTGTTGGCGATATGTATATTAACGCTCGCGCAGGGACTCTAATCCTTTTTCGGTTTTTTTCTTGCTTGCCTCGGATCGTTCGCAAAATAATCGTCGAGGTCCATGTCCAGACTTCTCTGTTCCTCTTCTATGGATTTTCGGCGCCATCGATCAGTTCTTTTTTTTGCTCCTGTCTACGACGGTTTCTTTCAGACAAGCAACTACAGCAAAGTCTTTGATTCCTGCTCCTCTCGTTCTTATTGTTGTTTCTTCTATCTCCATAGATGATCACTGTCTTTGCACGTATTAGCTGAATGCTCGTCATGTTGGGAGAGCTGATGTTCAAGAGAGAAAACATATAAAATAGTGAAACTTGTAGTTTTTATATGGTTATCACCTATTCATGTGATCATATGTTAGATATTTTGCAAACAAATAAAACTACTTTTTTACTCGAACAAGTTGCTGAACAAGTTGCTGATCTATCAAGTAATAAATGTTCACATCCTACACAAAACAAAAACCGGACAGCGTAGCACAAATTAACAGTAGCAAAACAGTACGCACAGGACATTCAGGTTTGGCTTCATATACCATTTAATATTGCTGACATACGCCCCACGACAATGAGTTTTAAACGTAAAATTTGACCACCACCATTTATTGTGTATACGACAGCAGAACTAAATGACAAGTATGCATGCAGCTGCACTATCCATTTTGGTAGAAGACCCTCATCACATATTTGATCCACGTGCTACACGGCGTCTAAGATAATGGTGCTGCTATCACCGGTGCATCATTGGGGTTGTGTATATTTTCTTTCATTTACATAGGATAGCGGCATAGATGGTGTATATTGTTATAGAATGAATGACTACTAGTTCTAGTTCTTCATATGCCATGAATCATCACTTGCATACAAATTATCTCACATACTAGTGTTTATCGTTCAGCATGCATGTAGTAAGTTTTAAAGTTTATTATAAAACTTATTGTTGGTTGTAAATGGGGGATGTGTGTAATAAACGTGGGTTGTTAATAGGTAAAAGAAAAAGTAATCAAATCATAGCAAAATAAAAGACAGTGTGAAATACAGCAAGAGACAAATATGATATGCTTTCTATTGAGGGAGTTCACAAAACCTTTACTTATTGTTTGGGATGCTGTCTACACTTTTTTCCGTCAAAACTGATGGACGAATCGAAGACATGTCGGATATTGGCTCTTGCTATGATGAGAAGGATGAGAAGACGGATTTTCTGGGTGCTATGAAATGATGAATATTGTGTTCCGAGTGTAAAGAGTATCTTGCTTTGTCTTAACCGGTGTGTTCGTTGTTGCAGCGCCCTCCCCTTGGTCTGTGCTAGAGATACATGCGCTTTGAAAGGTGACAACTGAGTCAGCTCAGATATGTAGATCGAGAGAAAACGTTGACTAACCACAAGAATACCACATTATGTGTACAATGGCTGGTTCTGAGTTATTCTCAAGTGCTAATTATGATTTATTTATATTGTTTCACCGTGTATGGTGGTGTTCCCTCCTCTACTGTATCAATATAATAGCTACAACAACAAAGACGGCGGAATGGGCTGAGTTGTCCGGACCAATCCCAAGCCCTCGCACAAAGGCCAAAGGAGGCTACAATACAGTCATGATAGATATAGTCATGAACAAAACAGAAAACACAACAATGTATTATAGTCATATTCATCCTACTCTGCAAGTCAGGATTAACACAGGTTGTTTCTGCGATCCTTTGCGATCACGGTGCTGCTCTTGTAGTGCTGTTCTGAATTTTGCGGCTGTCCTCGCACTTGCTGTTAGTACTGATACTGGTCGACGTTCCCTCGATTTGAAATCCGATACTTTGGTCATTTCTGTAAAACACGCCTGAATAAGTAGAGACTTCGTTTTGTAGACTTCAAAAACCGGGCTTTTACCAAAGTCAAGTACAGGTACTAAAAAATTGAACAGAAAGGAAGATAGCATAAGATATACATATATATGTGGTCTATCCAACATGATCAATAATATATATTCTTTAATGGGTTTTAACGATTGCTGTTATTTCCCTCATAACCTCACTTGTGCGGACATTTCTTCATTCATACACATCTTGGTGAAACACATATCAGCTATACTCAGGAAGAAGTTGTCATTATTTGTATCCCGTAATTTACATTAGCTACTATCTGAGACATTTACCCGGATGTACCTTTTACTCACGCATCATACATTACTTAATCCTATATGATTAGTTTATTACATTAATTCATCTGTTCAACGCACACGCTGTGGTAGTTGCCAAGGATAAGCCATTTCTTATTAATAGTGAGAACTTTTGTTATCATAATAAACCAGTTTTAATTCCTTTCGGGTCTCGTTGACTTATTCTATCTCTTTTGGTTTAATGGATATTACAATATGATCAGTTTTATGTCTAAACATTTTTTTAGGGAATGTTATACACGGTTATTGTTTAGTATGAGTTATTATTTTACTGATGATCTGGTAAGGAGACTTGAAGTCTTGGAGTGCCTCTGGCTCACAGTAGTACATGCTGCCTGCTTAGCAACATTCGGATATCCAAGGAGGCAAGGAGACAATCAAGAAGCTAAAGCTTCTGGGTTCTTGGTTATCATAAAAAGATTCACTTTTCTCCTTTGCTCTCCCAGGCAAGTTCCGTCCCCTTTTGTTCTCTTGTCTTACCACTCCCTTTTCTTTTCTTTACCGGTTTCCCACCGATCTCTTTTTTATGATAGTTACACATTATATAACTTACCATTTTTCTTTAACAGAAACATATAAAGCTGTTGTTGAAAACGACAGTTTTCTCGTTTCTCCATTTACAATTGTTCTTTCACAATTAATGCTCCCACTTGCAGTGACATTGTAATTCTGTGCTCAGTTCTCGATTTTAAGCAAAGAGAACTGAGACGACTCTGGTTCGGTTCTTTTATAGAGCTGGCCCATCTAGAACTGACCTGACCCAACTTTGTCTAAGTTGCTCGGTTCTCAGTTCTCATAAAGATCATATTCTTGATACATGAATATATCCATGCCTATTACTACTTATTCTACATAATACGGATGACCGCAAGTCATCCTATCATCTGAACCATGCGTTGTCGATCGTCAACTATGCAGGTTGGATATCGTCATAACGGTATGCACCATTACACTTGACCTGACCCAACCTGACCTTCGACAACTACTACTTTATACATTAAAGCTTTCTTATCACTGTTATGAACATTCCTCGACCGTACTAAGTAGGGATCCGCACGGTTCGGTTTGGTTCGGTTCTTGATTCAAAGCAAGAACCGAACCAACTAGAACCGACGAGAACCGTAGAACCGAACCTGTCATGTATATTAAAAAAGGCAAAATCCGGTATCTTTGAATGAAAGCTGATGTGTGCGTGCTCAAATATCGCGGTATACTTGAATACTGCAATAAAAAAGAATAGTTTATTATTGTACATTGAACAGCGATCTCAAAATGAATAAGAGAAACAGAATGTAAACATTTTTAATACGATGTGGGTCATTGCATGGTTAAAAGATTAAAGCACAGTTTTTACAAAAAAAAAAGTAGAGCTTATAGTACTTAGAGCGACGTAGTATTACTAGTACAATATGTTATCGTAACATTGGAGGAATCAAACCACAACTGGCAGTATACACAGCTACTGTGTCTCTACGCGTGTATAGTGTTTCATAAAAGGCAAAGGGTGAATGAGTAAGATAGTTCTGTTATGGGCCCCAGGATGCACAATCTCAGATAGAATGCACAAACTTGATAATTCTGATTGAGAAGCTATGCTAAATCTAGTAAAGTAGTACGTCATGGAGAAAAATGCATTGGGGGTAGCAAAGTAGAGGAACAAGTAATGATGCGCGTCATGGGCGGAGAAAGCAAGCTGCTGTCAGAAGAAGTCTTTTTTTATTTATTTTTTCTCTTCTCTTCTTTACTATTTTTCCCTCCCTTCTGCTTTTGCATGTTTTGTTAAGTTTTTATATATAGTACGGCTTGCAAATACACTACTTCTTGATCTTTTCGGAATAACATTGTTCGTCACTTCCATCATAGCCTACTCTATACTAATTACCAAAATCGCTAAATGCAATCTTCTGCCTCTCGGTTCTTCAGTTCTACTTATACAGAACCGGTTCGGTTCTGCGTCGGTTCCGGTTCTACGGTTCTGATACGGATCCCTAATCTTATTCCTTATTCTTCCCTCATCATATGGTCTCCTACCTCCAGTGTTTCTTCTTGTCTTGTCCTGTTCTTGCTGAAAGCACCTAGCACATTCTCGTCTGCTCTTTCTGTTCTCATCTTATCCTCTTGTTCCTATCTATACCTTACAATTACTTAGGAATTATATTTAAAAATATACAAAATTTAATAAGAGCTAATCTCCCTTATATGTAGACCTCACTTAACAAACTTAAAAGATAGAATAAATATAATACTATACTAAGATATATAGTCTTACTTGTATTTAGGCATATAAATTAGGATAGTAATATATATATAAATAATATTATTTATTATTATTATTCTATATTATTTCACAAATATAATGTGTCTTATTGTTTAACAGCGGTGCTAAACCATCTAGCCCGGTTAGCTCAGTCGGTAGAGCGTTCGGCTTTTAACCGAAATGTCGGGGGTTCGAGACCCCCACTGGGCGATCAATCTTGATAACTCAAGATTGACGCACCCCCTTTTTTTGTTTTTGTCTTTCTTTTTATGTTGCTTACTCGTTCGTCGTCGTTGATGATCATGTATCATATTCGCCTTCACAGCCGCACAGCAGATAGACTCGCCGTTATTTCTTAGTTTTGTTCTTACTCGTTGGGTGAAACTCAAATTTTAACCTGTCATAAACATAACGAGGACCAACAGAAAAAACCAATTTATAGCATATGTATCTCCTCTAGGATCAAATTCATTCGTAGCATCACATTAATGCCAATGTATGCTGTATATTGTGTGAGATAACAGAATCCCTTTGACCACATATTGCTACTCAGCACGGGTATTATCTTCAGCTTCACTACATGCTTCTTTGTTATCAGGTATAGAACACCTTCAAATAGGTTGTTAAAGGCCACCAAGTATACTTATGGTTGTGATGACTGATTTCACTATTAATGTCATTTCAAAAGTACAGTAGGTACAGTGATACGAAGAGTGATGACCTATTCATCGGATGCACCGATAGTGAGGGCAATAATCTAAAGTCACAGACATTCTGTGAAAAAACAAAAGCAAAAGCAGCAAGAAGGCTTGTAACCTAAGGACATACGTGTAATACTGTGAGTATGAGACATCTGTTGATGTAGCCAACTTGTCGAGGAGCAGCTTTAAGCGTACTACTGCCACTTTGGCCTTGGGTGAGATAAAATCAGTGAAAAATAACCACTGCGTTATATGTAGGGCTACAGAACGAGACAGAGGTAAGATCAATAAAGCAAAAATGTAGCATCAGTGGCCAAGGTCTTGTTACCGTGCATCAGCATCAACCTTCGTCTTTATTTATTGCGCTTGGATACCCCAATTGCTCGACAAACCAGTATCATGTCCTCATTAGAGAAAATGATTTTGGAGAGAATAAAAGCGCTACTTGGCAGTTTGTTTCCTTCGTGTCTCCTTTTTGAAAAAAATAAAGACTCGATTATAATTGCTAGCATTTATGTGTATGAGGCCATATGATATGGTCTTTTATTAGATTGTTTATTAGAATGCAGTAGTTTTGTAAGTGAGAGAATGCCGGTAAATGAAAGAATTAAGGTATGCTTGAAGACAAATGAGAGTAAGTGTTTGTGCGTGGAAAGGTAATAGAAGTAAGTATGTGAGAGTGTGGTGGTGTGTAATTTCTTTTTGATTGTGGAATTTGCTGCTGGATTGTGTGCATAATTTAAGTAAGATAATGAAAGTGAGCGAGTGAGTGCTGCTTTGGAAGGAAAGGGCAAAAGTAGACAGTGAGAGACAGAGTTTTGACAAACAATGAGGCTGAAGGGGGGGAAAGAAGACGATAGCGTGCGGCACATAAGAAAAAGAAAAGGTCATTTGGCTGTAGAAGCCACCGGAGGAGCGGCCTGATCATCGTTTACTTTCCAGATCCACCATGGGCCACCATACTGTTCGTCTCCCCAGCGGCCACATAAGCCCATCGGCAGAATAAAGCGCCCAGCATATTCCCAAGTTTCGTCGGAATCCAAGTAAGTTTTCTCCCATGTTACTTGGCCGTCTTCTGTATCATCAATCAGGCCGCTAACATGGAAAGCACCAAGATTATCGATACCATTGCCCTCAAATCGCGTGAGCGGACATGTACGTAAATGACAGGATGGGAAGCTAGCCTTTGTGTTGGGTTCATTAGCGTGGTTGTTGTGGTGCCATGGTGATAGTGCTTCGTCTTCAAGAGGGACGATTCGTAGTGTTAGTCGCATAGGGCCATCGAACCAGTCCGAGGCTGTGCTAGGTGTTGCTGTTGACGCCGCTGTCATTGGTAATTGATGATGCTGTGGTGGCGGTTGGTTTCCGTTGTTATCAATGTTACGATTCCGGTTGTTATTGTCGTATTCACGGTTGTCATCATCTTCGTCATCATCGCCATCGTCGTCGATATCCAGGAACGAGTAATAGCCCATCCATTCGCCTTCAATTAAATGTGCTTCGCTGACATAATGGGTAGATGAAGCGAATCCGGTCGAGCTGAAAATGTTTTCTCTCCGTTCGGATGATGACGATTCTGCGGTGGTCGTTGTAATTGCTGTTGTTTCTGCTTTGTGTTGTTGCTTTTCGTGCCAAGCATCACGGGACTCTCGTAGACTAGCCAGAAAGAGTTCACGTTCATAGCGGCGTAAAAACTCGACGTCAAACATTGTAGAGTTTAGCGGAAATAGGGGAATTGGGGAGCAATTGGGAATGTCTTGATAAGGGGCTGGGTGACATGCAAAGACCGTTGTAAAAAATAGATGGAATGCTGATGTGAGAGGATCTTGAGCTGGATAAAATGCACCAGGAGGAGGAAGAATAGATAAAACAGCGTCGTGCTCGCCATGATCACCGTCGTCTTCATTGTCATGTGTGTTCCATTTAGTATGATGGCTGATGATACCATTGTCATGTTGTTGTTGTTGTCGCTGTTGCCTGTCCAGCTCAGAATGGAACAGACGCGGGGACATGTGCTTTGTAATTAAAGCATCGGCTTCAAAGTCATAGGCAAACTGACTCAGTTCCTGTGACACTATGTGCGGTGATACTTCAGATGTAAAGAATCGCGTAACCGTAAAGTCTATAAAATCACGAGGTCAGCTTGAGCCAAATTTTTGGAGAAATGGTACTTGCCATAATTGACCAGCAGCGACAAAATAGGCAGGACCACAGGGTAGACTTCTCGATCACGATAGGCGCCCAATTGAAACGCAGCACCAGCTAGTAAATGCACTTGGTGGTTTAGAAGCAGCGGAACGTTAAGCTCGTCTAATTGAAGAACGAATAAAAGAGGGTTAGAGTACCAACAAGCCATTGATTGATCAGTATTTGTGGATACACGGATGTGTCTACGCTTGTGTGTGTGAAATACGAAAAACCATTCGACCACCCGGTTTTGGGGAATCGTACCATGCTCGGTGACCATGCACCAGATCGTTTTCCAGTCGATGTTACCCAGCAGTCGACCAGTGAGGTCTCGTGCTACCGCTGCTGTCTGTAGTCGGTGTTGATGTTGCTGCTGCGCTATGAGCAGTCTATCAGCAACACGACGACAAGTCGCAAGCGTCTTGTACCTCTGTTCAAACGCACGTTGCCAATCGAGATCATGCTGTAGTTGCCGACGATATATTGCTTGTGTATCGAAACGAGCCGCAAATGCTCTCGGCCATAGAATAGCCTGGCGCCATGGATCTTTGTGAATCAGATGATGCAGGTAGCGACAGGTCTTTGAAAGTTCTAGCAAAGAAATGGGGTATATCTCATTGGGCGACACTGCGACATTGGAGACAATTTCGAGCAGCAGTTCTTTGGGTAAGTCCAAGAGTCGATGTCGCTGTTGCTGAGCATATGCGTTGTTGAATTTCGGTGGTGACGGCTGTGCCAGCCACATGCAGCCGTTTGGCATATTTACGGGATGATTTGGAAGAAGAGTATGTTTGAGCGAAGAAGGAAGGGCTAGGGGCGGAAGAGAGAAAAGTAGAGGAAAGGGGGAGAGGAAGTGAGAAAAAAGAGAACCGCAAAAAAAAAGAGTGAAAATGGTCTAGAATGTTAGGCAAAAACCCTTTGCTGGAAGCTTACCAGATTTGGATCTCTCTACGCCAGCCCGACAATAAGCTTTTGAAATGCAATTGGGACTAGCTCCCTCCTGCAGCGAGAGCCGCAATTTATTCTCATGAAAATAATCTACGATCATCGTCTACTTTGGTGGCAAATGGTTTCGATTATCATTAACACACACAAATCACCCTCTTCGTCTACGCCTCGTCCTTGGCATCACCACTTCTTGCGACAGGGAAAGAGAGGGATTGAAAGGTGAGAAAAAAAAAAGGGTTGGGTGCTGTCATGAGACGACGGTTAAGCTGTCATTTTTCTTCACCTTGCACTCAGCATCTTCTCTCTCCGGTACCCCTCCTTCTGTCGCTTTCTTTCTCCTCATTGTTTTCTACGGCGACGTGGTCCAATAACTCCGCAGCTCAAGTTGCTCGGCCCACCTTGGGAAACCAGCACCAAACTCGCGTTGATGCGCTGATGCGCTCCGCACATATACCATTAGCCTCGTCTATTATGCACTAATGTAATTTGATGTGCAGGATAGTTTGTCTTGCCTGTTGCTTCATGCTGGCACGGCTAGCACTATCCCTTCCAAAAGTGTATGTACACTAAAAGGTGCACTTGGAAAAAATAAAGCTCGTACATAAGGGCCGGTGAATTCCGAAGCTGCTTGAGTTGTTGCTAGTACGTGTACTACTGCACTCAAACCATTAGTAGCCTCCAAAAAAAACTTTTTTTTGCTTACTCGGCTGGAAATGAATTATATTTGTTCTTAGTGAATTCCTATTTGCTTGTTCGGTAGAAGCTTTTTCGTTCATGGTCGTACCAATCAAACCATCGATTGTAACCCTATTGCAAAGCAAGAAAAGGCATCCCCATGACTGCCCCGGTTTAACCCAATCTCATCCCTTTCAATTGCTCAAAGTACCACGGAATAAGCTATTACATCATCTTGAGAAGCGAGAGCATATCCATTTTCAACCTTTCTCCTTGTTGTCAGGGGTTACTTGGAGGCAGTGTCAGAGACACCGCACCTGCAGCTAGCACGATTATGACGGTTAATCGAAAGGTCTATTTCGAACCGCGGATACTGTACAATGTACACACCTTAGCAAGAATTTTAGTGTGTACTAAATGCTAAAAGAATGCACCCCCTCTCCTACTCCGAACAACGCACCAGCTTTTCTTCATTCATGGTTGTATTGATGTATATAAAATAATCCCAAGGGAGAGAGTCTGTGTTGGTGTCTGGTCTCGATGCTGCTATGATGATGATGGTCATATTACCCACATAGAAAGATTGCCACTAATGGTGCACTGATGTGGGCATCTGGTTGGTTTCAATCGCGCCTAGCGTCCAATGACACGAACAATCTAAGAATGGGCAAGGCTTGTCATGTGCGCTAGCGAGTGCACTAGGCTGAGAGTCAAGCAGGTTTGCACACAGGTATTGCTACTCTGATGATGATAATGGCATCAGCAGCCTAGAACTCTGAAATCCGGGCTTCATCAAAGTTCAGTCCACTAGATCGGACTCTCTTTCCATTATATCCGCGATAGGAACAATGACATGACTACAGTAGGGACTCTTCAGTATTGCATTTTTATAAATATACTCATGCATTGCCAACAGTAATCAGTAATATAATAAATTTACTGACGACGCATAAATGATACGCATTACACGGAACAAGTATTGCTTTTCCATTAATAGTATATTTTCTCCACAAGGAATCCACCGACGGATTGGACACTGATAGCACAAGCCCAAAGGACCAGACATAAAGCCTGTATACACCCTTCTTTAAGAGAGCCAAGGTGACCGTTGCCGTTGGACCGCATTGCTTTGGAACGACCCGAATTACTCAATCGGATTGCCACACTGTCTGAAGAGGAATGGCCAAGCAAAGGCTGCCGTTGTTCTTTGCATTGCTGATCCTGTGGAAGAATGCATCCCAAACCACAGACATATACATGTATAGATATATATAGTCTTAGCGTGCTTCTGATACTTACTAACAGTGTTATTCCAGCATTACATAAAAATAAACCAAATAACCATACCGACGAAAACCACTGCATCGTCATTTGAAGGTATATTTACAAACGAGGAAGAGAGATAGGACAAGAGAAAACGCGTTAATCCAAATTAGGTGGAAACAACAATCATGTTTATTTATCCTTTTTGTTGCTGCCCTCGCCTTCGTCCTCTTCTTGATCTTCTTTAAAGATCGGCTTTGGTTGTGTCTTTTTATACACTATTAACATAAATTGTATCGGTTGTTAGCTTCTTCTTGCGAATATACTATATAACACATATACATTGCGCGCATCTATATAAAATAAGTTATCACAATGAATATGGAAAACCGATAACTTACTGTTGCTGATCCACATGGGTTCCTCTTCGGCCTGCTTAGCGTATTTCAACAATGCTTCACGAGGATCCTCGTCTCGCGTAGTATCCTTTCCAAAGCCGGCAATAACCGATTGTTGCTCGTTTGTACCGACACGGCCACCTTTTCCGGGACCTTTGACTGGCATATCTATTACATCGTGTCAGGCAAAAAGGATATAGGTGCCTATATTAGCATCGATTCGTCGGCTACGACAAAACCAAGTGGTGAAAGAGAAATTGATGATACCTGGTCGATGGGAAACGACGGGATCTTTTCGAAGCTTTTCTCTCTTTCGCTTTGAGCTTCTTGGTTGATCATCTTTGAACATCGGTAAAGCATGAGGTGTGATAATGGGCCGGTCGATTTCATAGTCATCAACAGCACGTCTTTTTTCCTCGCGAACAACGCACAGTTTGGCACCACGTGTCGAATGGGTTGGACTGTAAAAGACGCCTACAGACCCGTCTGCGCTACCAGTAATGATCTATTGAAATATTAAAAAAAAGCAAGGTGAGACATGGTCCTACCTTGCACACCGACACCAAAGATTCTCTTGCAGACTTTTAACGTCGCTACTATGGTCATTTACCTGATTGATACGAGGGTGCCATAGTACCCGAACGACGCTAGATTGAGTAATACCTACACCAATTGTTCTTTTAGCAACCAGATATTCGCCTCCGCATTGAGAGAAAGGACTTACTCATTGTTCTTTGGACTTCTAATGTTTCTCTATCTAACATTACTAGTTTACCGTAACCTTTGCCCTTGGGAACGGATGTACCTAATAAATTTTCCAAAAGACACTGGTAGGTTAAATCAGGCTACTCATTCCCAAGGTTGTTTAAGTTCTTTACCCGTCAAGATTAATCGTTCATCTGGACTAAATATAACGTTCGCTTCAGGGTTGACTGTATCCAAATTGTACGCCGTTCGCACAGGATTTTTCAGGTTTCGAATGTCCCACACTATCCAAGAGGAAACCAAAACGTCTTAGCTTATAGACTTTCCCATTCAAGTTCGCCGGTATCTCTTCCCTTTCTCTCATACCTTTAACAGAATCATCGCCACCTCGGCTCACCATGGTATGGTTATCTTTGGAAAACAAGAGACACGACGTTTCTGTATACTTTTGATGTGCATCAGTGATTGCGTGGGATGGCCTTAAAAACGGACCATTGGCACCCCACAAATTGATACTGCCGTCTTGGAACGCGCCTGCGATCAGTTTTGCATCGGGACTATATGTTATTGCTGTAGCAGGCGACCGACCACCACGCTCTCGTGATTTGTACACAATCACAGACTTCTGTTTCCGTTTTTGCTCCACATCCCAAAGACGTAAAGATCCATCCTGGGATGACGTAGCAAATGTCTGTTGATCTGTTGGATGCCAGCAACCGTTCGTCAATGCTGCAATATGGCCGTCTGTATGGCGCATATCTCGGATATAAGGGTCGCCTTTAACATATTCACATACTTCGTTACCGTCACGACTGTACAGCTTTGCACGAGCGCTGCCGGATATAATCAAGACCCGGTCGCCTGTCAATGAATATTGTAACTCGTGGATCTGATGGCCACCACAAGGCTCAATGCTGCGAAATGGTCGGAAAGACCGATCCATGCCTGCAAAATCCCAAAACTTGACATCATAATCGTATCCACCCGTAACGAGTCGAGCGCCAGCTGGGTCCAGTGTTAATGCTGATACAGTACGTGTATGGTCTTTGAGTTTGACTTCATGTGTGATCGGTAAAATATTGCTATCTGCTACTGCATCGTCCTCATTTGCGTTGTCGTTGTTGTCGTCGTCGTCATCGCCATCGTCGTCTACCTTTTTGGTTTTGGTTGTGGATTTGGCTGGTTCTGATGATATTTCGCTACTAGCTTCGACTCGTTGTCGTTTAAGTTCGGTTGTATCCTTTATAATATTCAGTTTCTCTTATTAGCCATCCTTTCACTCAAACCAATACTGCAAGCAAAATATACCTCTCGTTTTGTCTTGTCAAAGAAGGAAGTAGTATCCTTCTTTTTTTCCTTTTTGCCAAATGACATTGGCAAGAATTCACGTAGTGCGTCCCATTCGTCGTTGTCTGCCGCAGCGGTCTTTTTGGTAGGTTTGGAAGACTTGCCTTTGCCAAACGACTGTGGTAAAAAACTTGCTAAATCGTCATCCTACGGAGAGACAAGACGTTAACCATTTCTAGTTCAACAGAGTGTCTTTTTTTGACGCAGAAAGGATACATGCCATTTTTGATCGATCGAGTTAAAGCAAAAAGGGCAAAGGGAGAACAAGTGATACAGAGAGCACCAGTCACGGCTATGTAATGCTGATATTGAGAGTGCGCTTCAGTTAGACTTTGAGCTTGTAATACTCGCCACCCAGCAGGCTTGATACACACACACACTCTTTCTCTCTGAAAAGCAGTTTTATAGAATGTGAGATCGGTTTTTAATCGCTTTATTAAATAGATAAGAGATATAGTGCTAACGGAATAACACAACACGACACATGTTTCTGTAATAATCATTGTATAGGGCACCTTCGCGTCATTCACGATCACCGTCGCCTCCACGACGACGCCGTCGATCACCTTCGTACAGTCGATCGCGCTCGCCCTCTGATGCGTCATCACGCTCACGCTCACCTATTCGATCGGTGTCTCCACCTCCTCGCAACACTGTTCTGATCACTAATCTTACGCGTAACGTCAATGCAGAGCACATTAAAGAGATTTTCTCACAGTTTGGCACTGTGCGCGACATTGATTTTCCATTTAACACAAGATGTAAGTTTTCATTTTTCTTTCTCTTTTTTTTTTGGAAATAAGCAAAACATAAAGAGGTATTTTACCAAACTTATTTCTATCTTGTTTAGTGAATACCAACGGCGGCAGAGCTTTTGTTGAATACGAAACAAAAGAGGATGTGGATAAGGCTATCAGCTACATGGATGGAGTAAGCTTTTTTTACTTCTGTACTTAAGGGGGAAAAGAAGGGAAAAAAGAAGGAAGGTGCTAAAGAAGTCGATGATTATGTAGGGTCAATTGGATGGCAAATATCTTGAAGTTGCAGTGGCACCGCCTCCACGTCGTCGATCGCCATCGCCACCCCCTCGTCGTAGAAGTAAGTAATGAGTTTAAAAGAAAAAAAAAGAAAGAATGCCCATGGTTTGACAGCAGCTAAACAAAAATTGTTGAATGCTACGTCAAGGATATTCGCCTCCCCCACGTTACAGACGCGCTCCACCCGCACGCGTGCGCCGTGATCGATACCGCCCTGGCCGCAGATTGTCCCCTTCGCGATCTCGATCCCCACCGCGTCGTGGACGTCGTTACTCTTCTTACTCTCGCAGCCGTAGCCGAAGCTTTTCGCCCCGCGGCCGTAGCTACTCTCGTAGCCGCAGTTACTCGCGCGATCGAAGCTATTCGCCGCGTGGCCGTAGCTATTCCAGAAGCAGAAGTCGCTCACCTCGCAGTCGTGGCCGCAGTTATGACAGCAGGGGCCGAAGCGTATCGCCCGTTGGTAAAGGTCGTGGAAGGAGCCGAAGCCCTCTCAGCCGCAGCCCAAGCCGCGGAAGACGTTAAAGAAGTGTGTGCTTGATTTTTCACAAAGAATAAGGATGATATATTTTATGTTGTCTGTATGTGGACTTGGATGTTGGAAAAGAAACAGTATGCAGTAATCATTTCTCAGGTATATAAAAAGTCACAAAGATAACTCTTCTCCTTTCTTCCTGATGCTTTTCTTGATTTGTTTTTGCTTGAATTTCAGTTCAAGTATGTGGATAGACGCTCCACTACATGGGTCATGGACGGTCGCTATGTGGAAATGAGAGAGTATGTGTGAGAGGGCCAGTGCTCAAAAGCAATAAAAAAGGATATTGGGGAAGGTCTTATCCAAGGCAAAAGCTAAGACTTACCAGCCGCGAGTCGCCTTCCCACATCTCGGTAATTAGTACCAATAAGTTGCGTGGATAATAGTTAATGAGCTTAGCGAGCGGTGGCCGAGCATCCTGGTCCCTAACTTTGACATAAAGCTGGTGCTCGGACAGATCTAGAGGAAATAGAGATATAATAGGTGAAAATTGGGATTGATGGAATCAAGGTAAAAAGTGGAAGTCGGCTGGGATGAGACAATCCACAGGACTACACGGTGCTACTTTACCTTGGTATGGATATCCGTAATCATTCCAGGTCAGAATTTCCCAAAATATAAGACCGCACGCGTAAACCTAGAAGGAAATAAAAAAAGGGGTCGCGACGGACAAACATTTGTATCATGTGTGATATGTGGACTTTGGATTGTTTGTTGTCATCAAGCGAGCAAAGAAGAAGAGCACATACGTCGACCTTCTCGGTGTAACTTGGGTTTTGTGACCAAAATTCTGGGGCTTGCCAGTTTGGAGTGCCGCATTGAGTATGCATCAAGGCATTGGATTTGGGTCGTATACGAGCCAGTCCAAAGTCATTTACCTTGGCACGGTCATCTCCCGAAATCTGTTTTAGCAAACAAAGCATAAACAGAGATTTTTAGAGAAAGTACAAACTGTAGAGTAACAAAAGGGACCCGCTCTTCCCCCCATCTTCTGTTATTGCTGCCTCCGTCTACCGAGACACATATAACGTTGAAAGCAGCAAAAGAATGGCTCTTTACTAACCAAGATGTTCATCGACTTCAAGTCACGGTGGATGATCGATGGTCGGCGTTGGTGTAGATAGGATACACCTAGAGCAATATCGTACATGTACATGACCTGCTGCGCAAAGCTCGGCTTTTTGTACTTTCTGATCACGTCAAACAGATCCCCTTTTGTACACAACTCGGTAATGATGCACAGATGCTGTGGATTCGTGCATACACCAATGAATCGTATCACGTTTTCATGCCGCAGCTGTCTGGAAAAAAAGAGACAGGGAGAGCGAGCACATACACCCAACGAACAATCAATATGCAGATTGCGCACAATAAAGAGTCCCTTTTGTATGTAGCTTGAGCTTACTTTAGTACTTGAATTTCATGCTTGATCTCCTGCAGGTCCATCTCATTGAACTGCGCCAGACGCAGTTCTCCAATGGCCACCGGCTCCCCTTTGTACATGCCCGCATAACAGTCCTTGAACCCTCCACAGCCTAAACGCCGACCAATTTGCAGCTCGTGATACGGAATATCAAGCCCATGACTTCCGTCCAAAAACAACGCCGAGAACTCGCGAGAGTTTAGCTCTAGTCGTTGCTGCTCAGCTGTCAGTGACGACACGGGTAGTTCATCGTCAAATAGCTGTGGGGTAGATGGCGCAGGGATCGGTCGTGTATCTTCTTTCTAAGATATCATCCATACAAACTCGTATCAAAAAACCAAAACTTCTTCGTCTGCATCCACCCTGTCAAATAGTAGCGACAATAGTAAAGTTCTTTCACTATTCCCATTTTCTCTATGCCGTACCCAGTGCAAAAGCCCTTCGATTAGGTCAACTTTGGTTCCTTCAGTGGAAAGTCCTCGGTCTTGACAGAACTGGACAAGGTCCGCGAGAACCATCCGGTCAAGGTAATGTCGATCAATCGACTAAATAAACGTACAACAGCTCGTTACTTCTAACAACCCAAAAAAAGATAGAAAAGACAAAAGCTTACACACGCTATAGCTCCATCATCTACAACAATAACCTACCTCAAGTGAAGAGTCGATATGCCGTTGTGTCGTTTTGTACATCATGTTTTAGAAGCTAGCTGAGAGGATAAAGGAAAAAATAAATAATAAAAGAGAGCGGGAGAGGGAGAGAGAAAGAACGGCAGAGCTGATGTACTCTAAATTCTATTTGTACTTGGTAAGTGGCTGATCAAGAGACCAGCATCATGTGAACCGCCACATACGTTTAGTTCCTATAGGCTCTTATTGATTTGTAAGGTACAGATTAGCAGCGGCACTCACACCATCGTTTAAGAGATGGTACGTGTAACAAACTTTAAAAAGACCCGATGGTATACATGTTGGTGACGCAAAAGTGCCACCAGAATCTGCTCATACACTTGTGCAGATGATATGGGATGCCATGTCAAGAACCAAGCCGCCACCGAAGGCCTATAATATACTTACGTTTCTCCCTAGCTAAATCACTGATATGATGGAAGTGAAGCTTGTATTATGTAAGGCAGAAGTGTCATACACAACGCATTAGAAACCAGAGGTCTACGTAGCTTAGTTTAGATCGATCAGCCCGAGCTTTTTGGGCCCAAACAATGGGCCCTGAAATAGTTTTTCGGAAAACTCATGTCGCTTTGTTGCCCTCTATGTAAATAATATATGATACGAGTTTTTACTAATAGAATTAGGCTTTAGATGGCTGTGCTGCTGCTACGGGAGTGTGCAACGATAATAAGGAAGAGTTTGTAGGATTAGGAGAAGGGGAAAGTTGTGGGGGAGGAGTGCTGCTGGAGAGGTTGATTCCTATAATATAATGGTTTCCGTGCCGTTCCATATTTGGTATATCCCAATACAATGTCAGATCCACATCGCCGGGACTATACATTCCAAACTGCTCGTTGTATTCCTCTGCAGGTACTTGTGGATGGTGTGTCTGGATGTTTACGTTTCGCCATTGCATCCTTGAATTTAGCGCAAACGCCTTGAGAGGAACAGTATCGAATGGTATCACGGCATCACCCTGTTGATTTTAAAAGTGCGGTGCTATGGTGATGAGTTTTTGTTGCTAGGGGTACGTGTTGTCGAGAAGAGATAGATGAAAACACAAACTTACAAAGACCAGTTTTGTAATATTCAGTGCTGCCGGCTTGGCCCCCTCGCTTACGTCTTGTAGTTTGGAAACTTTGTAGTATGCGAAAGTGGTTTGTCGAGGAGGTATAGCCGTCTTTGCTTCGACGTCTTGCCTAATTTTATTTATTGTTTCCCCTTGGGTGAGTCATTTTGCAGCGGCTGTCATTGGAAAAGAGGCCACCTACTTTGAATCGGTACATATGCTGAGTGGGACGATCGACCATATAGGACTTGCTGCATTAAGCTGAGTAAGCTGGAATCCAGCCACTGTCTGCAGATTCTCGATTTCTATGCCGAGGATGTACTCGTTCACTGTCGCGGCGCTCGGACGGGTAAAGGCATTGATTTTCAAGGAAGGTAGCACTTGGACGTTTAACGTGTATCGCATGGTGCGATGAGCAATGGCAGCATCATCCTCCTACAAAATGCAGCAAAAAAACGAAATGATAAGACAATGTAATATCTATTAACACATCAAACGATCCAACTTATATCACCTCTTGTTTGTGCATTTACCTCAGACTGATAAGAGAACAAGAATTTAAATGTATGCTTGCCAATCCGATCGCCGCGAATCCATAGTGGTACAAGCGTTGTCTGTCCCGAATTGACAACACCCACATCACTGCCTCCTTCTTTCTTTGGCAATGACACAGACACGACGCTTGGATCATACAATTTGTTGTCCAAAGCAAATTTCTCGCTTTTTCCGTCATTCCCTCCTGCTAAATAAATCCTGTTACTTTCGTGCTGTTTTCTTTACATCTATGTAGATTTCTACCCTCAGAGAGTTCTTACCATAGATTTGCTTGTCCATTTCCTCTGGATTGCCAATACAAATAAAGCTTGGGTGACTCGACTTTAACCGTAATGCTGTCAATCCTTTGTTACCCTTGTTGTTGATTTCCAGCACTGTCTGAACCACTTCGCCTGACAAAATCGTTTCAGGCACATTATGGAATTGTAGATCCAATAATGGCATCGGGGATGTCACCATAATGTCTAGTGTATGATCTTGACCGTAGACAACCGATCTTCGGTTTTCTAGTGTATCATTTAAACGTTTTCCTTTTTTAACGATAGGGTGGAATCGGTGGACGAGGCCGTTTAATGTGTAATGTACACCCTTGACAAGGATAGAACCTTCTTTACGTGGAATGATGGCAAGATTGATCTAAACATAGTATATACATTATATTAAGTGAGCCAGATACCGTTATAAGATCAAAGCTTTAAGACATATTGCTCAGAGATAACTGCTCAATTACCCATCGCTTTTCCATTGGTTCCAACGTGATTTCGTTGATTTGCTGGAGTTCATACGGACCGAAACTGTACATGTCATTAGAATTGTCAATGGATGTCCCGTGTACCATTGTGTCGTAAGCTTCTGCTTCAGGATCACGTTTCTCATTAAATGGTTTGATCGATTCGCGGTGTTCGCAACCCAGCACAATATTGTTCAGTTGGATAGCAATTTGTAAGGGATTGGATACCTCGATATGAACAATGGTCGGCTCTATAGCGATTTTAGATTAATCTCATAAAGTAGAAAAGACATAACTACATCTTTTCGTCTTTTACCTCCGATTGCACAAATAACACGGTTATCATGTTGCTGTTGTAGAGCCAGTGCCTTTTTAGATCCATAAATGAAACCCTTTGCAATGTTCTGCTCTAGCAATTCGCGTTCCATTGCTGCCCAATCTTCCTGATTATCTGTATTGTTTGCCTGTGCATTTGAAAGGCTCACTCGAACATGCTGATCATTAAACACCGGTAGCCTAAGATTAGGTAAAGATTCTTCCAACGGATCGATGCCAGACAAGTTTGTATATTGCTATGAAGAGAAGAAAACATATTAACATATTGAGGATCATGTGGTGGGATGGAAGGGGTCAAACTTACTCGATAGATAAACATAAATTCCCGCACGTGCGCAGCTTGCTGTTGAGGAGTCTGCTTGGCATCTGCCAACACATTCGCAAAGTATGTGGCAGCTCCCTCAAGCTGGCCCAGATGAAAAGACTGACGTCCCAACGCAAACTGAATATGGCTCTTGGCAATCGACCAGGTATGATCCTCAAAGATCAAGGAAGCCAGTTTGTAACATCGCAGCGCATGTTCTCGTTGCAACGCCTTGCCGTATCGATGAGCAGCCATCACCACATGGAATCCGTATTTGCGTACCATAGGCTTGGGCGTCCGCAGAAAGCAATGTGCTGCTTGTTCGAGAAACAAAGCGGATCTCAGATCCGAGTCTTCCCCTGTCATTCGGACAAGCGCAGTAGGCACTTCTTTCCACATTCTATGTGCTTTCAGTAACTCGTAGTACATGACTGTTGTACGCGTTGCTTGGAAAGGCGATCGACATCGACCCAAAAATTGTTGTACAGCGAGTTCGAAATTACGATCCACGTCTGTTTTGCTGCGCAAGTGTTGATTCATCATCAAGAGGCAGATACCAATCATTTCCTTAATTCAATGATACACTAAATATGTCAGCATAAATAGAAACAGGAGCCTCCTTCATTTCGTGTCTGTATAATAAAAGAGATTGTACCTGGGTGCCTGCGTGGTACTTATATGCCTTATCTGTTGCATAATCTCGACGAACAGTATCGTAAATGGTGTGCGCAAACTTGTAGTCGCGGATCATAAATGCATAATCGGCCAGCTTTCGCATCTGAGCCTCAGGTGCACTGTATGGGTATCTTTGATAAAAGAACGGTATTTGATTGGAATGGTTCAGTTCGTATACATCTCGTTTACCCTCGCACACACATACATTGTTACTTGGGTTACCCCTGCAGGAACGTTCGGTCCTGAAGCAGGAATTGTTTGCAGCGAATGGGTCGATTGAGTTCGAGACGACGAGCCAAATAATCGACGACTGGCTCCAAACAGACGACCCGTCAGTCCGCGTCTAGCAGATGCCACTTGCTCGTTCCAATGCTGAATATTGCGCTCCATGAACGGAATCATACTTTGGATCACGAATTCGCGGACCATTCCTTTACATGCATTCACGTCGTCATCTGTCACATAGCGACCATACTGTTTCGTCACAGTCGCGGTGCTTTCATCCAAAATGGGCTCATGTTGCTTTTGTTGTTCTTGCTGTAATTGTTCGTTCTCGAGTGACGTGTTGCCCACTTCCAGTGGCGTTGTTTGCAGCGTCGTGGTAGGCGGTGGAATGCCCTGTAGACTGCTGACGTTGGATGAAACAGAACTGGAACGTGTGTGTCCTGAAAGTGCAGGCGAATCCAGGCCATTTGTTGAAGATGAAGAAGAGACACCAACGCTGCCTGAATTAGTGGCTGCAGCGTAGGCTTGCATTCGAGATTCGATTGTGTACGACTCGGTAAGTTGATGTTGCCATATTTCGCGTATGGCTGGATCAGCGTCGTGTTCAGCGGATGGTACGTCGGTGTCGTCTAGTAAATGTCCTGTTTCAGGCGGACGTGCTTTGGAATTGATGCGGAGTAAATGGCAATGCAGGCCCAAGGTTTTGCGCATTTTCTCGAACGTTTCTTGTGCTCTAATACGTGTGTATGATTTATATAAGTTTGCCGATCAGTAATGTGTTCCTTTGAGCTTTAACTTCTTTTTTCTTTTTCTGGCAAGAATACGTTACTGGCTCTCGGACGCGGTGTGAGGATCATGTAGTAAGACATAATATCGTAAGATATTTGGATCCACGTAAGGGCGATCTACTGTAAAGGACGGAATATTGGGGTTGTATAGCTGTGTAATGGTTCCCATAGGATCAGGGTTCGTCGACGAAATAACAATCATGATAGCGACTGGGTGATCAAACGTCTCGTGCTCTGTAATGCCTCGAAGGGATAACATCATGCGCCTGAAATCCGCGTACCATGGCATACTATCATCCAGCGAAGCTATATAGAAAAGCACAAAATTAAGCATTCTCCTTCCACCCCACCCCTCATATAGCATGAAATACCACAAAGACCCGCTTACTGTCGAGATAGGCATCGTTCACGTCGGCTTGGTTTCTTATTTCGTAAAACTGTTGTGGATGCCGCGCACGTACGTAATCGTCAACCACGCTGAAAACAGCCTGGTGATTAGGTTCACCGAGCTTGTCGAGTTGCCGAAATCGAATGTTAAAGTTATCGACAGCAATCGGTATACCTTGCCAATCGCGCGGCGAAACTGTGTGTTGCCATTTTAAAAAGAAAAATTGGATCGGAAAGTTTTAATAATATTGCACTTATACAAGTACGGTGGTTACAGTGTTGTTGATAGTGTAATAATACCTCGGCCGTCAATGTGGTCACCGAATGGTTTCATAAAGTCGGCAAAGGAAGGGATATGATTGCTTTGACATAATTCTTCAGCATCTTGACTGGCAGCGATGGCGACTAAGGGCGAAAGCGTCCGGGCCAGTTCATCGCGTGGTGTGAGCATGAGCGCTGGTGAAGAAGGAGACGTGTCTGGTAAGTTCGGCAACGGCTTCGCTGCCATGGTCGTGTTAGGTTTTCGCAAAGAGTAAAAGAGAGTCCGCCTGCTGCTACTATTGGCGGAAATGGCAGTTAATTAACTATATTCTGTGCCTGCGCTTAACATTGCGGGTAGTTGGGAATTGATAGGTGCACTACAACAAATTGACAATAGAGCGAGTACACGGTTTGTTCTAGCATAGTTATATATACCTCAGCGCAATAAATAGCCATATGATTGGCCTCTCTACAGTTGTAATGTCTAGCTCAAGTGCGTGAGCTAGAATAAGTTGCTAGTTGTTATATATAAAAGGGATGGCGATATAGCTAACTCTTAAGAAATATATATAGTACGTTGCCGATCATGCGTCTACATGGGATGATCGTTCAAATAAGCTGGACGAGAACCAGTATACAATACACGCGTCAGCCCATACCTGTTCCCTCCAGATAACCAAATTCAATCGAAATAGCATTTTTTAATTAGCGAGGTATCTGCTCTTGTCGGTTATACGATTGTTATGTGTGGAGTGGGTGGCAGAAGAAAAGCAGGTCAGGAAGAAACAAAATACATAGTAACAATGCTGGGAAAGAGAGAGTTATTAAATAGAGAAAATGTGTATGTATGTGGAAGTGATTGTGTGGAGTATTTAATACGCATATGAAAACGAGCAAAAAGAGAGAAATAGGGTGAAGAGAAAGCCATAAAATGAATTACACGGAAGACATATATATATATATATATTATGTTGGAACGATACGAGATGAGAAGGAGATATTACAGTATGGTTCGTGTAGCAGCGTCCACCATTGTCTGCACTGTATCGTCCTCGGTAACTACGCCGGATGTGGTGTTCATCATGGCGGGCGATTGCTGCTGTGGTTGTGGTTGTGGCTGCTGTTGTTGTTGTTGCTGTTGTTGCTGGTGGTGGTGGTGGTGGTGATGGTGGTGATGATGATGATGGTGATGTTGCTGTTGTCGCTGGTGATCAGCCGCACCTGTTTCAGCAAGGGGGTTTGCACCGATGGTATCCTGAATCGTTGCAGGCGCGGGTGTGTTTGTTGCAGCATCAACAGTAGCCACCACCGACGATACTGTATGATTGGTTGCTGTCGTAGCTGTGGTAGTAGTAGCAGTAGTAGTAGCAGTAGCAGCTGTAGTTGCTGTTGCTGGAGTTGTTACAGCCGTCGCAGCTGCTGTTGCAGCTATCGTTGCACTTGCAGACGTCTCTGGTCGTTCGACGCACCACCAACGATGACCTTCGGCCCAAGCCCGACTTTGACAAGCCTTGCTACAATATTTCGCTTTGCGGCATCTTCGGCATTTCGCAAATTCGCGCTGTTGCTTTTCCCACTTGCCGCAATGCATATTGGCACACCGACGAATTCCGCCCTGCGTTTCATCCTTTCGGCAAGCGTTGCGCATGATCACGCCAGCCCAGTACTGGACCGGTGACGCATGAAGCCAATGGCAAAAGCGTTCAACAAGCGAAAAGACGTTCATCTCGTATGCTGAATGGAAAACGTTGCGGATGTGTGGGTATTTTGACAGGTAGGCGAGTAGCTGGAGCGATAACAGAATGTCTTCTTCGCGATAAAAGAGATTATCAATGTTGGACGTTCTGGGATCGCGCCATTCTGATACTGGACTCGTCGGTACTCTGATCAATCGATTGCGTCTGCGCTGAGCAGAGTCGATCTTGATGTATGGAAACGTGGATCGTCGATGCATGGCTGCCGATGAAAGCCGAATGCGATGGACTCGACCATCATTGCTGTTGTTAACTATATTTTGGTCGTGGGTGGTATCATGCGGGGTAGTGCTGTTGTTGCTGTTGTCATGGTTATATGAGAGAGATGCAGATGCGGATGGTATGCGAAATTGATTATTGTTGTTATTGTTGGAAGATGCTGGTAAAGAAGAAGAAGAGGTTGTTGTTGTTGTTGGTGGAGGCGTCGGTAATTCCGACGATGGTGGCATCGTTAACATGTGAGCTAGTATACACACAAAAAACGTGAGCGGAACAGAAAATAAAAAGAAGGCAGCTGATGGTCGGGATAGTGTGGGTGGGTGGGGGGGGGAAGAAGCCAAAAGTCTGCAGATGATTTGGATTGTGGCTTTATGTGTTTGTTGCATGCAACGAGGTGTGTCGTGTATGTTTGGTCGGAACACCAAAATTACAATAACCGCATTCACACACACGCATTACACACACGCACACGCACACGAACGAACGCACGCATACACACGCACACCCACCCACGTATGGGACACATCTACACCCACACGATACCCGACATGTACAATACACACGTCTTCAATCTCCTCTCCCTTTCCCCTACTCACGCACACGCACACGCTCTCTCTTTCTCTCTCACTCAACTCCCCGCCCTAACTCCCGCGCAGCAATTAAGCCCCCCCCGTCCTCCCCGTATCACACACACACATACGCAAACAATACAAGACACATTGTTGATGCTTACCAATCGTATCGGCAGGCGGTGGTAATCGGTGAAGGACATTGTATCCTCTAGATGTCGTGGGCGACAGCACAATGATAGGCTGCGGATCCCGTTTGTTTTGACTAAGATTTTGTTGTCTGGCTTTGTCTACGGCCCGCAGAAAGTTCTCCAACACTCGTGTCACAATATGAATCGCACCTGCTTCTACAACTCGAGTTCTGATCCGTTCTGTGCCCCTTACTCCAATGTTCACCACGCATTGGAACGCAAGCGACCATTTCCACAGATGACGCCGATCGTTCGGAAGGTCAAAAGTCGATAGAATCCGCACAAGTCTTTCTAATCCGCCGTCAGTCACCAGGATTTCTCTGATGCGCGGCGAAGTCGATGTGAGATAGGCGAGATGCGTCAGTGAATTAATTAGTGGGACTGTGGCTGTGCAATCAAGCGCACGCCTGTCGTAAACACCCGAAGTAATGCAGACAGCGGGTCGGCTGTGGGACATGTACGATATATTTGGTTCTCGCATAACTTGGGGTCAAAAGAACAACAATAGAAGCAGAGTTGCTAGCCTGTGAATGTAAGTGTGGAAGAAAAGAAAAGAAGAAATGCAAGTGTGTGTGTGTGTGTGTGTTGTATGTGTGGTAGACTAACAAGCAGCGTGAATGGACTACGGCGGGTGTGTGGGCAGGACAATAAAAAAAAGAAAAGAGAAAAAAGGAAAACAAGAAAGAGGAAACAAGAAAAGCTGTAGGTTTATCCCTTCTTTTTCTCCCCGCCAACAACAAGGCGGATGGTGCTGCTGCTGCCCACCACCACCACCACCCCCCTTCCCGGCCCCCCGAAAGAAAAGGTAAATAGCGTCATCGTGAATCTTTCCTTTTCACCTTTTTATATTCGTGTGACAAAGAAAAGGGTAGCGGTCTTTATTACTTTAACTCGTTGGTTTCCAGACTACAATTAAACAAGTAGCCAACATTCCTTATTATACGTTACGAGCGGCAACTGCTATTCTCATTCGCGGTTCTCTCTGGAAGAATGCTAATGCCTTCATGCTTACAAGCATTGAACCAAGTGGCAACATTTTCAAGCCATTTCCGGCGCGAGAATAACAACAACAACAACAACAACAACAAAATAATAGTTTCTATCCATGACGCAGTATCAAAGTCACATGTTCCCCTACTGAACGAATCACGCAAGTAGATCACCCAAAATAGTTAAGGGCGTTGTTTATTACCATTACTACTACTACTGTTAAACGTTGGCATTACTTGATGATACGTGCTCTTCCCACGAACTTCAGCTGCCATGCGAAGAAAGCGTACTCAAAATAATGAGGGGTTTGCCTGTTAGGCAAAATCGACTGTTAAGTTTTTTGAAAGATGAAAGAGAGGGTGCATATAATGACATAATATCCGTCTCCAGTCGAGGAAACTGTTTCCTCATCAGGTCATGCATAGAGAACCTGACACCAGTATAGCAGCCACGACGACTCAACTGGATCCACGGTAAAAACATCATCTTATTGGTTCCACTTCACGCGCCGAAACGGGAGTGATGTGTCCTTTGATGATGATGATGCTAAGAGCATTCGCAAAAAAAGGGAGCTGGGTATGGTTTAAGCCAATACGTATGGAAGATAACCAATTTCCACTCCCCTCAAAAACGCCCATCGGTATCCAGGATGTACCGGGCTCAAAGTATAGACTGCAACAGTAGTAGCAGTTGCTTTATATATACACGAATCACTGCGATTGATGCTGTACATACAAGGTCTGCGTTATGAATATAAAAAAACTAAAAGAAGCTCTAGAGCGGGTCTTACGTTCTGCTTATTCACCATCAAGGAGAAAGGAAAAGCGCTATCAAAGGTGTGTGCTACTGACGATTGAGGCTTTTTAAAGGGATTAAACCAAAGCATGCTTCACGCATTCTTGACAACAACAGGAGAAACATTCGTGTCCTTCCACATACACTAATATAAATTACTTGCATAGTAGTGCATGATTGCAGACAGTGTGAGTACATGTGCTGTAAAAACTACAATAGTATGTATATTCATCTTTCTTTGTAAAATAATGGTAGTCCAGATAGAACAATGAATGAATTAAATATCCGGTTAAGCAAGTGAAATTCTTTAATTGCCTTTTCGTCTGAAAGGTAAGTTCTCGACCGTTACTAGAGAAATACGCTATTGCTGACAACCCGATGAGTACATGTAGGCTGACGATTGGAAGGTATATCAATTTGAAAAGATTGAGAACGCGCTAATGTGTTGGCGTCATGGATACGCGGCTGTCGTAGTTGCTGATGCTGCTCTTCTTCCTCCAAATGGATCTCAAAAGTGATGTAAAAGACTATATCTGTTGTTGAGACAGTATTCTCAATCGGTGGCCAGACACTATGTATGGGGTTTAAGGAGTTTGTGCTATTGATATAAATAGAGGATAGCCACATAGATCTTTTTCTTTCTCACTTATATGTTAGGAGAGCGTTAAAGAGCTTTGAAAAGGAGCATCAGCATCTAGATAAAGAATTAGTAACGCAAAAAACTATAAAGAAACAAGCGATAACGCCGGAAAAAAGAATAGTGATATACACAATGTAGAGTAATAGCGGTTATCGCGATAGTAGTAGGGATTGTACATGAATGAAGGTCAACCCTCGCTTTAAATCAGGTCAAAGTGGCCAACTTTGAAGGCCGATAGCTACTTTTCATTCTAACACAGCTAACATGTCCTGACTTGCTGCTGTTATTTCCTCTTTAATACTCACGTTAATCGGTTTTGATTTTTCCTGCAACACAAAACGTGGTCGCCACCGGTCACTGTTTGGCGCGCCAAGCATCAAAGTCTCTATCCGGCACTTGGCGATGATGTTATTTGCAGCCAGCAAGCTCTAAACTTTGCTGGCTCCGCGACAGCACTGCCAACATTACCACCTCACACTGCTGCCTACAGCTGGAAAGGGTAAATTTCTAATAAAACTAGTAATGCTCTCTGTCAATTTAGTATGATTCAAGTCGCTTGTAGAAGGTTAAAATTCGAGAACGACTTACAATAGAAGTCAGAGAAACGGCGACGGTTGGGTGACGAGATAGCTGCCATTGCAGAGAAAGTTGAAGTGACAAAAAGATTATGACCATTCTCGTTAAATACTACCAAACACTGAACACATAATTACTTTGGCATCTTTTCATGTACGTAAACGTAGAAACACAGGTAACATCACCCCAACGTAATGCTGAGAAAAACAACGGAAATTTAGCGTATAAAAGAGTAGTGTTATTTTTGTCAGAGACCAAATCAAAAAGCTTTAAATCAATATCAACGCTGAAGAGACTGGCAACTGCATCAATCCGTGTGCTCAAGTATGAGAGACAACATACTATACAGTGCTTCCACGAAGCATTGTCGCAGCCAATGTCGTTGACCAATCAAAGACAATTTCGCATTTTCAGAAATGGAAGTCGTATCTTTAGAAACCAAGTCGCTTGCTTAGAAAATTATGTCGTTCTTGGCACGAGAAAAATATAAAGAGAGAGAGAGAGAGTTTATATATGAAGATGGGCATGGAAGTGTAGTTGATGGGAATGGTGGTTCTGCCCATGGACTACATTGTTGATCAGAATGAGTTTATTGTTGAAACTATTGCCACTCACACTGATAATTTTATAAAGTACAACATCTGGTGGGTGTTCTTGTAACAGTGTCGACCGAGATACTTACAATCGGGAACGTGAATGGGTAGACAGTGTGGATCAATGAATAAGGTGAGACTCGGATATATCAAACGATTAAACGATGGGGATTCATATAACTCAGGATCCCGTCTTTATATATACGTCGAGTACTAGGGGGCTAGCTATCGTCTAAGTATTGATCTACATCATAACTTCTATCTAGACAATCCACGCCTATTACTTCATAATCAACCATGCGGTTGACCGCAAGTCATCCTATCGTCTGAATCATGCGTTGTCGATCGTCAACCATGCAGGTTGGATATCGTCGTAACGGTATGCACCGTTACAGTTCTCGTACTTGCCAATGTTAAAAAAGTCGAGAGACGAAGACATCTTTATGAAAGAGACAAAACCAAAAAAAGATTACGTTCGCTATACAGTTCAGGATAAGGCCAGATTTTTCGATTTAAAGATCGAAAAGTATATGAGTACATCGACTGCAGCGAAGCAGTTGGGTATACACATTCGAACAACGCAAAGATTGGTTCAACAGTATAGTATGTGCCCTGACAACATCTTTGACAGTTTAACAGAGTAGGTCGGAGGTGTATTCTAACCAAAGAGCATAGAAGATCTATTGTCAATTCCTCTGCTGCTGTTGTTGAAGTGACCGAACAATTGTTGAAACGGTTTCATGGTCACAAAGTTTCACGCAGCACTGTTTATAACTTTATGAAAAAAGAATGCAATCTTTCGCTGAAAAAAGCAGATTTCCATTTCATTGAAAGAAACAGTCAAGCAAAGATTGGAGAACGGTACAAATGGGTTTGTAGATGGGAAAATACAGATATGAACTTCCTGATAAACTGTGTGTTTCTTGGAGAGTCAGCGTTTGACGTAAACATGAAGCAATTCTCGTGCATCTTTCAATAAGGTACTCGTGCTATTGTTAGCACACCTACTACGAGAGCAAACACAACGTCTATATATTGGGCGCTATTTGTGCTGAAGGCTTGATAATAGCTGGTGTATAGAAACCAAGACCTGCTAAGAAGAGAAAAACTAATGGCTATAGAATTTGGGGATTGTAACAGGCCACTACATTAGTTTTTTAGAGAATGACTCCCGATGAAATGGACAAGCTTTCATATATGAAAGGTCACTTCATAGTCATGGATAATGCACCCCCTTCACATGCATGAAAACAGAAAAAAGTATCATGAGTATCGAGGTTATAATGTGTGTATCTTCTATATACTCTCCTGAGCTTAACCCTATAGAACAATTTTGAGCAGTAGCAAAGAGTAAGGTTAAACGTCACAGGTTTTTGCACGAAGATACGTTGTCAAAAAAGAATCACAGAGGCCTGTAACAACAGGATGGAGAAAAGTCATTTCAGAGGCTTCGTTGTGCATTTTTACAAGTGCTGGGTTAAATGTCGAAATGAAGAATACATGCGATACCCTTCAATGACTTCAAATCCAATAGAATCCATTTAATAACCTTCAATGACTTCGAAAATATAAAATCTGGAGCGTATGTTATCTCATGTTCGGAAAAGAGAAGGCGTTCCATGCAACGCTCCAAAAAATCAACTATTTTATTTCATTGACCAACTTGAACATATAAAGTAATAATAAGAACATCCCAAACAGTTATACAGTGACGTTCATAGTGAGCTATTCTCAAACTTGCAGTGTGACCCGATTTAAGCTCGAGTATCGCTAAAGACTATGCCTTACAAGTTCTTAATCTACGGATTGATGCTCAAAATACACGGATCCTTGTAATCAAATACGAACTACACTAGAAATTTTGATCGCGAGGGTTTTTGGAGTGCCACCATATTCAAATATATGTGGCACGTAGCGCAATGACTCACTCGTTTCTTTTGAAAACTCAGGTCATCATTGACACGATATTGTGTCCCACAGATATCGTCCCTTATTACATTAAAGACTTCACACTATAATTAATGTCTTCATGGTTCAGGCATGAATGTTGGTGAACTCATCGATGTGAGGTACTTGAACCCAAGTCAGCTTATGAGACACTT